TCTTCCTCTCCTGCTCTCCCTTTCTCAGGATCCCAAAAGCTAGTCGGGGGTTCAGGATTCGGGCTTTGCCTTCCCGTGCATCTTCCCGGGCTCGGGTTTGAGCAAGCAAGGTTTCTGCAAGCTTCGGCTGACTACGTCTCAGCACCAACACAGAAGTAACGAATCTTGTCTTGGAGCCCGAACTTTGGCATAGAACTTTCAACAAATCCTATGAACCTTCAAGCAGCCAGGCTGTGTCAGCACGAATCGTCGCTGCTGGACATGCTGTCAGGCTGTCGCCGAGCTTTCATAGTTCGTGGGTTCGAATTCGAGGTTGAGGGCTCTTGTGAACGTCGTTTATGTGTTTGACTTCCTGTCTGTGTGTGTGTGTGTCCTTCTGCAAGTTTTGCTGCGCATAGAAGCAGAAGCCTGTCCCTAAAGGCCCAACTCTCTAAACCCTGTAAGCCCCAAACGCAAGTTGGGTCGGGTTAGATTTTTCCCCTGGCCAGTCCACACCCTCTGTGTTCCGGGAATGCTGGCCACGGACCTCTTGTGCACGCAGCCTGGCCATGGAAAGAGGGCTCAAGGTTGCAATGGTTTGGAATAATCACGACCAAAACCAATTCAGAACGATAGTCCTGTTAGTTCATGTTAGTGATGATTTAATTGTGCATGTTTTCATAGTGGAAAGAGGAGTAATACTTGCAGCAAAATCAGCAATGATGGTGTTAGCAGCAACAACAACATGGACCTCGGCACCAGCAATGTAGTTCAGACTCTCAGACTCTCACAGGCTTGTGGGGTAGATTGTGGTTGGCACTGCCGAAAGTCGACGCCAGGAGTAATTACTCTTGCGGATCTCAAGTCTATTCGAACATTTCGGGCTCCGCTTCCCGCCGCCACTGGCCCCCAGGCTCTACTACAGCTTTGCCTTTCGCAGCACAACGCAGCTCTTGCTTCTTGCGGCGCGGCGCGCGCGGCGCATGCGGCTGCTGTTCAACCAGGTGGGGAAACTAAGGATGAGAGAACGGTGCCCGATGCAGGAGTCAGGATTGGAGGGGGGTAGTGTGTGTGGCGCATTGTTTGGCCAGGCAAGGCAGCTTTAGGCCCTTCATATTTGCAACATCCCAGCCGTGACATTTCTATTTCTGAAGGCCAAAGCGTGTTTGGATGCTACTCCCTGGCCCTTCGCCATCGAAGACCTCGAAGAGCCTTCCACGCATGGATGGGGTTTAGGATTTTGGGCCTCGGGATGTCCTGGGGATGTTTTCGATGTTTAGGGGCATCCTTGAGGTTTCCGAGGGCTTGATTGTCTATGGGTACAGAATGTTGAAGGCGAGGGTTCAAGGATGTCTAGTTCTTTCATCTTGTGGTGTCGCAGTCTGTCTATCATGCTCCGGGTTTCGTTGCAGTTGCTTTCTCTGGATTTGCACATCTTCCCCACCGAGAGGAGTTTACCACAAGCTGGGTGGAGTTCGAGGTGCCTGGGCTCGAAAAAATCCGGCTCACCTCGATAAAGTCAGAATGAGCTTATCATTATTTCGGGGTTTATGTTCCTCCTAACTAACGGCTCCTTGTTTCGAGTCTTTGCTGGCGGGGCAGCTATGATGTCGCTGTATTTGGGCTACAGTTCGGGAACGGTGTGCAAGCTGAAGGTTGTCGTACCTTCTTGGTACAAGTAGTGCATGTATGCGCAGCACTTCTGGTGTCTACACCTACGGGCTCCCAGCGCGGCTGAACAACCAACTAGTCTACTTTCTCCATCCCGTCAGTGAGAAGCATGACTCTTTGTATATATATATATATATATATACATACATGATCTACAGAGACACGACTATGAACACTCTGCATGCCCACGAGAGCAGGGAACATGTCATGGACGGGCGTTTCATACTACAGCATTTTTGACATGCTCGTGTGATCTTGTATGTATTCAGCTACACACATACACACAGACATGTATTCATGTCTGTATGTACATACGTGTGTGCATTATACGTTTTTTTGTATGCATGCAGGCAGGTACCCATGTACGTGAATGAATGCGGATGGAGGATTTAATGAATTACCAGTATGTTATATACAGATGTAATTACCTATGTGTGCATATGCGCATGTATGCATGTATGTACGTATGTTTGTATGCGCGTGTGTATGTATGCATGCATGCATGCATGCATGCATGTATGTATGTATGTACATGTGTATATGTGTGTTTGTGTATATGTTGGTGTATGTATGTATGTATTAAAATTTAAGCATGTATATGCAGATGCCTCTGGATATGTACATGTACGCATGTACTGCGTCGCGTGCGACTGACAAAAATGTACGTATATGTATGTATGTATGTACGTATGTGTGTATGTATGTATTTGTGTGTGTGTATTTGTAGGTATGTGTTTGTATTGATGTATGTGCATGTATGTGTATGTACGTATGTATGTGCGTGTATGTATGTATGCATGCATCTATACAACATTCGCATCTATAGTTTACATAATGTATGTATATACATCTGCAAATATACCTCTGTGGGTTTCAACCGAACATATGTACACACTTGCATACATAGATGCATACATACGTGCATACTTGTATACCCACATTTTTACAGACGGTTCGTGCGGAACGATGCGCAGGCGGAGGTTTGGCCGCCTCAGGGGACTCCCCGTGCGGTGGAGGCCCCACCACCGCCTCGCTGGACGGGACGGAGCAAAGCAAAGCCGCGAAGCCCCGCGGCCCACTCAGGCTTAATTCAGGGTTCGGAGCCGGGGTTTTTTGTTCTGGCTTAAGGGTTCGGATTTGGGGATTTAGAGTTTAGGGTCTGGGGTGAAACGCTTGAGGGCGGACCCGGTAGAGTCGCTGCAGACCGGATGCAACAAGGGTCTGGGATTTTTGTTGCGACAGGTCGCACTAAAGGTGCAGAGCCCGGAGGTCGCAGACAGCACGTTGAGTATGTTCCAAGATTAGGCGATCAATACCACCGAGATTCTTTACACAAGGCATCTGCGTCTTGTGTCAGCAACTAGAGGCTCGCTGCCTGCAGACCTCCGTCGGTGCATCCCTTTGCAGCTCCTTGCCCAAGAGCTTTATGTGGCTCTGACGATGCACCATCACGAGCACGTCACGAGCAGGTCAAGTTGGGCAGTTTTGGCATAGGCAGCTTGGACGATATCACTAGCATTGCTAGTAACAGCAATCGTGGGAATGGTTTCGGAGGAACTCGGTCAGTTGACAAGGCAGGATTCTCGGGAAAATCCTGCCACAAGGCGCGGAGCCGCTGCCAGTCAGAGCTCCGTGGCAGCGCACTGCTGCTTGCCTCTTGGGGGTCTCCGAGATTTTGCAATGTCGGGGGGTTGATTTTTCTGATCAGAGTCAGAAGGTATTTATTGCAGGGAGGCAAGACAGCCACAAACTTAAAATTGAGTTCTGTGTAGTGTAATCCCTGCAGCCTCAACCCCAGCAAAACTTGACACCCCATGTGCCGAAACCGAAACCCTGAACCTTCCTATCTCCGCTTTTGTCCGCTTCTGCCCCTGCAGGTTGGGCCCGGCGAGCCACCTCAATGGATTCGAGCTGCAAGGTGCCCAGGGGTGGAATTCAAAGGGTTTTTTCTTAGGTTTCAGATTCCGGCAAGGAGTGGGCACAGTTGAGGGAGCAACAAGCAAGCAAGCAGAGGGAGAGAAAGCCAGTCAGCGGCCCGCTTGGGTTCAGACGAAACAACATTGAACAAGGAGTTGCCCTAAACCCTAAACCCTTGCTGGCCACTCGCTTCACGGTGCTGTGAGTTTTGAGCGGGTAAATGAGGGAAAAATGCGCAAAGTCTCGACTCCAGTATCGTATCCCCATATAGTTCCTGTTTCAGTATAGGGTATACATACTCCATCATACTCCCAAACCCTTTAACTATGAAGGCACCTAGACATGTGCTCGTTCAGAGTTCAGACTTGGCTTGATCATGTCTTGTTAGAAGAAGGGGTTGAAGGCTTTCGTTCTTGTTTGCTTCAGGTTGACTTTGTGGCTTGATCTCTAAAAACTCCTAGTGGAACTTCCGAGAACTTGGTTCGAAGCTCCGACAATTTCGGAGGTCTCATGGGCTTAGACTCATAACATTGGGCGTTTTGGGATCTGAGGTCTCCATTGCTAGCCCTAGGGAGCCAGTGTGGCAGAGGCTGAAGCCTTGTAAGAGCCAGTACATCCACCCTTGCCGCACGGACAACGGATAGGACTGTTGCGATCCACGCCCTTTGGCTGCAATTGAGCTTGTTTGGATTGAGGGTGCGTAGAGCTTGGACTGTGGGGAAGATCGTGCTTGAGACTGTGGGACACGCAGCGGCAGTTTTGTCATGTCAGACTTGGGTTGCGATGCGAAGGGCTTTTCAGAGAGTTCGGCAGTGATTTGCATCTAGGAAGGTTTCCTTGTCTAATTTGGGACAGGTCCACCCATGCGCCGGAACAGGCGATTGTCTTGCGAATGCTCGAAACAGCAGTAGTGAGGCGACGGGAACTGCTACGAGAGCGACCAAAACCCCGGCAGCGGCGGGGCACCACCATGCCCACATCCGCGACCACAACCGCAAGAGCTAGCAAGCACAAGATCGCCGGTTAGCAGGGCAAGGCTCCATGGCGGCTCCAGGCTTGCAAGCCTCAAGCCCAACTCACAGTCATCCTGACTTTTCTTAAACGAGGAAACTCATCCGATTTGCATACACCTTCGCCCAAGCCCACGCAGCCTAGACTCCTAAGTCTTAAGCTACTAGTAGGTCCTTGTCTGTGGATTCTGAAGACTGACTCTGCTCCTTTGCCAACAAGCAATCTTTGAGCGGTGAGGATCTTCTAGAGCGTGTCTCGTAAAATTTTGCCAGAGCACTAAATGTTCCCATTGCATCAGAGGCTTCCCGCGTGGGCGGAGAGAATGTTTCGGCGGAGTATGGACGTTTGAGGCTGTGGGTGAGGGATGGATACAACCTGTGCCACATGTTATTATATTATTTCCCCCACTTTCCGAAGCCGCAATGCAGACCTCATCGGCAAGTCCCAGTCTCCCGCCTTGGCCGCCAGGCCTGCTGCGCACCGGACGATCTGATGGCTGGGTGGGGGCCACCCCCACAGGCCCGGCTGGCCGAGAAGCTTCGAGAGCGAGAGGGTAAGTGAAGAAAGCAGCAATCATTTCATGCTTAGGTGGATTGTTCATAACTGCTCGTGGGGTCATGATCTATACCAGCAAACGCCTGAAGTAGATAGACCTCATTCGAGAACCCCTCCCTGCCAGGCCGTGGAGACACTGACGAGTGCCGAGAGCCATTCGGGACCCTGGACCTCACAAGAAGTCAGAAGCTTTTAATAATTTTAAGATGTTGTAGGAATTAAGTGGCTTGGCATCGGGGTTCCTCTATGGCTCCTTCGGTTGTTACTGAGGCGAATCCATTTCCTGACGGGGCTTGGGAACCGCAGAGCCTATAGTTCCATCAACCACCTCTGGCGTAAGGCCTGCGCAAGGGCAAAGAAAGCCCCGAAGCCTCAACGTGATTTCTGGCCCAACGAACCAAAGGCAACTCCGAATCTTACTTGCGATCTCGGCCGTTTGTCGCAACATCGGAGAACATAGACGGAGGTACGATTCCGCAAGCCATAGCCGGAAATCGGAGAATGCACCTCTAGAGTAGTGCGTATAAACCCGGCCTGCGTGGTAGCCATTGCCAGCGTTTGTGTTCTTCTTTCGCGCGAAGTGCGAAGTTGATGCACTTGGTGGTAGGAAGCCCCGAAAGCCTTAAGCCCTAAGGCCTACATCTGGTAAAGCACTCCTATCGACTCTAACACAAGCCCTGAAGGCCCCCTTTTGAGGAAGAAGAAAAGCTCGGGCCAGGACTCTTCCGGCAGCTCCGGGAGCTCCGCGGGGAGCTGCGAAAGGCCCGGGGCCGCAGCGTGGGAAACCAGGGCCCGGGCCGCCCCGCCGCAAGACGGACAAAGTCAAGAGTGTTCTTTGAAGGCTGGTGGAGAGCACGTTTTCATGTTCGGCGTCGCCAGATGTTGTTAGCATGAGTCCCGAAATATTCCGACATCCTTATTGTAAGGAAGCTTGCCTGCCGTGTGGGAGGTGCGAGAACCGAAAGAAACACCAAATACCCAAATCCGGCCCGAACCGCAGCCGGGAGCCAAGGCACAGCAAACTGGGATCAGCTTCGACAGTGGGTCGAGGCACAGCTGGCTCTGCCAGCCAGTGAAGGAGGCGCGATGTCTGAAGAGTTGGGGTAGCAGAAGCAGTGCAGCCGTGGACTTTTGGGACTATTCCGTAGGGTTCCCTCAACTATGTTCGCTTTGCGTAGCTGTATCATATAATACTTCATCCAGATGTTTAGGGCAACGCTAAGCCCAAAACCCAGTAAAGGACAGCATCCAAAAGGTTTTTGTTGGTCTCGAATCCAAAAGGCCGGCCGCCCGAGGTCGTCAGAAGCTCTTTCCCGAGCTCGACCTCCTCGTGTCCACGCGCGCTTGCGTGCCTTGGCTTCAGAGCTGTGGATGAACAGATTCGTGGTGTAGCATAAAGACAGTCTCGACACGACCATGACACGGTCATCACCATGCCCAGCTTCGTTCGGCCGATGGTCCAGGGCCACAAATCCAGGCATTCAGGACACGTCCGTGATGGTCTTGGGGCTCAGACGATCCCAGATTCACGGCAGCTGGCATACCATGCCTTAAACCCAGCGAATTTGTGGCCCTCGGGGCATATAGCAGCTATAATATAGCATGGCAGCTTTGTTCAACGAAGGTGGGCCCGCAAATGGAGCTGCCATGGTTCCTCCTCGGTGGGCGTGCAGAAGATGCTGGTGTTGAGCTGGCGTCACGGTGTCTCGGCAGGGCTGCGGCTACAGGAAATCCAAGAAGCCCTGCAGCGCTTACACACCCTCCGGTCCCTTCGAAACGAACGTTTGATTGGAAGGCTCATTCGGACGGAAGACTGCAGAAAAGGAGTCTAGAGGGAGTCAACTGTCATAAGGACTAGAAGCCAAGAAGACAATCCCAAGATGTGGCCCTCAATCCCAAACTAAAGCCTCTCCCTGCAAGAACCTCCTCGCCTTGAAGAAAGGGGCAGACTGACGCCGGGGGTTCAAGTGCTAGGTGTGGCTCTCCCAATTTATCGATGAAAGGGCTGCTACCCCGTTGCATTTTTGTTTTTCCCCGTGTTCTGCATCTTCCAAACAAGCGCTGTAAGTCTAATCAGTCACAACGTCTGCTCGTTTCAACGTGGGACTTTTCGTCGGCAGACCTCAAGGACATAGATGTGTATTGGGTCGGGATAATCCGCTGACTTTGATTGGGCCACATGGGTCGGTTGCAAGACACGCATGCAGACGCGCGCGCGCGCGCGTGCATGCACATGTACGTATACATGTATACATATATATGTGTATATATGTCCTTTGCAAGCATGAGGAGTGGAGCCTTGTGCGGGCCTGGCCTACCGGTGGCCGGAGAGCTGGTGGGGCCGAATTCTTCAGATTCTCCCTCTCAGCGATCAATAATACTAAACCCTCAACCCCAAGAAAAAGAGGGTTCAGGGTTTGGATTGAGGGTAGGGTTCTGGGTGCTCTTTGCTTTTGATTTTGAGAGGTACCATGAAGGGATGCACAAGGTCAGCCAGCCGACCTGGGTACGCGTTCTAGCTACGGTCATGTTTGCCGAACTCTCGCTGCTGTCAACATAGCTTATCTATCATTCGAGCCGTCATGCTTGCGATAGATGACGGTTCATATACCTGAGGTGCGGGATGGAGACAGTGTTACAACCTTAAATCGAAGAACTCCAACGCCCGGGATAGGCATCAAAACAAATCAGACGGGGATCAAAAATAAATCGTTCATGCATCAACAAAAAAGATCAAGGTCCCAAAGACGGACTATACGGTACTATGCCATACTGCACAACACTCAACTGTACAGGCACTCCATACTACTATACTATACGATAAGTATGGGGGAAGTTGCTGCAGGTCTCCCGTCCCGGCCGGCGAGCTACGGTGCCCAGCGGTGGCATCGACCAGGAGCCTCCGGGCAGGGGCCCCAGGCCCCAAGGAAGAGCTGCTTTGCTTTCGGAAAGCCTATATAAGCCCTAGGCGCTTAATATAGAACAGGATCTGGGGGCATGTTTGCATTACTGTGAAACAAGGAACCCCCCAAAAACCCTCTTCTAGCTATTGAGGCCCCTACAGTAGGGCTAGATGTGGAAGGCTTGGAGGTTAAGGCGAAGGGTCTTAGGATTTAGGTGGGCTAGAGAGAGCAGAGTGTTTAAAGTTTAGAGGGTGGCAGGATTCGGAGTTCGAGGGTTTCGATTCGGGTCAGTATTAACATGTACGAGCCCGTCATCTGTTACTTGATGTGTTGTCCCACGACTCCTTACTTCATTAGGGCATCTGGGCCGGCAGGAGCCTCCCAGAATTCTCATGTATAGAAGAGCAGGTCTCGAGCGTCCAAATCCGGACAGGTTTGGAGTGCCCTGTATTGGCTTAGCCGATCCCAGATTGTTCACTGAAGCCCTGTCAAGTTAAGCATACCGTCCAGTCTAGCCTCCCATCCCTAAACTTGAACTTAAACCCTCACCCCTGCCGTAAACCCGAAACTTTTCCTAGTGAAGTCTCACGCATCAGACTCCGAACCACATGCCTCGCCTGGATTGTCCGAGTGTGAGCGCCGAACCTACCGTGGTGGCCCTAACTAAACCCCAGACCGTAAAATCCAAACTGCCCTTGCTTGATCCTAAACGTCTTGCACCTCGAACCCAACCTAAATATCCCCTGAAAGACACCACCAAGTGAACCCCTAGAACCCAGGCCCAAGAACTGACTCCCACCAAGGGCTCCATCGGTTGGAGGCGTACGGCCTCGAGCTCATGGTGCCCCTGATTCATATGAGACCGACGCAGCAAAAACACAAATGTACTCGATTAGGGAGGTTTTTGTGTTTTTATTCTCGCATCATGAGGAATTGATATCTGTCTATCTACCTACCACTGTATCCATCTATTTTTGTGTGAGTGTGTCGGCGCAGAGGTATAGCGACAGAGAGCATGCGCGAGAGAAATAGAGAGAGAGTGCGGGGAAGTGATACTTGTTGCTGGAAGTATTTCAAAAGAACGGTCGGTGGGGCGCGGAAGAGATTCCCCGCAGTCGTCGGGAGGTGACCTCGGAAGAAGGGGGCAGCTGCAAGCTTCGTAGGATTCGGGATGAGGGCTCCGTGTTCCAGCATTGTAGCACGACTTCAATTCGCAAACGGACGATCCCTTCAACCTGTCCCCTTCAACCTGCGGTTCCTGAAGCCGTATCGACTTGTTACACTTAGGCATGGGGGCCCCCTGATGTCCTGGCCTGACCACCAGCCAAGGCACCCTGCCGTGTGCAAAATGCATCTGCCGATGGCAGTCGGAGCCTCAGATCAGTTTCGAGATTTCCGCTTTGAGGGTGTGTATTATAGGTCTTCGGAGGCTTGCGGGGGCCTGTCTTTGCGTTCCCGGTGTCGGGCTTACACCCCCTGCATCACCTTCAAGCACCTTTACTTGGTGTAATCCCAACCCAGAGCCTTAAGAGCTTAGCCCAGTTGCCACAAGTCCTAATTCAGGATGCTTCTGTGGAGCGGAGCCGTGCAGCACGTGGACAGACTTCGGGCGGCAGTGCTGCCGCGAAGATGACGGCATCGTGCAGTGGCCCCAGCGAGCCTTTGCACAAGCCATCATCATCATCGCCACCATCCTGCATCATCATTCTTATCGTCATCCTGACAAGAACGACAACGAGGTAGCGCCACTCTTTAACTTCAAATTGTACTGCTGATTCAATGTACTGTACAATTCTTCCTGTGAGTTTTGTATATGGTCAATGAAGTACGACACGCGTAGATGCGACATGGGCTTGGGGCTTAGGAACTGTGGCTTGGCGTTGCTCGAAGTTCGGCACCACATGGACGCAGCGTGCCAATTTCATGTCATGAGTGTTGGGCCAGTTTCTGGTGTTAGGCGATTCTGAGCGTGCAGTTGTGGTGCATGCTCCTGACTTTTGCCGACTGCAGCAGACTCACTCATGCCTTCGAACATCCCCCCTGCCCAGACATGAGAAACACGTTGGTGGCTCAACACCTTCTGTCGCTACTTGATTCCTCGGCCTGGCCTGAAAAACGGCAGCCCTAAGCCTAAGCCACACAGATCTTCTCACTCCAGGCGCTACCAAACACGTGCCTGTCCTCCAATCATTTTCCCCCCCCGTCCCCGCTAATGAGCCCTGGCCATGCCGCACTCCGACTCGGAGGCCTGGGTGAGTCATCCTTCATGGGTTTGTTTTTGATGTCTTTCTGGGCTGTCTGGCACTGTGGGTTTGAAGGGTTTTTTTGGAGCTCGGACCTTTCAGGATCCCACCGACTAACTAAGCAAGTGGGAGGAAAAGAGTGTCATGATTGAAGTGCGTCTGGCCCCGCGTGTGAACGGAGCTGTTATGAGTCATGAGGCCAAGACATTATTTCACCGACACAGGCAATCAGCCAGATTGAAGAAGACAGTTTTTTCTGAAACATTATCCCACTTGTCCTCGTCCTTTCTGCCGGGCATATCCTTCTGCTGGCCATCGTCGTCTTGATGGTCGGATACGGAAGCCCAAGTAGCAGTGGAATTACAAGTTTTACGTTGGCTAGGGCAGGTCGTGAACGCATGGCGGGAGCGAGACGAGGCTGGGCAGTTTGACTGTTGGGATCTTCGGCGACTGTGATCGGCAGCACATTGGAAAAGCATACTGTAGTGTGTGCAGGCTTTCGGTTTCCTCGAGGTTGACATTTGGCTAAGTGTGCTGCATGATGTCACAATTCGTACAGCTGCTCGTTCTGCCTCGTATCTGTCAAGCAGTCGTATGACGATAGACACTGACACTGCGAGTAATCCAAAGGGGGCAGGCTTTAATTGTGCTGCACACTCCAAAGCTTAACGAGCGAAGATCAAACCGGAGTCACTGCAACTCTTCCTACGCTTGCTATCAGACGACTAAGGGGCCAGGGGGTCGAATGCCTTCAGGACAAAGGGCATTAACGACCTCCATGAATCCTCCATGTAAGCACCTGCATTTCAAGCTACGGCACCCGCAAAGCGAGAGGCTTCGGTCTGAGGCAGAACCCAAGACATCCGATCACAGGGCCTTCGTATTCTCATCATGATAGGTTTCTTCATGACTATACACTACTTGTTGAAGTGCTTCTATAAGTTGACTACGAGTTTCTACTCCCTGTCACCGTTAGCAGTGACTCGACGAAAAGGCCCAGCAGCTCGGGCGCTCTTCCTCTGCCCCTGGCGGCTCGCTACCTGCAATGGACCTCGACGCCATGACGCAGGAGGCCTATCCACAGCAGGTGCTTTTCTGCGCGAAACGGCACGTCGCAGACTATTTAGATGAGAGCCTCCAGCATATGTCGGCATATTATTATGTCATAAGTCATAATAGTACAGTGCCTGTTATCCCTGGAACCCCAAATAGGATTCCGTGGCAATCAAGGAACGACGAATTCCTGCTTGCCAAACCATGCTGATTTCTTAAGTGGCTACAGAAAACGAACTTGTGCAATCCCGCAAACACTCCAACTCCAGACCCTGTGTTCATCATGTGTCGATCTGATTTCAGTGATTTTTCACTGGACCAAATCTTGTTAAGGCGTATCTACAGAATATGTATGTATGCTCGTAAAAACTCTGAAATTTGCACGCCAAAGTTGCCAAAGGCAGCTTCTGTTTTCCAGGTTCTCCCCTTCTCCCGGATTGCTTTCATGTAGCATGTAGCGACGTCAGGCTGTAGCGTTATTCCAAGCTGGCGACGCTCAGGCCACGGGGTGGTTGAGATTTTGAGGAATTCGGGAAGTGTCATGGTCGCTCAACCTCGAGATCGTGCTCCTGCTTTTATCCGTCTGCACTTGCCATTGCTATCTTTGTTGTTATGCTAAGCCTGGAATTCTTGTCGCCGTGCGGAGCATGCCAGGTGGTCGTTAGTTCCTGGATGACGCTCCAGCGGTTGTGGAGAAGCAGCTCTTTTCAAACGAACTTGAAATCGAGCCACAGCCACTAGTCACTAGTAGTTTCAATCCCCTGGCCTGGCCTGGCCCCAAAACCCCAAAGATCTTGACGACAACCCTGCAGTGCCGGACTGTGCCAGGCAGCCTTAGACCTGGCTGTAGCCTTCGCGAACGACGCGGAGCAGTTCCTAGGGCGGGACTCAGGGTTTTGGGTGGAGCGGAGACGCCTTGAGAGGCCTCGTCGGAAGTCTAGGTCCATGGTAAATGGAGGCTTTGCTCCGGGGTTTGTGTCGGCATGATGTGGCACACGGTTGGAAAGAGATGCGAGCGATTGTACTGGTATCGAACGCTTGGCATTAAACTGACCCTGCTGGTTTGGAGAAAGCTATCATATATCCACCCCGGCGACAGGCGAACGCATCCAGTGCATGTGAATGCATTAGCGGCTTACCTGCAATTAGTCTTAAAGCGCAAAAGCCGAAAGTCCATCAACATGATTGTCAAAAAGGCTCCCGACGAACTTAGGCTCATGCAGAGTCCTCGTATACATTTTTGCAGAGAGCCACCGCCGGAAGGTGAGTCTACAGGTGATTGAGTGCCCTTTGGGATGATGGAGCACCGCACTTGTTTTCCGGTTTTTGCTGAGGCCACGGTGGCTGCGCTCGCCGAACAGATGGGTTGCAGCAAGGAGGACCAAGCTTTAAATCCCAAACTGAACTCTACCCACAGACTCTAATGGTCTTCGGCTCGTCGCAGCGTTACCGTCGATGGAGCTTCTGCATCTGCATCCCACGCGCGAGAGGCCCAGGACCTCCTAGAGGAGGCCGAGGCCTTACACGAGGCTCGGGAGGGAAGAAGATTCAGGGAGGTGTTTACGTCCAGGGTCTTCTTGGGCAGGCTTAGGTTTCAGGGAGTAGGGCTGGGGCATGCGGGAAGTGTCCGTAGTTTGCAGCTGGAAAGCTCTGGTTCCATAGCTCCAGCTCTTTGACCGAGCCTCTGCGATCCCTTCGATTGCTAGAAGCATGTGTGCCTTGCGAGAAAGAGCCAACAGTCGGAAAGCCGAGTCGCTCCGGCCGCGAATCCGTGTATGCTGCATTTCTGGTGTCGGGGGCTTTACAATGTTGGATCGTCTAAGGCTCTAAGGCTTTGACCAGAGGACTGAGGACTGTTTAGGTTTGGGGCTAAAGGCTGACGCACGTGGATAGCTTAAAGCGAAGCCGCTCGATGCAGGAGCATGAGATGGAGCAGGAGTACTTCGAGCTGGAGGCTCGGGTTTATGTCTTGAGGGCGACGTAAACTTTGGGTTTTGCTTGCTTCCTTCCCAACTTTGTGTGTGCAGATATGTAGAAGGGCTCACAACTATATGCGAAGATCATCAAAGTAGTCAAAGAAAGACGGTCTACCGCCCTCATGCATGTTACACGAGGTGTAGAGCATCGGCATGAAAGAGCAGCATCATATTCACGAGGTTTCTTGCTAAGGCAACAGAACACTAGCACTGGAGGCAAGCATGGAGCTGCCGTAGTCTTGCGACATGCCAGGCAGAGATGGAGTCTGGCACGAGCTCCGAGCCCGAGAAGCCCCTAGCCTCGGACTATCGTACAGGACGCAGGTATAACGGCTTCGAGTTTCGGGTGCTGGCTTTCTTGCTTCGGGTGCGAAGCAGCCAGGTCAAAAAGGTCCGTGTACCTGTCAGTCAAGTGCACTGTTCAACGTCTTTATCGCTGCCTTATACGTCCTGCAAAGGTGAGGATCTTGTGTTCAGAATGCAATCAGAATGCCACCAAAAGGTTGACATCCACTGCATGAATCACGGAGGTGTCAGCGCATGACAACTCAATTCTCGTCGTCATCGTTTGTGTTCGTACGCTCCAGCAATCTCATCCTGGATTTCCGCATGGCCGCCATAAGTTCCTAGTCAGGGGTACGATAAACCCTCGCAGCAGCGCCTAGGAAGCAGAGGTGCCAACCCATCGCAATCCCAAACCTCTCGATCTCAGCTTCAGGCCAGTCCGGGCTCCTTCACCGGCGCTGAGCACCCACACTGGCAGCCGAGCCTCGGGTGAAATCCCACAAGGCCGATTCCGAGATGCTGCCAGAAAGTCACAAATCTGGAGCAGCATTCTCCACATGCTCGCAGAGGGATGCGGGAGCACACAGAATCCCAGCACCGACCGTCACAAATGACCTAAACGTCTTTACTGAGCCATTTTGCAACTTCTTAGAGCTTGTGACAGTCTCATAAGGCAGCTTCTTATGCACACGTTGTTGGAGCCTTTCCGAAAGGCCACTCCGACACCGAGGATGAGGAGGTGGGACAAAGCAGGGAAATCGTGGGTTGCTGCGCATGGTGCCAGTGAGGAGGTAAGGAGTTAGCAAGGCCTCTGTGCTGCAAAGCTTGCTTACACAGCGGCAGCGTCGAAGTGGCATCCAAGCAGGTTTAACGTAGGTTCTCCGTATCTCGCTCGGGTGCGGGGAGGTTTTGATTTTTGACGGGCCCTCAACTTCGCACGGCTCCTCGCAGCAAAGCCTTACAGTTGTACACGTTCGTCCTTTGCTTCTATGAACCGTATAGAATCCTTATTAACCCTTATAGATCTGTTCAAGGAACCATGAACTTATGTATAATACAATCTAAATCAATCTATCTCATGAGATAACATAACATATAATTTAGTACATAGTTATATAGCTAAATAATCATACATCTATATAATGTATAAGTATATAGATGTATGATTATATTGCTATATATATATACACATGCATACACTGTCACATTATACATCTGAACAACGAATACATCTATGAACTCTATAAGTCCAACCCCCACCTCCCTGGTTGCTCGGAGGCAGAAGCCGAGTCAATCCGCCGGCTGACCTGGGAGGTGAAGGAGTCTCTGAGCTGATATCATATATAATGTTACATAACAGTAGCATAGTTTAAAAGTTTAGTGTAAGATGGTATGACACATCATATGGGTAGCTCTCTAATTAGGGTCCCTTGGGGCTTTTGTTTTAAATACAGCGTGGGTTCTTACAGACTTCGGAACGTTGGCAAGGTCGTTATAGGGACCTTTTCAGGGCAGGTCGCCATTGGGTTTGATAAGGGCTTTTACAGGGCTTTATCAGATGATATCGATTTTGATGAGGTTTTACAGGCTTTATCAGGGTTGCTTGGGGTCTTGTACCAAGGGGTACTTTCTAGGCGTACTTATAGTCAGGGTCAAACTACTTCGGGCCTGTATAAGGGCCCCTTATTTTTCTGAAACTCCTTTACCCCAATCTCCCAGAGGGGCTCCAGTACTTTGATGAAGACCGTCGACAATTTTAGCTGCGACATCTGAAGTACTTGTGCAGCCCTGGCATACCTTAGGAACGAATCACTCGCTGCTTGGATCCAAGTTTGGAGACTTTAACGGCTTAAGGGGCCTTAAAAAATTACCAATGCGATTTTGGGGGCTCCTCATTACAATTATAGTGTAATGGACCACAAAACCCTATTCTAATTCTTGCAAATAATTAAGGCCCCTATATCACTCCTAAGGTGTGGGCTCCCTGAACTGACCAGCTCAGGTTCCTGAGAGAAGGGCAGCCTGCCTCCAGGCAGCAGCAAGTTCAGGGGCTTCGGAAACTCATGGCCATCTCATTTCCGGATGCTTATGGTGCGGATCCTGAAAATTTTAGGATTTCAGCCTTCTGAAACTCCCACACGTTCAGGACTTTAGGTTTCCAGGAACCGGGGGCTCTTCAAGGAAAAGCGGGGTAAGAGCACACCGTGTCTGACATTGTCTGCCCATGACATGGGCTAGAGTTTGAACTTGGGAGTTCAGCTGTAGTGCTTCCGGCAATGCGAACTATCATCGTGAGATTCCCGAAGCGGGAGATTCAAAAGATGAAGGATGCTGATATATAACTTGTACGAATAGGACTCGGAACTCCTATGCCATATTATACAGATCCCCTCCGAAGCCCTCTTACAAGAACAGGGCTCTCCCAAGCAAAAACCGAGGATCTCGCTGCGCAGCTCCTGGCGGAAGCCGAAGCCGATCTTGTCGCCGGAAGTGGTGGCGGAGCTCTGGCATGCACTCAGGCACATCTCTCTCTCTCTCTCTCTCTCTCTCTCTCTCTCTCTCTCTCTCTCTCTCTCTCTCTCTCTCTCTCTCTCTCCAAATATATAGATGGCCTATAATGATAGCGACCCAAACTCCTATGCTAATCAGTGCGGCCCTGAAAAAAGCTGCGATCAGGGTCTGAAGGCTTCAGGGCTATATACCCGTACCACCCATTGTAGCGGTTACCTACAAGAATGAGCTACGTTGCCGCAGCTTCGGGTACTTTCTTGCGGAAGGACCCGGCAATATGCTAGCTGAAGAGCAGGGAGCCCTCCGCTACTTCCAAATGTTTAGGGTTCGGCTTCGGGATTAGGTGCTGGGAGATCCGGCTTAGGCGACGACAGTCAGAGGCAAGGCACACCTTCGAATGAAAGTATTAGGTGATGAGTGTCGCCTGTTTTCTTAGACGAAACATCCCTTGGGAGGCTTTAGTTGGACACATTGTGCTGAAGTTGCAGAGCCTGGGCCATAAAACCCAAGTGCACCAAAGCTCAAGTCACTCGCCCGGACTCTTCTGGAGAGCCTCAGGCGAAGGCGAACAGGGCAAAGCTGCCATGAAAGGACCGACTCTCAATAGATACTCGTGCTACTCAGAGCTTTTGGCGGACATTATGGTTGTCAACTCTAGGGAGTGTATTTCAATCTTGTTCATCCGTGGAGAAATCTGACCCGGCAGGAGGAGAGACTGCGCCCGCAAAGGGGTTGTAGCATCCGAGTCAGCTGTGTGACAGGACTGACAAGAGCTGCGCTCCATACGCTTTGGGCTGCTGCCACTTGGTTCAGCAATGTCAGAGGAGGGCCTGATAACGAAGGCTGACCGAATGGAGCTTTTGGGAGCTGTCGTTTGCCAGCAGCCCACAACAAGATCAAGTCTGGCACATGCTTCCCCCAGCTTTCGTGCCCCTTTCATATCTTTCATGTTTGGGGATAGCGAGCTTCGCACCATGCTCTTGCTGGGAGAGCTTTGCATGAAAGGCTGGTCGCAAAGGAAGGTGAGCCGCTAACCGGCTCGCGAACCTGTGTGGACCATGAATACAAGTAAAAATTGAGGGAGCCCGTGCTTGATGCAGACCTACCAAAGGCTTGGTATTGTGCACCACCCTTCCTCTAGGTCTTGTGACCCTTGAGCTGACAAAGGGGACACTATGATGGACTATGTTTCTGGCACTGCGGACCGAACGAACACTGCTTCATTGGCTGGTGGATCCTTGTCATGTCACTTTGTCGCCAGCACAACCATTCGCGCTTTTTCCATGTTGCGCATAGTCGTGTTTCGCATAGGTATACTGCATCCAATGCCGACCACTTCGTCCTGAAAAGGTATGTCGCCAGAAGGGTCTTGCAACGCACGGTGCGTATACAGCTGCTGCCACGGGATCCAACTCAACAGGCAGTGATTTCATGGCAGTCACCTGCGCTGAACCGTGCGCAGACAGCTTAGCAAAAGGAGCACATCATCGCGAGGCACTGTCGTCCTGCATGGCCCATGCACCTAAGCAAAAGCCCTGCTTATTTCCCTACCCGAAGCCATCTTCTGGACCAGGTCTTGGAGGAAGTGGGCGAGAAGGACCCGCCCGGATCGCTTTGCATGATGAGACATTGGAGGCTCAAGGCTTAGTGCGTTCTGGCTTGATGTTTGAGGTTCATAGGCCTCTTTTTCTCCTGGCGTTTTGCATCTCGGGGCCTAATTACTGGCAGGGGTGTGGGGCTTCGGGTTTCATTGAAACTTGGGCAGTTGGACCATCCTGCTGGGGTTGCTTGTCTTGGGTGAGGACAAGGCCGCAGCCCTCTACGACGAGGCTTTGTTGTGCCTCAAGGAGGAGCCATAATTTCTCCGTGTGGTTGCGTAGCCTGGAGCTTCGGAAGCCTGGACATTGGCTCATCAAGAGCTTCTCCAAGCACCGTCTCCTTGCCTTGTCTGCAAAGATCCACATGGCCCTGCATGCTCCCGCACACGGTTTATGGCAGAGTATGTCAGCAAAAGCAGACAGTTTCTGCTTATGCAAGAGTAGCCTTGCATCACTGAGCAGCCTGTCACAACGCGAATTCGGAACGGGCTTTTCTTTCCTGTGCTTGATGCATGACTGCGCCTACATCAGGGGTCGGGACACGGTGCGGAGCCGGCCCTGCGGGGCCAAACCTTCTGCTTGTGGCTGCTTATGCAGTCAAGAGCGTGGGTGAACGCGACAGTCTCATGCTCATTTTTTGCAGCCGACCTGTTGTATGTGGACCCCCAACCCCGATCCTGCAGCAGCAACGCCCGATCAGAAAGCCGAACACCTTCAGTCATAGCACGCTACCACCGGGCAGGAGGCTGCACTGATCTCCAGCGAATCCGAGGAGGAGGATGAGGATGTGGCAGAGGTCGGTCGAAGCTGGTACAGGTCCATCAGTCCATCAAGAACAAGCAGACTAAAGCCTGGTTTTTGGGTATACTCTCCCTGAAAGGCGCCCGAAACTTCCCAAACAACATATTTGGTCAATCCTCGCTTAGCACAAGACCCTAACAAAAAGAAGTTGATCTCCGCTGCCCCCGCTCGCAAATCAAAATCAGTCATCTGAATCCGGATTCGGAGGAAGTTTCCTCAAGAACATGCCATTTTGAGCGCATTGTCTGGTTTGTTTTGCCGTAGAAGTGCCCTCGCGCCTAGATTCTAGATGATAGGAGGTTTCCTTCAGTATCAGTGCCCAAGCCTTCGAACCTGTGCAGCCTCAATTGGTTTCTCCGAGCTGTGGGATTGACTTATATAAACCTTAAACCCAAGGTTTTCCCTGAACCGTAAATGCAGCCTTGTGCGAGAGTGAGAGTCGATAGTTGGAACCTTGCGGACCTTACGCCCGACGCCGACAAAAATCCTTATGCTCACCACACTCAGACGCCTCCTGCGCCGCCGGAGCTTCGGGGTGCGCCCCTGCCGCCGCTGCCAGTCCCCACGCGTGGAAGGCACAGCGACCGGAGTCAAGCTCCGTCGTTGCAGGGTTTGCAGAGGTCGGTTGTAGAGGACTCGTCAGACGACCGGTTGCTAAGACGACTGCAAAAAAGTCGGCGCAATTTTAAGACTCAGCGTCTCGCGCAGGTCCTCCGAGTGGGAAGAGGAGGACCCGAAGGACGAAGCCGCCAAGAAGGAGGCCGAAAGTGATCCGCGACAGTTGCGGGGCACGGGGACGTGAAAGACCCCTCTTGGGTCATTGCGGCATGCTTCAGAGAAGATGTTGATTGCATCCTGTCCTTGCGACCATCCATATCGCCATATCCTTTCCATATCCGTACCTACACCATTCCGGCTCTCCCGGATTTGGAGGGACCGTGATGTTCGCCTAAATTCGGTGCAGGATCCCAGGAGCTCCCCATCGAAGGAGAGGAGGGACTCGAGGTCCGGGCCTTGGCTTCTTGAAATGTGCAGAGAATCATGTATACCAGGTTAGGCTGCAGAGTCAGAAGGCTCAACAGCCTAGTTGGTGCAGTTGCAGCTATAGCCTGTGCTGTGCAGACGTAGAGGCTTCAGGCTACAGTGCCATGGAGCTGAACATGGTGCACAGCGGAGAGAGAGAGAGAGAGAGAGAGAGAGTGTGTGTGTGTGTGAGTGTGTGTGAGTGTGTGTGTACATGTGTATACACAGCAAAAGCCATTGAAGTCTTGCTGATGTTTCCCCCTGTTTGTGTGGTCATCGGGAGCTCCACTCCCTGCGGCCTTCCTGAAACTGCACTGCCTCAGCCGGCTGTGTAGGGGGATGAGAAGCTGCTGTGAACCCAACTATGTAGCTTTGGTGAAGGAGCGTGGACGACCCGAATAGCCACAATACGCTGGTTTCGCAATGGAAATGGTCTTTGAGGTGTTTGGGGGGCCTGGGTCAATGATTGTGCATTCGGGTGCATGCATCTTTCCGCCCCGAATGGGGCGTCTCTCTGCGCACAATTTAACATAAACGGCATCTCCTAGAAGTCAACTTCGTTTTGGAAGATGTGCCAGATGGCCCCGCAGCGAGAGAAAGAGAGAGATAGAGGTGCTCCATTCCTCGCAAGACTAGGCGGTGGGGTTTACCTCCTCTGCTTGCTTCACAGGCCCTCTATGCTTCGGGAGAGGACAGGGGAGGCGCCCCAACACGACGACGCAGACCGGTTACATAGCGTGTCGAAACTGGAGGTGTCGGTTTTCGGGAATCTTCTCAAGATTCTAGCCTCTCAGGTTGTTCAGTGATCGGCTACCGATCTTTATCGTTCGGTCCAAGCTGCTCCAAGCAGTGTCACCGGGTTAGTTGTAGGCAGCCTTGAAGTCTGAAAAGGTTGCTAGGTGGCGCGGAGTGGAGCCGTAGGCATGATGAGCTGTAGCTCGTGGTTGTGCTTGTTTTGAGCAGACTGTTTTCGTGGACCATGTAACAAACGAAGGGGTTGATGCAGGGCAAGAGACTGCACACAGTTTGGGCCTGCTCCTCTCTGATGCGCTATCTCTGACTATGACAAAGTTTCTGCTGAAGCAAGTTCCAGGAACCTCCGGCTGTGAAAGCCGCTTTGGTGCCTGCACCTCCCCTGCAGCAGGCGGGATCTAATTCCGCATGACATTTAGAGTGGCAAGCAGTGGTCGGTTCCAGTGTCTCGGCGTCTCTCTCCGCCAGCCGGCAGTTGCTCCTTTTAAATCATGCGGATCCCCTCTAAGGTGCCGCGACAGGGCATCATCGTTATCATTGTCGCAGTGACGATTATAGAGGTAGCACTAATGCCGTAGTGCTGGTCAGTTCCACATCTCGCTCCAGGCTACCTCAGAAGAAGCCAGACCCGAGAAGCAGGCGAGCTACAAGCGGTCGCCATGGCCTCTAAACTAGGGTTCTGTGGATTCTGCGTCATGAACTCCAACGTCTCCGATTGCCCGAGAAATCGCAGTGTATCACAAGGGTTGGACATGACTCGATTCGGCAGATATCACAGCTTCGCTGGGCTCATGCAGCCAGTGGCTGCAATTAGCAGCTAGCAGTGCAGTGTTCAAGAAGGTTTAGGTATCTCCAGCAGCACGAGGTACTTAAACCGAAACCTCCCAAGCGAATTTTGTCTCGGAGGCTCCCGCTGCGGCGCCGAAGCCCACACCCAAAGCGGGAGTGGCCTGCAGCAAGTTTCTTGTTGTCGTCTTCAGGGAGCATCAGGGACACGGATTCCCGGCCTCGGCTTCGTCGGAGCAGATGAGGGTCGCTTCTGGGTGGTGTCCCCCCCTTTGTAAAGATGGTCGTCAAAAAAAGGCGGCCCTAGGCTCCCCCGACACTCCCTGCATTGGCCAGGTCGTGAATCCACTTCCGCCGATGATACCTCGCCAGGCTTGCCAAAGTAGGGAAGAGAACTTGCGGCCTTGGGGTGCGCTGCAGTTCTATGCAAACTCAGCAGTTGAACCACAAAGCCAGGCTCAGATGACAGGTTGGCACAAGTGCACAAGCCATTCAGGGGGCATATTTGTGGGGAGGCCCGGGGTTCGTGGATGCCTCGACAGGCATGAGGCCCTGTCGTGATGTATTTGCTTCGTGAGCAAGAACTCAGAACCTCAGTTGCGGCGCTAGATTTGTAAGCCTCGGAAAAGCGAAGACCTGAGCAAGACCACGTGTATTTAGATTCAACCAAATCACAAAAGCACAGATTCGCGTGCAGGTCGCCACTCCTCCATCGAAACCTCCGGCGAAGCCCGCTAAGGCCATGATGGTGGTTGGGTTTACTGCTTGAATAAGCCCTGAGTGCTCGCCTTTGAAGTCCTGCACGCGTCACCCCGACATCAAATTGGCAACATGTCTCGCATTGTCCGAGTGCGAGCGCCGAACTGTAAGCACTGAATCTGGGATAGTCCCTGCAAGGGCGAAATCCAAGTTAAGCCCAAATCCTGACCCCAAGCCCTGAACCTATTTGTGTGGAATTGCTCATCGCATGGTCTCTTTTGAGTGCATCACATGCCTGGCCTGGATTGTCCGGGTGTGATGAGCGCCGAAACCAAACTGCCGGACCAATAGCATCTCCAGGCTTGCCCAACTTGTGAGTGCCGAGAGCCCTAAACTATAAACAGATCTAGTTTCTGGTTAGTATCAGATAATTACAGTGTCATAGCAACTTCAAGCCCTAGAACCCTGGAGTTTTCGGCTCCGGATATTTTAGTCAGAACCCAACTTCCTGGCCCAAGCCATTTCACTCGAACATCTCCGAAAGGCTCCGACACAGATATCCGAGGAGTCGAGCGAGGCCCCACCCAGCAGAGCAGATGGTTTAGGGATCCGGCTTGCAAGCTCAAGGAGTTGCTTCAGTCAGCACTGCAGATCACTACAGTCCACTGATGTCGGCCTTTCCCGACGCCGGTCCAGATCATTGAGATCCACTCGTCTGCTTACGAGTACTATGAACTCGTCCATCTTTCCGTTCTCGGCAGGTTGCCGCCGTCGTGGAGGCTCCGCCCAAAGCCCCGGAGGTGCGACTCAGCGTTCCTGCATCCTGCATGTTGTTGCCAGGCCAGAGGTTCCGCTCACGGCGTGAACGTCGCAACAACGACTCAACAACACAATGCTCCTCCGTTTACCAGACCCTTCCATGAAACTCCTCTGCAAGCCTCTGAGACCGGCAGAGGCCAAAGATGCTCTCCCGGAGGCGCCGGCCAAAACGCTGTTGCACCAGGAGCTCTTGAAGGCTTTCGGCCAGAGGTCCATATGAGCCACTTCTGATCTCCGCAAGGACCGTTTAGAGGCCCCCCTTGAGCTCCCCCTGAGAAGGGTCCAGAACACCTACACTTTGGGCACATCTTGTATATGTTCGCCTCTCTGTCTGATTGAATTGCCTGACCGGCCCTTCTGGCTGTCTGCAGTTGTAGGTATATGCATGTGCCTGCCTACGTCTATATTGAGTCTATATACTCATCTGTTTAGACCTTCACCGACTGCCGATGTGTGTTCGCTTTGCCAGGGTCCCGAGCCCGATTCTCGACAGCCCTCTGCACAAAGCTCGCGGACCACGACGCCTTGCTTCTTTGAGTCCTTTCTGCTAGCCCACCCCCCCCCGGTGCGGAACTCCCAGCCTAAAACTTTTTCAACCCTTCATGTAAATTCCGCGGTTAAGAGACCTGAGCCCGAAACTCTGTTGTTTGCTGATGCAATTTTCATCTCACCTCAACACCTTTTCGATGAAGTTCCCTCGAGCGAACGCCGAATAAAGCCCAATCTTCCGAACCCCAAACTGGGATTGTAGTTTATTGTGTCGATTACTGGCTGCGGCTGCATGTCTCGCAAGTATCACGAGACGCCTTGACGGCCTCGCCTTGGGTGTTCTTAGGAAATGTTTGTCATTATCGTCGTAGTGTAGATCATGATATACCTGAAAGACTTATTCTAATTATTAATATAAGGCCGCTATATCATAGTACCCTAATAGATCCCTTATAGATCCCTTTTGAAAATTAAAGGACAGACTCAAACCAAGAATCCCCACTTCTCCCAGGACTCCTAAGGCCGCAGCTAAGCGCCGCCCGGCGCCACTGGCACCAAAGTCACCTGCCAAGAGTCGATGCCTCGGCCGAAATAAAACGCATATTTTTCCAGGGTCTTCTAAGCGATGGGTTTGGGGTCTACATTTGTTACAGTAGCGGAAAGTCGTGTTTTCTGTCCATAGGAATGCTTGCTCGGTAACTGCCATGGTTGGGGCTTAAGATTCTCAGTTTGGGAACATAAAGAATTATGCCATGATGACGTTGGCGGTGGTCGTGGTTGTCATGATGACTTTCCTCGTTGCTATCCAGTGGGAAGTGTATTTCAAGCGTTAACGATCTTATTGACAGTTCACGGCGAAAAGCCGTTTGCCAATGAACTTGCAATCCAAATGATAGCCTTTCTCTTTTCCCCAGGGAATTTGCAACAGGCCACAAAGACGCTGTATCGAGCGATGTGTAATGTTGGGTAGCAATGCGTGGAGTTGTAGAATCCAATGCAAAGCAACTTGCCTGAACGAAGTGTGAATTGGTGCGAGCTGACATCAAGAGTCATCAAGTACAATACTGCTGAATCAACATCTCAGCACCGTGAACCGTAACTAGCAGCCAGCCGAATGCTGGACAAGAACAGCATTTGCACCTTATCTACACGAGCACACTTTGGAGTTCCCGAGTTCCTCCATGTGTGCTGCATTTGCCGAAATCAGCGAGATGCGGAAAGCCGGGCACGTCCAGCCCCGACGAAGAACCGACTATCTCAGGCGCGCCGACTGCTGTGCGCGTCGGCGGAGGGTTCAAGGCAGGTGTTGTTCCAGGATACAGGCTTAGCCAGCTTCGTGAGGTTGCTCTTTCTGGAACTGATCAAGTTTCTTCGTAGTGATGACATTAAGCAGAATTCTGACTACGCGCTTCAATTTTACGCTCGGTGGGGAGCGGCCGAGATCACGAAAGCAGCAGTCATACCTTGTCTTGCGACAGAAGTGCCCATCAGGATGTGCCTGGATGTCTCGTCTTGCAGCTAAAACAGAGTGCACAGTCAGATCGAGGCTGACGTTTTGAGCCGCAAAGTTTCCGTCGCCAAGAGGTGCTGGCGCCCAACCCGCCGAAAGCCCCAACGCCTCCAAAGGCAGGCATGGCTGCATTTGTGAAAAGCGTCACGAGAGCCTTTGCGTTTTACTTTTATCTTTGTAGACCAGGTCCGTTGTTGTTGGCCATCCGATTGGGATGCTCCAACTCCGTACCGTGATGGCGCAATTGCTCGTCGTCCGGAAAGATGTACACCAGCAGAACATCGAACTTGCTTCCGGAACGTGCCTAGGACGCTCAGTAGTACCTGTCGTCCATTCCCCCTGCAGCGACCACGACCGTTCAATCTTGTCGAACCTCTTGGCTTGGCCCCTGCATGGACATCGGAGCTCGTTTGAGGAAGTGGGGTATCTAGTGATGTCTACCGACACATCTTTGCGCGTATACCGTATACATCTGCAGCACCGAGTGGGAATCTCAGCAAGCAGCCTCCCCTGATACGTCAACATCGAACTGGACTGCGGGATCCATTTGGTTCATCCACCCTTGGCTCGAGAGCTTCAGAGAAAGAGGCCGGCAGACGGCCAAAAGCAAAAGCGAAGACGAAGGCCGGCCCAGGGCAGCACCTGCTTTCGTTTTTTCCACCTCGGTGCGGTGACTGTGACTTTGGCATTGATGTTGAAGGATGTCCTTGCACCAATATTTGAGTGTCCGTAGTGTGCCTTCTAGCTGCCTCCTCGCCCAACCTTGAGCACGGACATGAATTTCGATTGATGGTATGGGACCGTAGAATCCGTAGAACATGTGCAGATACACACATTCATAATGTATCCACGAGGCTTGCAAGCATCTATGTACATGCACGTGTGCATGTAATATGTACGCATACTAATACTGCATTTTCAGATCCCGCGGAACTCGAAGCATCTCGGCTCGAGTCCTAAAGCTCGGTACACCCGGCGCTTCTTTGCACAAAGGGAGCCATGGCCGAGGAAGGAAAGGCGAAGCGATTCTTTGGTCAAGAAGTCTTAGGTCCTATAGGGCCTTATATTATGGGAGTTTCCAAATACAGGGGTACCTTATCTTGGGGGTCCTTATAATAAGGATCCTACTATTTAGGGTACCATATTAGGGTCCCCTATTTTCGGAAACTCCCATATGGTCTCGGGTAGAGGGAAATTGAGGGTCGAGCCTTGGTTTTCTTTTGTAGTCTCGGGCGTGTAAGGCTCGATGCTTTCCAGGCTGTTGTGTCAATGTAAAGGAAGTTCTCCAGATGTTTTGTGCACAGGCCGCATGGTTTCGAGAGTGAGAGTTTGAGTGCATGTCCTGCCAAGCCCACAGCAAGCTTTTGATACCCCAAAGCTTCATGCCCCTTCAAACTGTACCGAAGGTGGAAGAGAAAGATAACTTCGACGTCGGCCCGCTCTCCGTTCTCCAGCCACTCGGCTCCCACGCAAAAATCCCGACTGTCGCTTTTGTACTGGTGCTGTGGCTATCTGGTGCTGAATCCGTACTGGAGAGCACTGAGCTCGAAGATGGATTTGGGCAGGGTCTTGCAATAGTAAATGCATCAGCTGTCTCGAAACACTAGAGCACGGGCAGGTAGGCACTTGCGAGAAATCAATCTCTCTGTGCCTTGTTCCAGCAATTCTTCAGGAAGTGCGTGAAGGACAACTCTCAGGCCTGTGTCGCCGCCAAATAGATTTGCAATGGGGTCCGAGTCGCGGTAATCTTGAAGCAGCGCAGAATAGGGACGAGTGGACGAGAGATCTATGCAGAGTCAGTTCGAATCAGTCTCGCAGGTGCTCATCAACTGCCGCAACAATCGGAAGATCCTTGCTCGTGTCAAGGCAAATCCTGCTATTCCTGGGCTCCCCGTTGGCTTCTAGGGGTTCATTGTCTATTAGTCAAGGCTTTTCAGGGTTCTGGATGGCCCGGAGTTATAAGACAGACGAGAAATTATGAAGTGAGAAGGCAATTACTACGCAAGGAGTTCAGAACGGATACATAGGTCTCTTTGAACTACATGCCGCAGCAATTTCTTGACAAGGTTACTTATCGATCTAGCAGCGAGCTGTGTCTTCATGATCTTCATGTTTGAATGTGCATGCATACTTCTCTGTTCATACTTATACACACGCATACTAGAAGGGTCTCAGCCTTCTATAGTGCAAACCGATGGTGACGAGAGGCTTGACTTTTTCTTGGCAGGCTTTCGACCGCCATTCGAACATGGTGCTGGAGAACGCCTGTTGCTCAGCTCTCGCCTGCGGCGTGCCACAGGAGAATGCAAAGGTGTCCTCTCCCAGTCGTTCTTGTTACTGTTTGGGTACGCGTTTGGGTAGGGAAGACATGATGAAAAACAAAGCGCAATCTTTGCGAGAAAAGATCCGACACAAAAGTCCTGCTTGCGAGACGTTGCGAAGTGCAGATCTCTCAGAGATCGGAGCTTTGCAGGTGCGCGAGATGTGGACTGAGACCCCGCATGGCGGCAAGAAGAAGGCCAGTAATCAAAAGCCTTTGCAGAACATGGGCCTTCCTTCAAGGTCGCCGCAGACAGATGTGTCAAGGGACTTCAGGACCGTAGTAATCTTCCCTATATCGCATGCCTCACACATCCCTAGGCAGTAAGAAGCCCTGATCGAACAGCGACGGCCGCTTTTGGTTGCCGATTCTGCACTAAGAAGACTTCGTTGAAAGAAGCACAGGGGTTGTTTATGCAAGCGGTACCCATGGCCGGTGTCGCAGAGGGAGGTTGCGATTGAAAACATATAGCTTTACGGATTTTGTGCTCTGCAAACCTCTTGGGCCTGTCCTGCTTGCGAGGCCAAGCCAGTCAACAAGGATCGCTTCATCAGCAAAATGTTCCTCCGAGGGGATTCTGTGATTCTGGTCTTGCGCAACCCGAAGTGAGTGGCTGCTTCAACAGGTCATAGGTCAAGGGCAGCACCGACACTGACCGAAACTGCACCAAGCTCTCAAGTTCCCAAGTGCTTTGCAAAGGCCTTCCCTTTGTGATTGGTGCAGCTCTGCTGGGTCATTTTGGGATCGAAGTGCGCGCAGGGCTTATGGCGCTGGAGCACTAAAGCCGTCCGTAGTGCAGGGAAGGGATGGCAACCATGGCTGTCGTTTCTGCCAGAATTTTGACATCAAAGGCAGTCCTGAGAAAACGTGGATGCCGAAACTCTGCAAGCCCCGCCCCTTCACCCGGTCCCTCCGTCTTGGCTGTGGCTGGGAGCAGACTTAGAAGATGAGCTTCTCGCAACCCTGACCGGGCACCTTGTTTGTGTGATCGTTACAGTTCATGCTTCTGATCAGAGTCTCCTGTTTCCTTTCGTATTTGCTACAGCCGTGATTATGCGGTCGTGGTTGTGTCAGTTGTACCTGCTGGGAGTCCTTGCTGCTACAGCTATGGTCTAAGATGCCGCAAAACCCACAGACCGTTCCAATGGTTCAGGCTCCTATCTGATCACCACCGGCTCGCCCCTGCAATAAGTTTCTGGCAGAAGCGGCCCTGAGTCGCCATGTATCGATACAGCGGGTAGCTGTTCTTGGAACTAGAAGCTGTAGGGTTTCCTTACGGTTCCTTTCAAAAGGGTTCGTGCTAAAGAGCCCGCTGCTACTACTGCGACTGCCACTACTGCCACCACTGTTATTGCTACTACTGCTGCTACTGCCACTACTACTACTACTACTACTACTACTACTACTACTACTACTACTACTACTACTACTACTACTACTACTACTACTACTATAATACTACTACTACTACTACTACTACTACTACTACTACTACTACTACTACTACTACTACTACTACTACTACTGCTACTACTACTACTACTACTACCACTACCACCGCTACCACCGCAACTACTACTACTACTACTACTACTACTACTACTACTACTACTACTGCTACTACTACTACTACTACTACTACTACTACTACTACTACCACTACCACGACGACGACGACTACTACTACTGCTGCTACTGCTACTGCTACTGCGACTGCTACTGCTACGGCTACTGCTACTGCTACTGCTACTGCACTGCCACTGCTACTGCTACTGCTACTGCTACTGCTAGTGCTGTTGCTGTTGCTGTTGCTGTTGCTGTTGCTGTTGCTGTTGCTGCTGCTGCTGCTGCTACTGCTACTACTGCTACTGCTACTGCTACTTCAACTGCTGCTACTGCTGCTGCTACTGCTACCACCAGTGCTGGTACTAGTACTGGTACTAGTGTAGGCAAAGACATCGTAACGGCGCTCTCTTGCTAGTGCGGGGTATCTGCTGGTGAGCCTCTTATCTTGCGTCTTGCCTCTACTGATCGCTTGGTCCTAGGCGAAACAGGACCAAGATAAGAGACCCTTTTGCCTATTGTTGGCGCTCCCCCTTTGCACTGACATGAGTTCTTCGTGGCACGAGACTCCAACCTGTAGAAGCTATTGAGTTGAACAAAGATCCGATCAATGCAGCCTGATGTCATGCCTTGTCCTTCATTTGCTGTTCTGTTTCCTTTCTCTTTGGCTGATGCTTTTGGCTGATGTTGGGCTCTGTTGTGACTAGGTACCAGTTAGGTCCCCGCGTAGCTGTCAGAGGTGTGCCATGTGGGTGACGAAAAACTTCTACTACACCTGCTCCTGCTGCTGCTGCTGCTGCTGCTGCTGCTGCTGCTACTGCTACTGCTACTGCTGCTACTGCTACTGCTACTGCTACTCCTACTACTACTACTACTACTACTACTACTACTACTACTACTACTACTACTACTACTACTACTACTACTACTACTACTACTACTACTACTACTACTACTACTACTACTACTACTACTACTACTACCACTACCACTACTACTGCCACTGCCACTGCCACTGCCACTACCACTACCACTACCACTACCACTACCACTACCACTACCACTACCACTACCACTACCACTACCACTACCACTACCACTACGACGACGACTACTACTACTGCTAAAACTACTGCTACTGCTACTGCTACTACTACTACTACTACTACTACTACTACTACTACTACTACTACCACCAAAACTACTCCTGCTCAGTTACTCCTATGATCCTGCTGCTGCTGCTGCTGCTGCTACGTCTATGGCTTTGGCTACGGCTGCTGCTGCTGCTGCTCCACTACCACGATGATTAGTTAGAACGGCCCTGGAAGAATTCCCAAAACGAGGAACGTGTCAATTGTAAGGACAACTGATTGAGATTGACGGCAGGAACCCAGGCCCCCTAACTAACAATAGTATGGTTTTGATTGTTATGTTTCGCTCGTACTGCTCCTCAGCCACCCGCGATCCTATGGCGCAAAAGGAACGCATGAACCGACTCCAGCGCTTCTATTAGCTCGGTGAAAAAGACCATGCGCATGATCTCTTCCTGGTGTTGTTGGCGGTGGTATTTTAGTGCTGGTATTCGATGGCTTGTCCTGGTCAGCTTGACAACATCTGGGATTGGTTGGATTGGACGGGTATTGCGCTGGCCACGGAGAATTGAACAGGAGTATTCAGTCAGGTCTGATCCTTCGTTTAAAGCTGAGTTTCTCTGGACACTAGTGTCATGTTTGCTGTTGATGCCATCGTTTGGCCGGTGCACCCGACGAAGTCTACTAAGTGCCCGGGCAAATTGGATCTGAGAGAAGTTGCCCCCCCGGACATAAATCTCAAGCCCGAGCGTGCATTCGCACAATGCGTTGTGTGAAGGCTGCAAGTTCTATCGCTGAGGAGGCCACGGTAGTCGAGCAGGCGCCCATGGACGCCGCAAACTGAAACTTAACATGCGTGCTGCTGCTTTTAAAATCTTACCTTTACGTGTTGTCGGATGTTCCGGAGAATGCTCGGGTGTGACCTGCGGAAGTGCTGGATAAGGCCCCCATGTCTCATGCACCTTCACCCTGAAGCACCCGCACTTGCTACAGAAGACGCAGGCCACCGACTGTTACGATGATTGAATCACATCCTAGGTCATGTATCTGCCGGCAAAGATTGCCAGCTCATGGATTCTCACGAAGCCCTCAGCCCCAAGTCCATTCCGGTGGCCCCGAAACCCTCTGTTGAAAGAGGACGGACCGGTGGAGACGGTGCAGGTGCCGGAGCAGTCGGCGCCCCCAGCACAGGAGTGATTGCCGGCTTCATGAGGTCACAGGTGGGTGGTTGTCAAAAGTAGGGTCCCTTTCTGGGTCCTTATTATAATACGGCACCTAATATACCCACAAAGGGACCATAATTTTGACAACCACCCAGATGGTCAAAAGAAGAAGGTGCATAGGGATAAGGCTTGCACATGGCGAGGACGTACGGAGAGAATCTGTCAAAGAATTGAGTGTGATAGGTTGGAGGGCTGCCTTTGCTTTGTTGCCTTGAGTCAACTTGGGTCCTTGATTTGTTGTTGTCACTGGCTTGGTTCGCAGCTCGCGCATGGTGTTGGACAAGTGCAGGGTCATCCTTCGGCAGTTTTGGCCCTACAGGAACATTGTGACTCCATCATGGGTACCGGCTGAACGAAAAACCTCGCGGATAGCCGGGTGCACGGAACTCGAGATGGTTGAGATGCCGTATGATGGTGCAATGTTTGCGAACTTCAGAGCCTGCATCTCCTTCAATGATTGTTCATAATGACATCCCTCGCCACTGTTGTTTTGGGTAGTCTTCCAGTGGACCCTGTACTCCCAACAAACCTTCCCTTCGACGAGTGCAAGAGTCGATACAACTGCCTGAGCGACAGGAGGAGCTCAGCCCTGAACAGCTGAAGCAAAGAGCCTTTCAGGCAATGGCCCGGGTCTCGGAATGTACCGCAGTGGGGGTTTATGAAGGACTTGGGGGTTATTGGACTGTTTTGGAGTCACCGTCCCCTGTTCTTCAAGGCCCCTTACGGTTGAGGGTATCAGGGTCTATGTGGCCGCGGCCCCATATAGTTTCAGCAGAGGCTATCGGAGCATACACATATGCGTGCCAGCCAACTCTTCAGGCGATACTTAGAGTAGGTTTAGGTCCGTTTAGGTAGCTTAGCAAGTAAGCTACAGCGGCAAGATAACCATAGTCATATCTACTTGCAACCCCAAACAGGGCATTTGTAACCCTGCTCGCTAAGTGCCCTGGTATGCCCTGATGCTTTTCAAGAAGGAAGTTGAGTTGCCCTGTGGAAGTTCTTCCGATACCTGCACTACAGTATCCAAAAACTCCAAATTCCATTCAAAGAAGGAAATGCCCCCCTGAATTCGACAAGACTTCTCCTTGAGACCCGTTCTTCGTGATGGGATTTGATGTCTCTGAGAAATGCCAATCTCCCGTACGTCGACCCCCTGGGTCCGAAGCGAAGCCCAACGAGTTCAATCCTGATTCTCAAGAGAAATTGATTCATGCGTTGCCTGGCGCTGCCAGACCCTCTGGATGCAACGGAAGAGAGAGAGAGAGAGAGAAGAGAAATCGATCTAAGGGGCCATTTCGCTTCGAAAAAACTTCGGGTCAGTATGGTTCCCCTGGCCTGGTCAACCGAGGTCACTGCAGACCACTTCTTGGGCTTGTGGCTCGGACGCTTCATCCCAGGGTACAAATTGGGCTCATCTCACTCCTCATAAAGAATTTGTTTATTATTGGGTTCCGGCTGGTAGGAGGCTCCAAGGCAAGGAAAGTCCACCTGGATTTGATAATCTGGTCGTCAATGCTTCGCCCAACGAGCCCTCCGCGGTCTTGGATCAGCGGATGTTGGGCACTGAGGTGCCGGTTTGAACGGGCAGCCGATCTCTTGGAGAATCAGCTCGAAGCTATCTCCGACGAATCCTGTGCACTTTGTCCCCTGGCATGCAACCCTCAGCTCCAAAAATTGCTCGAAGCTCATCTTCACCCAGAGCCTTCGGATCTAAGCAACCCGTCTGGCTGGCCTTAGACTGAGACCCAAGTGTCGAATGGGGACCCAAGAATATAGGGGCTTAAGTAATTACCCATGCTTTTCTGGGGGTTCCTTAGTATATCATAGTACAGCGGCCCCAAAACCCTATTCTTTTGTAGAAATGTCAGGCCCCTATATTAAACCCCCTATAATGCCCCTTATCGTACCCTTTTTATTGGACGGGAGTCGTCTTGACTTTCCGGCAGGCCTCAGAAGCTTCCAAGTTGAGGCCCGCGGTTTAGTGAAGTCTGCCAGGGGCTGGGAGTTATTTTGCGAGAGGGGTGTCTCAGGCAACAGCGACTTGCACGTGGAGCTTCTCACGAAGTATGGAGGCCGGGTTTTGGCCGGGGCTTCAGGCGTTGCGCTCTTGGTTTTGGCTGTTTGGGGGTTTGGCATGCTTTGGCCCAGAGCCCAGGTGAGCTTCAGGCTTCAGGGATCACAGTTTAAACTTAAATACAATGCAGTGGTATTCAGTATTTCAGAGTTTGCACTACTTTTTGAGACGTTGGTGTTCCCGACCCGAGAAGTTGACTATCGAGTCAAGCCGCCCCCACAGCCCGAATTGACACTTGAGTTGCGGTTTGGTGTTACCGGACAGAGCAGAAGACGAATAGATTTGCAGGCATCCTCTGGTGGGACGGAGATGGGGAGGGCGCCGTTGACGCCTACACTGCTGCGGACGAAGTTCTCGCGGAGCGGATGCAGGTCTGGTTCTGCTGCTTAGCCCCTTCGTTGCTTCATTGCTCACGAGAGATTGCTATAGCAAGGTACTCGTTGTGAGCTACTAAACTTTTCTTGTAGATTGCACGCCTTCGGAAGGCAGAGATGGATCTGCAGCTTATGCGACGGCGTGCGCAGATTTGGGGCACCTGGGCTCGCCCCATATCACCGCAAAGAGCCCATCAAACTGCTGTATCCGAATAGTTTTGCTTAGCCTATCCTGGCTCTGGGGCATTAAATTTAGATATGGAACCACCCTTCACAGACCTTCTCGTCGGCATCTCCTCCCAGTTCTTTTCTGGTGCAGTCCTACTGGGATCCCCCTATATAGACCCAACACTTCCAAAAGCCCTTGCTAGTGCCTATAGTCGTCAATGTTTTGGAAGTCCTCAATGAAGGATTTTCCCTCAGCCAATGTGGTACCAGGATCCTCGCCCAGGCATGTCCGAGTGTGAGTGCTGAAACCCTAAACCCAAAAGCCCTTAAATCCAAAACCCTAAACCCTAAACACCCAAATCTGCGAGCTCCGAGGCCTCATGGCCCAAGTCTACCGCCACGCCGGCCGCCTCGGTGCGGCAGCCTGGGCCTCGGATCTATGGGAGTTTCCGAAAAATTAGGGGGGTATCTTAGTTTGGGGTCCTTAGAAGCAAGCATCCTACTGTAATCCTACTATTTAGGGTAGTATATGAGGGTCCCCTATTTTCGGAAGCCCCCATATCGAAAGTAAGAAGGGCGCGCCCGAAGCCTGTGCTGGTAGCATGAAGCCATTAAGGCCCAGAGCCTCAACTCCAGATCCCCGCAACCCGGGCAGTTAGCTATTCTATGATTATATACATTATGTGCATATATATATATATATCCATATTGGTATTGATATTGTTGTCGCTGGATGTCTATTTGAGTCTATCTATCCTCTGAACCCCTTATGTCCGAGTTGTGAGAACCCCTTTAGCCCAAAACCAGGAGCGAGTTGCGAGAGTCAAAACCAAGAGGGCCCGAAGCAAGGAGCGTCGGCTTGCAGCAGCGACTGCGACCTTGGAGCTCATGCTGCGTGGCCAACTTGCAGGGCTTTGGAAGCCCTCAGCCTTACAGCCTTCAAACGAAGCTTGAAAACATAAGCCTAGCTTTAGTTTAGAATTCTTCCTGAACCATACACCCTGAACCGTAAACTCTAAACCCGTCATCTGGGTTAGGGCTCAGAATTGCGAGGGTCCGCAATCTCTGGTAGGACAACTAGAGCGGAATCCTGACATACAGTACAGCGGCCCTAACAGGGTCTTCAGCGGCGGGACTTCAGAGATTCGTGGCTGGCGGCTCGTCACTCCAAAAACGCAGAAGTCGGAGGTGAGTATTGTAGCGACCCCCCTGCGATTGCGAATTTCAGACAGCCCGAACCCAAACCCAACCCGACCAACCTGAAACTCAAGATTTTAATGGCAGGCTTTCCATGCCCGAGTGTGCTTCCTCGGCGGGCTCCAGCGACAAGCCCAGTTTCGCTTCGTCGGTGCAGGACACTTTTGGGATCCCAATTTCACCATCACATAGTATATTCCGTGGGCTTGGAGAGAAAGCTCTTGAGCGCGAGGACCTCCTGCGCGACACACGAGCAGCTCTGGGGCAGGTACCATGGACAGTCCTTGCATATTGCATTCTCCAAATCGGAGGTGTTGCGGAGTCCAGTATCCGAAAGGGCTTGTGATGTGGCTCTGAGGTTACTTAAAACGGATTGTTCAATCGGAAGGCGGGATCGCTGGCATTCTTGAGTCCAGAGTGGGGACGTGGTTTGGGCTTCAGATGCTGTGCTCCGAAAATCAGCCCGTCGCGAGCATGAGATGGAGTAGTCTAGCAGTCCATGTGCTTTGACTCCCGGGATGAGTTTTGACCTCACAGCATCATGCACAACATCCATAGCCAGAAATGAACGGGTGTCAGCGATCCTGCATGACGTCTGAGTTCATGTAGTCAACCGCCAGCGGCCTGTGTCCATGAGTGTCGTACAGTCATGCATCAGGAACTAGATGGATAGATACATCGGGAGATAGATACATAGTAGACATAGACACCGACACAGGTATAGACTGGTAAAGCTATAAATTTCTGCGCTGGTGAAGCGTGGTTGCCCATTTCCTACGTTTTTCCCTGTCGGCCTCGAACTGCTGTAGGGGAGCATGCCAGGTTTCTGCGAGTTGAAGAACGGAAGATCCTCGGAAGATCCGTTTGGGGCTCCTCATCCTCGGGTCCCAAATCTCAGGTTTGTGTTCAAAAGAAGGACTACGACCGGGCGCAAGAGCTGAGGCCCCAGTCTTCTCAGAAATCTTTGTTGAAGTGCTTGACCCTGCGCTCTGTCGTTGCGGGGCTTTCGGGATGAGGCTGGTGGGTGTCGGTACATACGCCGCAGTTTCCGGCCACTAATTGTCTGACAGCAGAGTGTTAGACCCTAGAGCCCAACGACTTCATCACCTTTCATTACAACCCGCCTAACGAGAGTTCAGAGAACTCAACAGAGCTCCCCGACCTCCGAAATCTCTCCCACCCGAGGCTGTATCTACTGGCTTTCAGCCCGGAGCCTCGATCCGGGCCCTCCAGTCCCTGAGGCTTTCTTGGGCAGGCGATGTTCGAGCTCGAGCTCGTAGCTTTAGACCAGCCCCGGAGCGAAATGCAGCGCCGAAAACGCCACTGACGAGCCAAGCAAATCTGCTTCGGCCGCTCGGGGTCACAGCAGTCCAGAGACGAACATCCTGCAGCGCGACGCATGGTCTCGTAGATCTCGGGGCTTCCTGGGCTATGCTGTTCTTCTCAACTGTGGGCAGTTGGTGTTGCGTCGAGAGGAGCCACGGTGCTTCCAGGATTCCTGCACTGATCGCTTGCACAAAGCTGTGGGTGGGTCCTGCGTATGTCATGTCCAGTCCCACTGTAGGGGGATGCTGTTGCGTTCGTCTCTGGGTGCGTCTGGAGACCTGTAGTAGGGGGAGAGCGAATACCGCATCCCTGTAGGTAGTAGGCTCCAAGCCCGTGCGCGGCGCCCGTGGGAAAAGCATGCAGGGCATCAAAGCCAAATTTGTGTTGAACACGCCCTCGCAGTAACTGCGTGCAAGTTTATGCAGTGTTTTCAACAGCTGTGCCACTGACAGGCAGGCGTTGCAGCTTCATGGCCAATTTTAAAGCGGCCCCCTGAACCCGTAACCCATAGTCCAGCAACCCGAAGCGCGACATGACTCCCACAAGTGACTCTTCGCGAAACATCCGATTTGGAGCTGCTGTTCTTTCGCATATTCTGAAACGGTACATCGTTACCTCAGTAGCGCCATGTGTTTTTGTTGAAGATCGTTTCGTTTGGGTTTTTTTGGGAAACTGCGTAGCCTGAACTCCGGAGGTCGTCCCGGTACAGAACCCTGGCAAAACCCGCAAAATCCCAAGCCGCAAGCCCCAGGTCGCAAGCCCCAAGAGTCACAAGGCCTAAGCGGTCTGCAGCCTTCAGCCCTGACCAAGATCTCTAAGGTGGCATGGGGTAGGCCTCCTCACCGGAGAGCTGCGAACCAACATCGCACACTTCGCCCTGGGCTTACTAGGATTCTCCCAGAGCCTAGGGTTTTTCGGACGTGCTGTGAGTCCTCGGGCCTGAAACCTTTTCTCTAATCTTGCTGTCCGCGAAGAATCCCGACACTTTGGTCGTCTTATCGATCTTATCGCCACTACTGGCAGTAAAGGGGAGGGGAGGCCTGCACTCCCCCGAAAAGCCTTCGTCCCTTTGCTGAAAGGGGCACCCGAAAATCTAGGAATCGGGGACTCAGGCACGCGATGCCCTGTGGCTCCATCGCCTCTTCCAAGGCCTGCGGGGGCTCAGAAAAGAGTGAGCATTGGCCCTGCCCTGCAACTGACGGTTCCGTTCAGAAGTTGCAATTTGTCCAATGGTTGTAAAGTGGAGTCAACACGACATCAAGGGTGCCTACTCGTATGACCGATCCTATGGTTTTCCCCTTTGAAGCCATGCTTGGTCCAAGGATGTCCAAGGTCACGTCCAACCGTCGCCCACTGACTTCTCGACTCTGCCTGAGCTGTTTGAAGTCCGAGTCGAGGAGGAGGGTTGTCATGTTCATCACCTTTGTCTACGTCGCCACCATCGCCATCATCCTCATCACCTGCATTGCCATCATGACAAGCGCCGCCAAATCACCACATCCATGGAATCTGTGTAGTTCAAAGCAGGCCCGCCCTCCAACTAAAATCATTTTGCCATGCGATGTCTCCGCACAGTCAAAGCCTTCGTTCGGCTGAACTCAAGACAGAAGCCTCGCACGACTAAGCTCAATACTCCACATATTCTGCACGCCGAAACATGCTGCACTCCTTTCTGAAAGCCCCAAGAAGCCAAAGCTAGCTTTCTAGAGCTCAGCCCGCTGCATTGTGCACCCAAAGGCAAGAACGCAACCCTGTTAGCAAATTTATGCCAGTAGCAACCCTAACCCCAAGCCTATCGCAAAAATACCCAATCCCTGAAAGGCAGAGAGCCAGTAGAGTCCCTTAGCAGCGGACGGACCGTGGAGCAGGCCGAGCTTTATTTGAGTTCGGGCCTTCTGCAAGGTTCCTGCAGCAATTTAGTTTGCTTGATTTCGGGTTGGGTCGGGTTTGGGGTCAGGGGGGACGGACGGATGAAAGCCGGTGACGTTGCAGGTACTTGTCACCAGCTCTCAGCCTCAAGTCCAAGAACATGTTTGAACCCTGAGGTGCTCACGAAGCATGCAGCCACGGAATGCATGGAGAATGACCGGTGCGTTTCTTGGCCGCTGGTTCTAAGGGAAATCAGCCCTGCATCTGCGACAATCAGAACATGAGCGTCACCACCATTGCCACGTCTAGCTAGCATAATCTGAGCCATTGTAGAAGGCAGGCGTCCACCAGGTGATCTCAGTTTGCCACACACTCTACTGTTTATTCGTCTTTTTCGCTGGCTTGAGAAGCTTGGATGTTGAAAGCTCTACATCCTTTTGCTCGTGAGGTGAAGACAGGCCGACAGGTTATCTTCTCCATGGAGCAGCCCTTTGTCTCCAAGTGTTTGCGCGCGCTCCTTTTGTGGGACTTGTGAATTCTCCTTATTGGCTTGTTAGAGCTTCCTATTCATAAGACCACTTGCAGCTTTCAAACAGTGACCATCTCACCTCAGACCCAGGTTCCTGGAAGAGGCCAGGACGGCTTTCCGCCATGCGCGACATGGCCCGACATGGCTTCAATGATTCCCAGTTCCTTGTAACTACCAACCCATGGCCCTTTATGAGCATCCGTCAACACTTTCTTCCGGGCAACTAAGAGTAGGATGATCTGCCGGGAAGAGACAATCATGTGATCTCATGTCCCTTACCACGAGAGCCTGCTCGATCGCACTCCTTGCTGCTGCGATGGGCCGGCAATGGTTAACCACATCGATATACCCTCAGCACTGCTTGCCAAACCATTTGGTGAACTCTGCCCATCCTTTTGGAATCAATCATTCTCGGGCTGCTATGACCATTGCCATTGCTATTGCCATTACGTTTTCAAATTTCCTTGTTACTAGTATACTAGTACTTTAAGTCATACTGCTACTTAACTTAATTACCTACTTGCTTGTTTACGTACTTACTTGCTTACTTACCTACTTACTGGTACAGTACCTGCTACGACGATGACGCTTACTACCACTACGACGACTACTACTGCTACTGCTACTGCTACTTTGTTGCTGCACGCCATTACAATTTCCTTACCATTGCCAGTGCCATTTTATATGTCACAGCAGTACAGCGATACGCAATGGGAAACTTGGGCCAGATCCCTGTAAAGTGATAGGACCCGAATAATCATCCGTGGCCAGGTTGTAAATGAAAAACACGGGGCTGTCGACAAACGTTCATATGGTATCATATGGTCAACGAACCCGTTTCAAACTGTGTGGTGCACTGGCTTCGTGGTTGAAGCCCCCTGCCAAAATGGCCTGTCCGTTCTAGCAGTCGACGCGTTAGTACGAGGAGCTGAGTGGCTTCATGGTCGCACAGTTCTTTGCTGGACAGATCCATTCACCTCCTGCCCTTGCCTGGCTTCTCCGAATGAGAGTGTCAAAAAAGCGCTGGGATGTCTAAGTTAAAAGCCCTACAAACTCACAGCCCCAAACCCTTCTGTGCAGTCCGAGCGCGAGAGTCCAAAGCATTAAAGAGCTCTAGACTCGAGCCGTCACGTCTACAGCCCTTAAGCCATCAAAAGCCGTCTGGCTCGCCCGAGTTGTGGGAGCGTAAGGTCCCTGCGAGTTTCACTCATCGGACCTCGAACGAGGGTCCGAGAGCGCTGAAACCGGGCAGGTTGCCTTTCAGGACTCCACCTTGCCCAAGCCACCCCTCTTCCATGCAGGACATCCTGCCGGGGCCCCGGCCAAGGGCTCCTTTAAAGGTTAGAAGACAGGTCTTATCACTTCTGCATGTCTCTTACTAATATCATCAGACTCAGGTTCGTTCTCCATGTGCAAAAACTCAGCTTCTTACCGTCGGATGGCAATATAGATACAAACAAAGGATCTCACCGGCTCAAGGCTCCAGATCTCGAAAGAAGTAAAATAAGGTCTCCGGTGCCCAACCTTTCATCTTTCTAGATTCGCAGGTTTACGCACAGTCCTGAAAGTGTGACTTGGCAAGAATCCAAGGCTTATAAGGGAGCAGCGAGCTTTGCCTAAGTTCCTTGCCTGTCGGACAGTCCAAACACCCGCAAGGCATCCTAAACTCACAAATACGTGCACCCTGCCCCGAGCTTTATGAGATGGTGGACGGTCCCATCCCTCAGCTCCATGTGCCGTCCGAGTGCGAGACTCCGGCGGATCTCACCGCGGATCTGCTCAGAGGAGTTCCCTTTCATGCGTGCCTGAGTGGTACTGGTGGGCATTGGTGCCATCCGGATAGCCCTTGGAGACCGAAGACGAGCAAGCAGCGGGTCAAGCAGTATGACGTCTTTTTCAGCCATGACTGGCAGAGTGGGCGCTGGAGCAAGCATCTGTCACTGCTGGTGGCCTTCAATGGCTTGCCTGCTGGAATAGCGAGCTGGGTATCAAGCTTAGTGATGGGCCTGTTTTCATGTCTAGGCATTCTGCCCAAAGCTCTTGATGCTTGGGCGCCTCTCTGGAGCTACATGGTGTCATTGGCCACCTTCTTCTTTTGGCAGCATGTGAGGCGACTCTTCCTCGGGCCCGCCTTTGCTTTTATTGATAGTAGTTGCATACCACAGGATGACGAGGTGCTGAAGGCAAGATGCATCCAAGGATTGGGCACCTTTCTGGCAAGGTCCGAGCAGCTAGTTGTTTTATGGTCACCGCAATACAGCCGTCGATTGTGGTGTTGTTACGAGTTAGGATTCTTCCTTCTGAAGAAGAGGAAGGCCAAAAAGATTCAGTTCGTGCCCGTCCAGATCGGACGCATTTGTGTATGTTTGTTCATCGGCGTGTTGCTCTTCCAAGCAACGATGTATGCCGTAATGTCCAGAGAGGGGGATGCGATGGTGGTGACGGGCATCATGACAGCTGCCTTTTGGTTACAGGCCATTGTCATATTCCCAATTCTGCAATACACCATGACAGCCATGCTCAAGGACCTGTCGCAACTGCCGAGACAAATTTGCGAGTTTCGCCTGCAGGACTCTGAATGCACGTGCTGCGCACAACAGCACCGTCACCCTGTCACGCATGCAGCTATTGCTTGTGACAGAGAGCTGATCTATAAATCTTTAGGCAGTACGTTCGGATCTTCCGGCGGGAAGATGGAGGAGGAAGCAGCACTCGATGCATTCAACGGCTATGTGAGGGAGACGCTCGCTCGTACCCTCGACCGAAATTTCAGGCATGACAACATGATTTTGAGGCATGCGCTGGTCACCTGCGCAACCGCCTGTGGCCCATGGGCATCCCTTACAGTGACCACTGCTTGTGAGATGTCAATGTCAGGAGAATTTCTGCTTCGATGGCTTGGACTACTCATCTACGTCGATGCCGGGCTCCTTTGTTTGATGCGGGTCTCGTTGCTGATAGGTCATTTCGGCGCAAGTCGGATGGAGAAGTACCCCGGACCAGTTATCGTCTTGAGTCAGGTGGTGATGCTTGCCTTCAGCTCGGCCGCAATATTTTTGCCCTGGCCAGTGATCTGGGTCTTGTCTTCTTCAGGGTACTCTTGGATGTGGACCAGTGTTTTGGCTGCAATGGTGTGCATCAGCGGCTGTTTCCTTTGGCCGGCTTTTAGCGCCCCATCTGCTACACTTGACCCGGAGCCCGATCTGCCAAGCACAACCTATGGAAGAGAGACAGGGTCAAGTCGTGATGAAGACGAAGGGTCAACCTTCGAGATCTAGACTTTAGAGAACACAGACTTACATCCTGAGAGGACAGACTGCCAAAAGCAGGCCCCTACTTTCTAGATCCGGCTGCAGCAATGCAGCCAATGATTTTCCCAGTGCATCTATACTCCATGTCCAACCTGCAGTGAAGAATGCTTCCAGTTGGACGGTTTTCTCTCCGAAGGAGACGAATCTTTTGCTGGCTACGGCCGCGTCGCCTGAAAATCCCTGAAAGGCGGTCCAGGTAAGTGTTCTTAGATTGATAATGCTCGGACCTGGACAAGTCTTGGGTCGTGGCTTGTTTTGATTTGTGGTTGGTTGGTCAAAAGTCCGAGCGCAGCCGCAGTTGGTAGGACCAGTCGTCGTGAAGCCCTGCATGCCCTGTTCACTGAATTTGGATTTGAGAGTCAAGCGTCTTACGGCCTCAGTTCTCAAGAAACGCCCAAATCCCAGTCGAATGCAGACATACCTGCACCTAACCCGAATCTATTGAAAGGACCGGAACCACACGGACTGCTTCGCCGTAGCCGCACAGCGTTGGCGGCCGTTTCCTGGAGATGCTATGCAGGCCTGGGCTAACCGGCAGCCCAGAACTAGCAACCACAGCAACCGCAGAGAACTATGAGAATGGTGATGATGATGTCAGCAAGAGTGATTAATTTAGAGAAGCCACAGCAGTAGTGATAGCTGTGCCATTAGCTGAGGAGCGGGGCGCAGCTTTTCGGTGAGCCAGGGCTTCCGTGGGCTCGGGATATTTGCTCGCTAGCGGAGGGTATCCCGCAGAGGGATTGAAGCTTTGTAAAGAGCCGAATAAATGGAGCTATGCACGGACAAACTCTCGTCCCGTGACTCATCTTCATAGGTAGGTTCATCGGCTCTGTGCGGTAGAGCGATGAAGCTAATAAATGGTGTAATAAATAGTACTGGTGCACATGATCATAGCCATGGTTATCGCTAACATGGTACATTTAAATAAGATAGTAGCACGTAGCCGCTGCAATCCAACGATGCCAATGACAAGCAGTACAGCAGCTGCAGGTATGTATATTTCTATCACACCGTTCATGCAAGACCAGAAAACTAAGCGTGACGATCATGTGGTGAGTTCATAGGAGGTCAAGTTATTTGGTTCGTTAGTATTGTTTCTTGCCTGTTCGACATGGGCGGGGGTGGTGCTCGAAATTCATCTGGATATCCTGGAGGAGCTTACCGGTCCTTGTCTCGTCCAGAGAGATGTGCAGACGGGTACCCTATTGCAGTACTGCAGATCTGTGATAGTTTGTCTCGGGCTTTCACCTTTAAAGATGGCATCGGGTAGTTGTAGGTTGCTCTTTATCTTAATTCTGGACGGTTAGCAGGTTGTTTGTACCTGTTCTGGTGCAGTGACCGTAGTCAGTCTTACAAGACTGGCCCGACTCTGTCCTAAGCCGTTGCATTCCTTTCCAAAAGCCGATGGACAAGGAGGAGAAGCAAAGCATTGGCAATCCTGGAAGGAATGATGAAGTCAACTGAACTTAAAGACTATGGTTGGCAACGCGCAATAACAGCACGGATGCTTTTGATACTTCTGCTGCTGCTCAACACATGCAAGCCGATCTGCAGATCGTATGCATCTCCAAGCTGCGCGACGGTAGCGCTCGTCTCTCATTGGGCTGGGTTTTGCATCAGAGAAGTCTGGCGTGCTAAGCAGTTTGTCGTCTTTGCCTGTGGCGATTTTTCCGGACGACTGCATGCGAGGAGCTCGATGAGCACTCGACGAACATGAGTTTGACCTGTTGCCGCATCGCTGCCGTTTGTTCGCATGATGAGATAATGAGAATCTGCAGCATGCAGTGTTGAATCTAGTTTGCATGCTCGCTTGTGACGAAATATAAGCTTGGCGCTAATGACACCAAGGAGGAAAGGAGGATTGGAGCCTAGGCTGAGGGGAATGCTGCATTTCGCAGATGCTCCCATGTCTGATTCGCGGTTGCATGACCGGGCGCATAGTTCTTGCTAATCGGAGAGAGGTGCGGACGTTGTTTCGGCAGTTTATTGCAGCCAGATTGGAATTGAAGCTACCGAGCGCTTGACTGATTGGCAGGCTCCTGCATGATTCTCCTTGCCTTCCCTTGCAGCCGTAAAACTACCCTAAACCCTACACTCTGCGAGAGAAAGGCCACTACATAAAAACAACTGTTACCAAGTGGAGCTGCGCCTGGCCAGGCCGACTGCCAAAGATTAAGGAACCTATGAATCCAGACCCGTCAAGCAGATCGACCCTCATGTCATAGTGGTGTCGCCAGGTACAGAGTTACCGTGGCAAGGCTTTGCGAAAGTGCAGGAGCTGAAGGGGGTTTGGCCCTCCTAAGACATAAAGAAACCTTTTGATTGATTGATATATATATATATGTATATACATACATACATACATACAGGCATGTTTATTATGCACATGGCATATGTACGATGTGTATATGGGATCAGTGCACCTTGCTGACGGCTTTACTGGCTCAAAGCCGACCACTTTCCGCAAACGATGCGGCACGACGCAGTTGCGTCCAGCAGCAATGCACACGTCGGTCCCATGTGGAGTCATTTTGTTCCTCCTTTACAATTCTGTCTTCAGCCGACTAGCTCAGTTGTCCACCCTGCTCCAGACTCCAAAGGGTCTACGGTTTACATTCAGTCAGCTTTAAGTCCACGTTCGCACACCCGCACGTCTCAGCACCCGGAAATCCATCTGAAACAATGCCGCAGCTCTGCAGCGAGGATTACAGATCGCGGTTTGCGGCCAAAGATCCTCTTCGTTCGGAGGCATGGCCGGTCGGATAGACTATCATCTCCAAGTCGCCGACCGTTTCCTGAGCAAACATGGGGTGAACTAAGCGCTGAATTCCGCGGATCGGTGTTGGTAAAGCAGTTGGCTGTTACACCCCGGCAGTTGCAGGGTTTAGTCTCACTGGGCTCAAACGAAAAGCAAAATTTACAGATGACCTTGTCAACTTGAGAAGTTGTGCAATGCATTTACCTCAGATTAACTTCGCGGTACCAGCAATCCGCGTTCATCTTCGAAACTGCCCGGTTGGTAAGGTCTACGAACTTTCATAGATGCCGAAGTCATCTTGCAAATGATGCCTTACCTCCGCTCCTGCCAGAGAGTTTCCGAAAGAGTCGGCGCAAGCTGAAAGGAATGCTGCGACCCGGCGTTGGAGGGACGAGAAGGCAGTTCTCGCCCACCTAAAGGCAGCCAAGCCTGTGGATCGTTTTTAGAAACTTCAGAGGTTGGATCAGAGGGGTCTGAGCAGCAGGTCTTCCTCAGACAGTCCCCATATAGGTTCTGATAGAATTCGCGTCTCAGTAGTCTTGCAGAGTTCGAAGCAAGCCTTGGAACCAAAACGGAATCATGCTGAGTTTGCTTACGGGCTACGGGTTCAGAGCTAGGAGCGCAGGAACTGTTATATCGTTCCTAAGTCATCCGTGCATCATGCCTGCTGTAGCTCCAAGTGCATCTCAAACTCTCCGGTAGCAGACACGAGCGAGTGGGAGCTCCAATTGCGAGATGTGAGTTATGGATTCTGGTTGGTGCAGGCCGCAGGCCATGATCCCGCAGCAGATGGACATGGCTGGAGCAACTTGCACGAAACCGCAGCCATTGAGCCAATATCCAGAAGCATCTCAGACATCTTTTGCAAAATCGGCATCATCACCCTTGTGAATCATGGTGGTGCAAATGCTGTAAGAATGTTGTGGCTACTATCATGGGTGCGAACATCTCCTCTTAACTGCACGTAGCACCTACAGGGATTTTCACGCCATGGCTCTTCGCTCATTCGTCGCATTGCATTTGGTATATCTGGGCCGCTGCCACCCCGGTACCTGGGATGGAAAGGTGATCATGCGACCGGGCTGCACATTCGCATGATGGTCAGGCGCCTTCGTTTCGTTGCATGGGTTGCAACCGTTGCTTCCGTTTGCATGATACGCCAGCTCTGACCGAGTCTCGTCGGTTTTGAGTGCTAGAGACGAGTTTACGACCCGTTACATCTGAGGAACGAAAACGGAGCCGAGCTTCCAGACTTGAGCGGCGTTTGGACCGGTGCGACTTTGCTGAGATTTGCTGCGGCATGAACCCTAAGCCCTAAGCGCTAAGCCACCCAAACTTTGGAGCAATTGCCCAGCCCACCACCGGCACACAAGATGCCTAACTTCCAAGCTAAGACAACGCCCCCCCCCCCCTTTCACACAAGGCTCCAAAGCTCGGAAGCAATTCTGGACTATTGCGGCAACATGGTGGCCTACGTCCATTTGTAGGTAATAACGGTACATAACGGTACTATACTAATAAGCCTGTCCGGCACGCCCTTGCTATGACAAGAAACTGCATGCGGCGACGAGGATGATGGTGATTTCCAGCTCCGGCTCTTTCAGCCGCCGAAAGCACCCTGTGCAGCTCCGAACAGCCGCTTGGATATCAGATCAGCCCGTGTCTCTACCCTTGACTTGGTTTGCACCCTTAGTGGTATCATGTTTTGGTACTAGAAACTAGGAGCAGTCTACCTCCACTGCTATACTAACAGCAGCAGCAGTGGTGGTATCAGCGGTGGTAGGTTTAGCGCCGTAGCCATGATCTTAATCTCGGTCGCATGGTCTAGTCATAGTCACCGACGTCGTCGTAGTCGGGGTGGTGGGGGTATGTAGCAGTAGTAGTAGCAGCAGTAGCAGTAGTAGTAGCAGTTGTATTTGTGATATTATGAATGTGGTCATCTTCCACATGATAGTAAGCATCATGTCATGTACGCATCGGCATGAATCAATGAAACGCCATATCTCAGTGAAGCTGATGGGCTGATGGTCGTATGGAAGCTTGGATGCATGTCAAGCACGGCTCCGAACTGCAAAAGCACGACGGCCGCTCGCAGTAGCAGTAGTAGTAGTAGTAGTAGTAGTAGTAGTAGTAGTAGTAGTATTATTAGTAGTAGTAGTAGTAGTAGTAGTAGTAGTAGTAGTAGTAGTAGTAGTAGTAGTAGTACTAGTAGTACTAGTAGTACTAGTAGTACTAGTAGTACTAGTAGTACTAGTAGTACTTGTAGTACTAGTAGTACTAGTAGTACTAGTAGTACTAGTAGTATTAGTAGTACTAGTAGTACTAGTAGTACTAGTAGTACTAGTAGTACTAGTAGTACTAGTAGTACTTAGTAGTAGTCGTCGTAGTAGTAGTAGTACTACTACTACTGCTGGCTACCACGAGCTTTTTTGAAATTGTGGTCGTGTCCTGTCACAGCAAACACTCACGAACATTTGTTTGAGGCAGCTACGCCCGCCTGGCTGCTGGAAGCGAGCAGCTTTTGGAGAACCTCGTCCTTGGTCCCGCAACGAACTCAAAATAGGTTGAAACGGGGGTGTGCTCACAGATAGCATCTCGGTTGCAGCATGGACCAGCGTAGTTGCATGCTGTACGCCCAACAAGGTCACGGTCCAAGCGTGCCAGCACTTTCGGAGTAGTTTCGAAACGTTGGCAAGTTGGCAAAGTTGCGTCGACGGTGATTTGGTATGTACTACATATATCTAAATGACGTATTCTCTCTCTCTCTCTCTCTCACCGACGCGGACCATCCCGTTATTCCAGGCTGGTCAAGAAGCACGGGAGGGGTAGGCGATTTCATGCTCATGCGGCCAGCTGCGTCTGCAACAGATTGTCAAACAAGCTTCGTGCATGTTGCAGCTGCTTGCTGGGCACGAAATTATTGGTCGAGGGTGCCAACCGCTTGCTCCAAACTTTGGTGCGTGTGGGCGGGAGAATGCGGCTCCTTCGTTCGAACCTACAAGTCTTGCTGCCAAGTGCCAAGGACCTGCACCTTGACACCTATCTACGACTACGACACAAGGCATCGTGCCTTGGCATGAACTCCCACTTCCTCAACCTTGGAGGTTGCTGCTGCGATGACACAGTGACGATGACGGCGATGACGCGACATGCATGGCTGCAGCTGCCGCAATATCGTGATCGTAGCGGCGATCTTGAGTTTCGCGAAGATAGCGAGACGGCGGCTATGATCATGATAATGATGACGATCACGATGTGGTTGCTCTTTCTGTTGATGGTGCTGACCAATCTCAGTACTGTCTCTGAGCCTCGGAAAGACGGTGCTGATGCTGGGGTGTGGCTGCCACTGCTGCGCTTTTGCGTCTGTACACCTGCACAAGGTCTAGACACGACGATCCGCTGCCGCGGCGCTGTGGAGGACATGACCCGGGGTTGCACCAAGTGCAGATTGCCATGCTTGCCCGGATACGCCGTCGGTATGCTCTTGGCTTGATTCAGGAGTCACTAGACATGATCTTGCCGACCGGATTTTTGCAGGACACCGCAGCGTATACTGGGTCTGCTACTTGGGCGTGACCCAGAACAGCAAGCGACGTTGTGCAGAGTGAGATGCGTGCATTATATCGTTGATTGTTTTCTGACCTACTTGTCGGATTCTCGCCTCAGATCCTGAAGTTTCAAGCCCGTCATACTGGAACTGCGTACGACAGGCCTTAGACGGTTGTGCTTGTGCTCGCTTGGCCCCTACCATTTTGAGTTTCACATTCTGGTCTTGCCACGACGGGACCGATTGCACATCAGAAGTCTCAAGCGTGACACTCAGTCCCGACTGAACTGCTGTGCAAAGTCAGGGGTACTAAACGGCTAAGCTGGAGAGTACCATCAAGCCCAACAAAGTCTGACGAACATGCGGGAAGACTCGCTAGCATGCAGCGAGGTATGTAGCGACACTATCCCGACTCGCCACGAATTTGAACAAGCCTTGAATTGAGAGTCTTGAATACCCGAAGCCTCTAACAGTAAGTCAAGCATAGCATTGCTCGATCGCATGTATCGCCATCAGCGTGTATGCCACGAGGTAACGAACCGCAGCCATGTGGTGTGGCATGGCAAAAGCCCGTGGATGCGCAAAGAGGGCACGCCCCAGACACCTGGAGCAAGTTTAAGTGACATGCGGATGCCGCGAAATAAGACGGCGAAGCCATGCTAAAACGCATCCGATACTGCGCGCGTTTAGGCTCTGCCATGGCCCATCGAAGTCTGGCATAGCCTTGCACAGCCAGGTTGCTGAGCATGTTCATCATACTTACATACGATGCGATGTCGTTTTACGGTATGCTTTGTTAGGAGAGTCCTGCAAGCCCCGTCTGGATTCGGCGAAGACCCCCCACAGTTTGGAGGCTTGTAAGCCCGGACATGGAACCTGGAAGCTCATTCGGCATAGGTTTGGCGAGCATCGCATGCTTTTGCGTTGGCGCCATTGATATCACTGTGTTTGTTTTCATACTGTAGCTGGTGTTTCTGTTGTTGCTTCGTACTTTCTGTTCCAAATTCCATTAGTGACTTAGTGAAGTGTTTTCTGGAGGCCAGTCTTGCTTGATCAGATTCACAGCCTGAAGTTTGCTCTTGGTATCATAGGCGAAGAGGGCGTGCAGAAATACGATCCTGTCAACTGATGCTGAGGAACCTTGGCCACTACGCAACGTCCAAAGTGAAGAAGGTCCATGTCGCTCCTAAGTGGCACTGGGGAGGTCTCTTGTTGAGGCTCCACACCGCGCACAGGTCGCAGCTTGAGCCTTGAGTGTTGTCAAGACCTGGCCGACTTTCCACCACATCCTTGAAGGTTTTCATGAACCATTATGACGTTGGCTATACGGACTACATCAACGGCGTGCAGCTCTTAGCTGATGTTTGCCGGCGGGGTGCCCGTAATCAAGAAGAAACTACATGCAAGCAAGCCATCACCAACAAAGCTTACATGGGAGTTTCCGAAAATTAAGGGTACCCGTATTTTAGGGTCCTTATAATAAGGATCTACTGTTTATAGGGTACTATACTAGGGTCCCCTATATTTTCGGAAAACCCTCACATAAATCTCAAGAGAGATCAGAGGACCATGGCTTCTACTGTTGATTCGGGCTGCGCTTTGAGCAGGACAAAATATGAGGACCGACAGGTGAGTGAGACAGAAGAAGGAAAGAGAGCGAAAGAAGGCAGTCAAGAGTAATAGCCTATAGGAGTTTACGAGGCAGTTCGGAGGGTACCGATGATGTAAAACGCATTGGTTTTGCCGTATTTCGTGAGACAGGTGGGAAGGAAGATGCAGGAAGCCCGCGAGGGCAGAATGAAAAAAACACCCTGACGGACACGCGCTCACGCTTCCAGACAGAGGGTGGGGATGGAGCAAAGGTGTGAACAAGAGATATGCATGTTTCGCTCTAAGAGGCATGCGCGGCAGAACGGCGATTACAGCAGAGCTCAAGACATGAAATATGTGAGGCTTCATGTCGCGCTGGAGGGAAGTGATTTTCTGAGAGAATCGATTTCGTCGCTTTGCGACACATGCAACGGCCTTTATGCGCCATGTAGCTCGGATCGCCAAAACTTAGATGCTTGGATAGGGAGGCGTCTGTCTGGTTTTAAACTTCCTGTAAGGGGCAGTAATATGAGAAAGCAACAGGTTCACCTCAGATTTTCGCATTCAAGCCGACTCGGGAGGTTGCCGGCGTCCGTGTACCTGTGCAGGTTCAGTACGCTTGAGGGTGCAATTTCAGATTAAGCAAGGACTCTCGCAGATCCCCAGGCCCAGGCAGGACATTGTGGCATTGTGCAATGTCAGACCCAAAAAGCTTTAACACCTCAGCAAAGGTGGACAACAAGCGGCTCGGAATGATTTGAGCATCCGGTTGATATTAGACACGGCTGCTGGGTAGTTATTCGTTGTTGGCGTAGCGCACCAGAACATAGCCCAGGAATGCGTGCGCCGCTTGCAACAACTGTCTTTGCCTGTGAAATCGCCAGTAGATATCTGTGGCCCCCGTGACTCCCTATCTCACTGTAGATGTACAAGAACAACACACGTTTATGCGCCTTTGCAGAGGTACATGCACGAGTACTACGCATCGGCCGCAGCCACTGCACAGAAGATGCGCGCAGCAGGGCTTGGCAACTTCACGTGCCTTCGCAGGTTTGACCTGGAGCCCGGTCTAAGCGAAGATGGTTTCCCTTAACTAGTTTTCTGAGCCTGTTGGGTGCAGACTTGGGTTTATGCGAACGAGTTGAAGCTGTTTCATGTGAGATATGCGGAAGCGGTGACATGGGATTCCTACTATTATGTCTTGGTCAAGTATGGGGCCTGCTATACACTATTCACAAACGTAATCATCCCCTTAGCCAGGAGCCCTGGCAGCTTAAACCTTGCACTCCCAAACCTGGGACCTGTGAGGTACACCACCCATCCATGGCTAATGCAGCGCTTCCTGATGTGTCCCTGCGCATCCGACGAGGGCAGCTCCTGTCTGGCCAGGACATGGATGACTACAGTATGACTACCTTTCCGGGTTCTTCAGGGGAAAGCTTTTCTCTCGCAGCATGAGAGAAGTGGGCTTAGTAGGCGCAGTAGGAATGACAAGGCTTACCAGACTGTGGATTTTGCCTTCAATCCCAAACTCCAGCTGCAATGCTTGTGTCTCTAGCACTACCCTATCTGCACGCTGAAGATGCTGAGTGGATGGGCAAGCTGCGAGTGCGATTTTGTCGGGCGAAGGAGCTTGAACAATAGCTTCGAGAAACCTTTGAGCATCTTGCCACAACTGGTCGGGCAAGACGCAGCATCTGCCCGACAGCTGCCTTTTCCACCAGCAAGCTTTATTGGTGGAGTTCGTTCTCACCATGGACAGAACCCTAGACAGACTTATCCGCATCCGCAATACCTCCAACTCCTTCCGCACAGCATCGCTTCGTTCCTGCAGTGCAGCTGTTGCGATACTCCAGCATACGAGCCACTTGACGGGGGACCGTGCAGAGCCCTCAAGCCAAGGTTGTCCAACCGCAGCTTGGTATTGAGGGACGGCGACGGGTAAGGTTTCAAGAGTTGAGGAAGTTTGTTCGTGCTTGTATTCCGATTGCTTTTGTTCTGGTTTTGTTATTTCATAGCAGTGACGATTGATGAGGCCTTGTGCGTCTCGAGAGGTACTGTTACTGTCATCATAGTCGGTCGGTCGGGTTTTTACTTCGGCGATGTGATTCTCCACGGTATACTCTAAGGTGTTAAGTTAAGAACTGTTGCAGGGCTGTGGGTGCATCCAAAGCCCCCACCCCAGAACAGTGTAGTGTAGCAGGCTACACCCAAGAGTCAACACTACGTGTCACAGTCGCAACGTTGCACCATCATTGATGCGTGTTTCTTGGCTGATCTTGCCCAGCTGATTAGCGGTTGTCTTATTGGGAGACGGGGTCTTTCAACCTCGCTTCGAAGTTTGCACATGGTTTCGCGTCCACATTCCACATATGGTGTGTGCAGTTATTTGGCGCTATAGGCTTCTCGGAAAGATGTTCTGGATCCTAGAGTGCACAACACAGCATGCGACGAAATCCTTCTGCATGTCACGCCTTACTCCGAATCCTTACACTGCCCAAACCCAGAGCTTCAGGCTGAGGAGATCGCCAACTTTTCCGCCGCCGCTAGGCCGGGGCCGTCGTGCATTTACCTTCGTGTGTTCTTATGAGACATTGCGAGACCGTTTGAACAAAAGCACCAGGCACATCACCACCACCACACGCACCACAAACACCACCGCCACCACCATTGCCACCACGACGACCATCGTCGTCATCCCGAGCATGCGTAGTGTCACTTGTGCCATCACATCACCCCTGCCCACATCATACCGACATCGCCGTGGGTGGTGGCCATCGTCCGCATCATATAGCAGCTTAATATAGCATCAACACCACCGCCAGGACCACCATAATCTCCCCGCAGTCGTCAGTGTGGGCAGGCGAGGGGACATTGCCTGGAACGCGGCTCCGTTCAACATCCAGCCATGGCCCGAGTCCTGCGGTGCTGGCTTCTGGAACGTTTCGGAATCAGCCACGCTGTGTGCTGAGGGTGCTGCACAGGTTTTCAAAACACACACCATGTTTTCAGATGGAAGCATTGAGGGGCCATGCACAAGGCATGCCGAGGTAGTCCAATTTCGGAGTCCCGGCTGTGAACTCTGAGCAGCGGCCTGATTCGATAGATTTCTGAGCCAGCAGAGTCTCTCGCAGGCCGGAGAACATGGCGCCCGAGCTTTTCGAGGCCTTCTCATAGGAGAAATGGGGCTACTAAAGGGGCCCAAATAAGTAATCACCAAGACCATATCGAGGTTCGTCATTATAAGTATAGCCTGTTCTGATTATTAAGGCCCCTACATCAGCAGCTTCCGTTCTGGATTCACGTCGACTTAGATGCTGCTAGCTTGCCTTTCTGCTTTCAGAAGCAGTGAAGATAACTCTTCAAAAACGTTGCTCGCATGGGCTTTCGCAAAGAAGCTTCAAGCCAGGAAGATCTCGTTGGAGACGGGAAGTTGCTGTCAAGCTACCTGCAGTCAACTGCCCCAGCTTTGGTTGTAGACAGACCCGATGATGTTTTTGCTAGTGTTCTTTTCGGTGGCAGTATTATTTTCCTTGGGGGCCACAAATGCCACCACCCACGCCCACGAAGCCCCCCGACCGAACGAGGCCAGCTTTGATCTTGCGAAGCGCATGGACCAACGCTTTGGGCGTCAGGCAGGGCAGAAAGTTTGGATTTATGTATTCCCTGTCGGTACTAGTGATCATCATGGGGGGCTGGTTTAACTGACTTGAACATTGACGTGTTGACCATGTCGAAAGGTCGGTGTGGTGCTCCAGGAACGTGAATGTTCCACTTTTGTTTTCAGGCCACCCGAACAATGAGCATCCGCGATGTGATCTACGTGACTCGCGCTGTGCTGCCGCACCTGAAGAAGCAGGGCATCACGGGCCTGACGATCGGTTCCTGAGCTCAGCAAAGTTGGACTATCACCCTGGGAAGCAATGACCGTCTTGCAGCCGATCAAACCACCCTGCAATGCAGGCTCGTCCTTGCGAATAGAGCAAGTTTCTCTGTCACTTCCGCAGCAGGTACGAGTGTCGCAGTGAGCGTTGAGAGCATCAGATTTTTCAGCCGAGGCTCAAATGGTGCAGACTATCCGCCGCAAGTCCCGAAGCTCCACCGATGGAGCTCAGCTGGCAAGCAGCCGTGGTTGCTTGCAGTTGCTTTGCGTTTCGGAGCTGTGCGCTGTGCTGCATGTTCAAGCTGGCGTCAGTTCAAGCCAACCCGAGTGGATGAGTTGAGCAAAGGGTTGACGAGCTCTCTGGTACGGACATTGTCGTGGCCTACCACGCGCAGCTTGCCCAAGATGTGGTCTCCTTCTCTGAAGCCTGACGACGACAGTCCTGAGACAGGGACGGGCAGCCTTTTCATTGAGCTCTTGAGTTTTATCAGTGCAGCACGGGCCAAAAACTTGGGAATGATTTGGACGGCATGAGCCCGAGTTTCCAATGGTGGAAGCTAAGGTACGGCTACGGCGGATACGGTCTTAAGGACGGCTGTGTCCTGAAATCAGAAAACCCAAAACCAAGGGTGTGGCCCACAACTCTGTGATAGAAATCGACTGTATTCAGGATCCACATGTTCTTGTTTGCGTGTCTCTTGTTATCTGCTTCCTGCTACAACCAGCTGCAGGACTGTGCCGAAGCACCGAATGGTGTTGCCCTGTGCACGGAGTTCCGCACAGAGTCTCGCCTGTTGTCTGTATTTGCATGTATCGAAATCAAGGGTCGGTGAAGATTATTAAGGATCCAAGACGGCTTTCAAGAGCATTTGGGTGGCTAAGGTTGAGTGCTCTCCACAGCAAAGTAGCTCTGGTGGGTTCCCCTTTGTGAATAGTTGAATAGTTGTTCACATCGAAAAGTTGTCGTTGTTGGGCAAGGTTTCGGATTGTTCGTTTTAACTTTGATTTGGTTTACTCTGCTTCCACTCAGGACAACCGTGGCCCACCGGCCAACACCTCCGAAGTGCTCGCGGTTCTGACAAATGTGAGCAAGGAGTACCCAGGCACAGGGAGATACCAGAATGCACTCCTGCATCCGACACTGACGATAATGGTGACTATAGTTGCAACAGCATGGCCTCCGCCGTGACCATGGCAAACTGCACTTAAATCTCATTGTGACGCGCAACAGGAGCGCAGGTGATTTCGTCCACCTTCGATGCCTTCTTCGCGGACGTGCAAGAAGCCACACGCCTGCACATGACAGGATTACGGCTGGCGTGTTCTGAAGTTTCAGCAGGGCGCACAGGATCTACTTTGAAGCCACATACAGTGCGGGCCCGACTATCTACAAGGTTGAACCGTGCAAAACCCGTGCCTTTGGGAAGTTCCAGCTAGTTGCTTCGAGAGGTGCGTGAAGAGCTGCCCACGGTGACTCTGGAAGTAGCGGCACCTTGGCTGACAATGCCCTCGACATTCAGAGTTTGAATGGTGGTGCGCCTGGACCACATGTCTTTCGCTGATCGTTACTTCGAGTTATACTTTGATGTCCGAACCCTTAACCAAGAGGCCTGCTTTACATGCTCCATCCGCGGTCCTCAGTGTTCCCCAGACACTCCCAGATCTTTCAGTCCCAGTCTTAGTGCACCTCCTTCGATGGAAGATGTTCGAGGATTTGCAGGTCCATATTCAAAGCTCGCACCAATTCAAACCGCAAAGGATCCCACCAGCCAATCCGAAACACATCCTTTAAATCCTAAGCCGTGGGTGGGATGCCCAATAAGGGGGGTACTATTTATGTAATCCCTATATATGAAGTATAGAAAACTACAATGAACTGAAACTGACCTAAGCCCCCTGCCGGGCCGTGTTCAAACATCTTTCCACCCTAACATCCTGTAGAATAAACCCTAAACCCTAAACCCTTGAGGACACAGTCACTTTATGTGTTGATAGGTTCTGTTGCTGACATATCATGACGGAGCCTCTTAGTACAGTCTCACTTTGCAGACGCGAACTCATATGCCTCGCCTGGATTGTCCGAGTGTGAGCGCCGAAACCCATAAATCCTTGAAGGACACCTGGACCTATGGCAACCCCTCCGATCCGCTGAAGATGGCGCAGCTGGGATGACAGTTTGGCAGGGTTTCGGCTCTCGGAATCAGGCTAGTATACTAGTATATCCCTAAACCCATATGTAGTTTCACCTCGCAGACTCCGAACCATATGCCTCGCCTGGATTGTCCGAGCGTGAGCGCCGAAACCCAATCTTTAATCCATCTAAGTATCGCAGGCTTCGGCAACAAGAAGGCTCTCGGAGTCCGGAAGACGTGTCACTGTTTTTTTGTTGAGGGCGGAGGCGTACGGGATCCTACAGGCTCTTGGTTGAGAACAGCTTCAGCCTCACAGAGTGGAGACGTGTCAGCATTTCTTCGGGTTTTAGGAAACAGCCTCAGATATGAGAGCACGTAGCATGGAGCCACGCCCACAGAAGCTGAGGCAGTATCGCGCGATCCAACGAGTGCCGTGCTCAGGAAGCGGTGTTTCACGAAGAAAACAAAGAACGAACCCCATATACATACACTAGACGATAGGATCCTTGATGACAAGGACGGAGTCCTTCTTGCAGACTAATGGAAAACTCCGCCAGCGTCCTAGATTGTAGCCAGCTGTCGTGATTGTAGGTTTTTTAGCCATCAAGATCGAGGCTCGTCGAGCTAAACCCGTTCTGGCGCCCCTTTGTCCGAAGCCGCATCCCTGGGCTGAGAATGAATACAGCATGAGACCCTGTCTGAGGCCTCGTGTGACAAGTCCGAGTTGGGAGGGACCTATAAACTCTAAACCCGAAACCCGACATGGCCGCCCGTACGGCTCAAGTCGTGTACAGAGACAGACCGAGGTTTTGGGTTATAGGGGTGTTTGGCCACATAGAAGAGATGGCGTGCTGTGGCAAGACGTGCTCCAAGGTTTCTATCTGTGTTGGCATTCTGCTGGTGATCGGAGGGATTGCCTTAGCCGTGGCGGGAGCGCTGTCCATCGCTAACATCAGCATCAATGTCAGTGCCACCATTGATGGAGACATGACTGGAATGCTTGCCGCGCCCTCCGATCTCTCCTGTCCCTATGTCATCTTAATCGAGAAGACTGCAGACTGCACCGTCTTCGGCACCTCGGCCGTAGTGTCCACAGGAGCGACGCTGAACACCGACCTATGCGGTGGCGAGGAGCTGCCAGACGATGGCCCCGAGCGCGCGCCCGCCCGGCGTGGCCTGCAGGACCTGGATTGGACGATCGGAGCTTCTGAGACCAAGATCATTGACCTGAAACTTGCAGCTGAGCTGACCTTCACGGAAGACACGGATGTCACCCTGACGAGCTCGGAGGACATGTGGTCGATGCAGCTTTGCGATGTTTTCCTGGAGGTCTTTGAGATCGCAGGGCGAGCCATTATCATGGTGGCCGTGGGTGTGGTCCTGCTGGTCGCGGGTCTCATCACATGCACTATTGGCCTTTGCTGCTGCTGTTGCTGCGCTCCCAAAGAGTGAGCACAGAAAGCTAAGGCTTAGCATGTTGTGTCCCAGATCCCAGAAAACCTGAAAACCATGGGGGGGTTGGCCTTTCCGAATCCATAAGCCAAGGAACTAGTGCCCCATTTGGGGGCTGACTGGCCTTTTCATGCTCAAATCCCAGCGAGACGCGGAAAGAAGACCCCCCAGATGTAGCATCGTCTTGCTACAGCACTACGAGGCTCCACTTGCACAACGTTCCAATTATCGCAATTATTGCACATTTTCCTCCGCCGGGCAGGGCGGAGGCAACGTGTACAGCAGTACCGCACCGGGATGTCGCGGTACTTCTGCCCGGCCTTCTTTTGGGAACTTGCCTGAGACTCGTCAGTAAAGCACGAGGATCAGCCCCTTGCTGGGGCAGCCTTTAAAGTACCATCTTCGAGGAAGTTGGTTCGTGGCTTGCTCCGCTGCTGCTGCATCACTTCAGGATTGCAGACTGCAGCCACATGGGTGCGAAGACTTTTCAGGAGGAAAACAAGTGACTGCAAGGCAATGCATTGGCGTAGAAGTAACTCTAAACCCGAAACAAGACATGACTACCCGTACGGCTCAAGCCGTGTACAGAGACAGACCGAGGTTTTGGGTTATAGGGGTGTTTGGCCACATAGAAGAGATGGCGTGCTGTGGCAAGACGTGCTCCAAGGTTTCTATCTGCGTTGGCATTCTGCTGGTGATCGGAGGGATTGCCTTAGCCGTGGCGGGAGCGCTGTCCATCGCTAACATCAGCATCAATGTCAGTGCCACCATTGATGGAGACATGACTGGAATGCTTGCCGCGCCCTCCGATCTCTCCTGTCCCTATGTCATCTTAATCGAGAAGACTGCAGACTGCACCGTCTTCAGCACCTCGGCCGTAGTGTCCACAGGAGCGACGCTGAACACCGACCTATGCGGTGGCGAGGAGCTGCCAGACGATGGCCCCGAGCGCGCGCCCGCCCGGCGTGGCCTGCAGGACCTGGATTGGACGATCGGAGCTTCTGAGACCAAGATCATCGACCTGAAACTTGCAGCTGAGCTGACCTTCACGGAAGACACGGATGTCACCCTGACGAGCTCGGAGGACATGTGGTCGATGCAGCTCTGCGATGTTTTCCTGGAGGTCTTTGAAATCGCAGGGCGAGCCATTATCATGGTGGCCGTGGGTGTGGTCCTGCTGGTCGCGGGTCTCATCACATGCACTATCGGCCTTTGCTGCTGCTGTTGCTGCGCTCCCAAAGAGTGAGCACAGAAAGCTAAGGCTTAGCATGTTGTGTCCCAGATCCCAGAAAACCTGAAAACCATTGGGGGGTTGGCCTTTCCGAATCCATAAGCCAAGGAACTAGTGCCCCATTTGGGGGCTGACTGGCCTTTTCATGCTCAAATCCCAGCGAGACGCGGAAAGAAGACCCCCCAGATGTAGCATCGTCTTGCTACAGCACTACGAGGCTCCACTTGCACAACGTTCCAATTATTGCAATTATTGCACATTTTCCTCCGCCGGGCAGGGCGGAGGCAACGTGTACAGCAGTACCGCACCGGGATGTCGCGGTACTTCTGCCCTGCCTTCTTTTGGGAACTTGCCTGAGACTCGTCAGTAAAGCACGAGGATCAGCCCCTTGCTGGGGCAGCCTCTAAAGTACCATCTTCGAGGAAGTTGGTTCGTGGCTTGCTCCGCCGTTGCTGCATCACTTCAAGATTGCAGACTGCAGCCGCATGGGTGCGAAGACTGTTCAGGAGGAAAACAATTGACTGCAAGGCAGTGCACTTGCCCAGAATGGAAGTTGAGGGGAAGTGATCTCGGTACACTTGGGTTTTGAGCCTGGGTTGCTCGGAGCTCTCTCAAGCCCAGGCCTGGATTCGCTGCCGCGCACGTGGAGAGCCCCGGTGCGCCGCCGAGGACCCGGCCATCCAGCTGCCTGTCGCGGGATTTGAGCTTTATAGGGCTAGAGGGTTTAGGCGGTTTAGGTTTGGGAGAAAGGCTTGAAGGTTATAAGTTCTAGGGTTAGTGGAGGGGACGCCGAAGGTCCGGAGGTTCCTTCACAACCCTCCTAATGATTGAGACCCCTGTAGTAGTGAAGACAGGATCTCATTGCCGGGGATCGGTCGGGTAAGTGCTTTGAGGTTTGAAATGCAGTGCCAATACAGTAACCAAGAACTGGAATGTTCCCGTTGGCAGTCTGTCAGCCACCAGAAGATTTCGTATCTGCGGGACTGTGATGGCGATGCCTTTCTATTGAGGCTTCTAATGTTGTTGTTCGTTATTGGGGGCTGTTGGCTGCAAATGCAGACAGCTGTTGGCCATCGCGCAAAGGATGAAGTGGGCGTTCGGAAGATGTAAGGCGCAATATAAGTGGTGTGACAGTTGCAGATGTAGAGTCCTGTGCTGTGTTTTCCCACCGCCTACCATTTGACTTCGTGCATCAGCTGCTGCATCGATTGCAAGTGAAGCCACAGAAGCTTGCATTAAACATTAGGCTGCATGCAGTCTAGCCAGCTTTTGGGGGTGCTGGGACCTGCATCTAACTTTACCCGGCCTCAGGGCATCTATTGCGCGCCATGCAGCCTGCTGTAAGCGAGCCGGTGGCAGCCGGACACGGCAAAACCCAATCCGTACAACAGTCTATTTCAGGGTTCGGGGTCGAGGGCTAAGGTTTCGACTTCTATTCTTGAGAGAACCCTTTGTCACATGTCCATGCCAATGTGTACTGGGAACAGCCCAGGAACATGACCTGGTTCCTGCTCAAGGCCCCGGAGCACACCTGGGGCACGCCAGGCCGATGGGTCGGGTTCCGCGCAACGCAGAAGTTGCGCAGCTGGTTGGGGTGAGGGCATCCCGCCATGATGTCCACCCCGCCAGTCAGCAGCCTGATCATGAAAAGCCCTCTCATGTTATGACTGTGAAGGAACGGACGATTGTGAACTCAAGCTATATAAGAATAAGTTCAATAAAGGTTGGCACTTACGCTGCACTCCCGGTGCTTCTTTTGCTTGAATCGGTGGCCCCTATGCCCTATGGAATTCTCGAGCGAAGTCCTGAGGCTCATGAGTCCAAAACCCTTTTTGAGACCACGGTGTCTGAATCTTCCACAGCTCGCCAGAGCTCTATCGCAACATTTGACATGTCCAGGGATAGTTAGTGGGTGCATGACAATGCAAATAATTATCTGGACTCGCATGTTCACATGCATGTAAGTATAGTATGTTTTGTATGTTGTGGATTTAGATGCGCAGTCACATTTACCGAGGCAGGCGGCAGGACAGGCGCGCACTAACTTTGTATCTATGTCAAATATGTGAATCCGTCCTTCCCTCTGTCTGTCTGTGCATGTTCGTGTGTGCACGCGTGTGTGTTTGTGTGTTCTCATGTCTTTGTGCATGCGTAAAGATTTACACACTGGGCCTGGCCCCAAGCGTTACTCAGACTGTCAAGTCCTCGGGAGCTTACTTTTGAGTATAGTCGGGCTTTCCATCTTCCCCTGTGCACGTGAGATGTGCGCCAGGAATTTCCGGCTGGGGCAAGGGCGGCGATTACAACACTTCGCTCTTTCGCCATGATCCTCGGTCCGACATTGAAGTTCAGAAAACAAAGGCAGAGAGAGCCAGATACTAGTAGACAGGTTGATGCTTCAGGCAGAGGCAGGGGCTGGGGAAGAAGAGTCAGAAGACGGATTCAGGACTGTGGGTTTCTCTTTCCAGCTGCTGGAGGGGTTCGAACTGCCAAGCCTCGGAAGCTTTAGAGCTCTTCTCCTCGCCTGAGGATCTCACCAACGAGACCTACATGCGACTTGTTTGCATGGGGTCTCTTATTGATTGTCCAAGAATGCAGAAGGCATGGTGAAGAAGTTTGCATTGACCCCGACCTCATAAGATGAAAGTCAGACTCTCATCGGTTAAACCTCTTTCAGAGGCGGGCTGCTGCATCTTGGACCGAGCAGCGGATTTTCAACGAGCTGGCAGCGAGAGCACTGGAGGACGAGACGGCCCTGTTCTTGTCGGCTTTGGGCTCCTGGGATTCCGGACCGGACTAGAGCGCCCCTAAACCGAGAACTGGTGCCTTTCTGAAACAAAAGCCGACCTAAAGACATGACACTTGTTCCGACGTACCTCCAAATCGATTCCTAAACATCACTAAACCCTCAACCTAAAAGCGTACAGCCGTACAACCCTTTCTAGCATCCAACGAGGAGGGGCCCGCAGTCCCCGTGCCGCATCCCTTGGCGGAGGAGGTGCCAAAGGGTTTGGATTTGGTTCAAATCCGTGAATGCATCAGTCAGGTTCAGGGCCTAGAGAGGCTTAGCATGTTTTAGCATGAAGATCTGCGGCTGACGGGCCTGGAGAACGGGCGTTTGGGTTCGGTGAGTTTTGGAAGTTCGGAACTCGTGCAGGTCGACATACAGGTTTCAGGTAATTACTACGTGTAGTGATGTCGGAGGGCTCGGCACCTGACGCGAGAAGCACAGCTTTGGGCATGCATCTGGATCCTCCAAACATGAAGCCTCGCGCAGGTGAGAAATGAGCTGAGGCGGGCGGTTGCTTGGGGTCGCACATGAAAAGTGTAATATGAGAGTTGTACATCACTTATGTATACTAGGAGATCTGACATGATCCTACGGCATATTTGACACGCTTGTATCCTGCAGGGCAGTGGAGGACGTCCCGACGCCGACAGTTCCTGCGTCAATGGTTGAGACTAGGCAAGACCGGCTATTTGATTGTATCTGCTCAAAACGGTCATTTGCCTTTCGACCTGTATAGCAGCGCACGCACCAACAGCACGATTCCAGCCTCGAGAAGAGCTGCAGCTCCGGGGTCGCCTTTCGGCAGTTCCTTCCCACTCTGTGGGATCTTATACTCTTCGAGGAATGCCCCGTTCACCAACTATGTGATCATCATTTCTGTCATGCTGATCCAAGGAAGTGTCCGGCAGCACGCGGCTGCGTGCACGCAGCGGGGCAGAGCTGGAACTAGGCGCGATCTGCCCTGAGGCATTTTTTGTTTGCCGGTTTGGTGGGTCCCCGTTTACTGATGGCGGCACACTTTTTGCCCGAGATATCGGTGCCGTCCGTTTCCTTCGGAGAGTTTTTTCTTTTTGCGGTGGCTTTCACCGAAGCCCTGTGCAGCCTGTGCCCCATGCCTCACATGCCTTACAACGCCTTTCCTTCCTTTCTGGGCATTGACCTTGAAGGATGGGTTGCATGGCGGTGACTGAATGATGGTGGGATCGGGGTCTGCAGCAGCCGCTTCCGGCTCTGTCTGCATGACAGGCGCTGATGGCTCGATCATTCATCTCGAGCTGCCCTGTCGCTTGTCGGAATTGGAGGGCTGCTCCGAAGCACTCTCTCGACGTGACCCCCGGGAAGATTGTACAGACATACAGACATGCGCACAGAATGCGCGCAGGGAGGACAAATGGCAAGACGTGTGCTTACCCTTGCTCGTCTGCATGTGCACACTCTTGCGGATGAGTGTCTAAATGAATCAACAGAGATATTTTTATGTGTGTAGTTTTGTATATGTATGTAAAAGCATTTTGCATGTATGCGTGCCTGCATGCATAGCGCACGGATCCGGGACCGGTGCCGAATTCATCTACGTTGGAGTCGCTAAGGTTGCGGCATCTGGGCGACGTCCGACTCCCCTCTGGGCGCCTACACGTACCAAACCTTCAATGACACGGAATGGAAGCCGCCCTCGGGCTGATACACTGTATATAGTGTTTGGTATAGGGTTTGCTTGTATGGTCTAGTATTAAATTCGTCTTAAGACTTATTATGGGGTTGAGGGAGAGTAGTGAAGATCCAGGATTCTGGGTGTAGGCTCGCAGGGTTTGGGCTGACAACATTCGAGGGGCCGGAGAGCAAAAGCTTAGTTAGTTTGTTACTTCATTGTTGTTAGCTGGAAGCGCAAACCATGCCCTCCGAGCCTTGAAGTAAGACATGGGTAGTTGTCAAAAATTAAGGTTCCTTTGTGGGTACCCTAAATATTATTAGGTGCCGTTCTATAATAGGGGCCCAAGAAAGGGACCATAATTTTGACAACCACCCATATGGCTCTGGGTCGGGACTTTATGCATGCGATGCACTGCGAGTTTTTCAGGCACTGAGACTCTCTTCAGTCCAGTGATTTCCATCTTCCACCATCTTCTATCGTGTGCAGTCAAAGCTAGGAGATCTGGGAGCCCCTTGTTCAATATGAAAGATCCTGCATCGAATCTGGAACCCTTGTCAGTGCGTAGTCCGGGCGCTCCATTTATGGATGTATGCCTTACCGACAGCTGGCGAAATGTCCAGTATATGAAAGCCCTGGTAGTTGGTATGTTTCAGAACTGTTCGTTTGTTTGTGTGTTACCAAAACCCCGAAGCCCTTATTTAATTGATTCAGGTCCTTGGGTTAGCCTTTGCTCCAAGCCAGAACGCAAGGTTCACATATGCCTACCTCAACGACCATGCAATGCAAACCGGCTTCTGCAAGCCGGGTTCCAACAACTTCTCGGAGAGCCGGATATGGAGGTGAGAGCCTGGGTTCTGGGCGCTTCGGGCTTCAGGGGCTCGCTTCGTGGAGGATTGATTGGCCCCTGGGCCACACAGCTGTGTGCGAAACACAACCTGTATCGCAGTCGAATGGTTTCGACTTGTTCAGGCACTCCCGGGCGCTTCACAACACTGTCGTTGTCCCTGCAGGCCCACTCTAAAGCACCTTTGGATTTCCGGTGCTGCCAGCGCCTTCGATTTCGCGGTTGCCGAGCTGCGCATGCCCAGGACTTCTGTCATGTTTTTGGGTTGACCCTGCAGGGCTTTGCATTTCCTAAGCCTTGTGTTTGAGACGTCAAGGCCGTCGCTGCGCATTGTTAGGGCAGAAGCAACGATCGTGTTTGTTTGGAGCCCGTCGATACGAAAACTTGCAGCCGCACTAAAGAAGCATGTATTTCAGTAGTCGTCGTCGCCGTCGACGTCCTACTAGTATTAGTATTAGTAGTAATATTATTGGAGCCCAAAAAAGTAATTGTAGTAGTAGTAGTAGTAGTAGTAGTAGTAGTAGTAGTAGTAGTAGTAGTAGTAGTAGTAGTAGTAGTAGTAGTAGTAGTAGTAGGAGCTCAAGCAGCAATAGCAGTCGTAGTAGTAGTAGTAGTAGCAGCAGGAGTAGTAGTAGTAGTAGTAGTAGTAGTAGTAGTAGTAGTAGCAGTAGTAATAGTAATAGTAATCGTAAGAACAATAATTTATTATTATTGTTATACACAAATACTACTACTACTCCTACTACTACTACTACTACTACTACTACTACTACCACTACTACCACAACCTGTCTGCTACATGTGCCACTATTGCGGGTTAGTTTTATTGCGGTCCAAAAGGGCATGCAAAGTACAAGGAGCTTGAATGTGATAAGATTTTCTGCTGGTGCAGTCTAATCGGGATTCCAAATCCGAATCCCGTAGCCACATCCTTCGCGCATTGACGACACACCCCAACACGCAGGAAGTCCAGCGTGACCTACGGCGCCTGAGTCTGCACCAAACGGCCAGTTTCGAACAACGCCTGGTATCATTTCTCATGCTACCGCTTTTACGATGTTCGGCAGTGTCAACAACTGGAGCTTCAGTTATTGCCTGTCAGATCGTGAACGAATTGAGCTTCGGCGCATCATCGTTATGGTCTTGTCGCTTGAGCCACAACAGGAAACTGCCAGCCATTCGATATTCAGTCGTCCCGTTTGAAACGAATGCCGGCAGTTGATCTCCTGCGTGTCGGTTTATGTGGTGCTGCTACACCTTCTGGGATGCTCGCATCATGAGGTGCACCTCACACAATCTTCTTGAACATCAGCGCTTCAAGGACTTCAAGTGCTATGCTGGTCGAAATGTAAGTTAGCCGGGGTGGTCTAGTTGTTTTCCTGGTCTGCTTTAGAATCTAACCCCCCCTGAACCTTTAGAGTATCAGCCCACTGTCACCCTGTCGCAACCCTGCCAGTCAGCACATCCAACTATCGGAATTATCTGCTGTCGGTCCTTCGCAGTAACAGGGTTCACCCGAGCCTGCGAAAGTAAACACGGCAGCTTCAACAAAGAGGGTGTTGAGAGTAGGCAGTGCTCGCACGGCCCGACCTCACTTCTTAGAGGACTATGGGGTCTTTGCTTCATAGAGAAAGCTATGATAATTTTGTAAGGTCCAGAGCGCCAGACCTCCCAAATCCTGATCCCAAGATCCTCGAGCCCTACATAGATGCAAACCGAAGCCTATAGCAGTACTTCCGACTGTTGTCTCCTGATCGCTGTTGCTTCAATAAGGCTGTTTGTTTGTATTATTAGTTTTATTGTTATTTGTGTTTGTATTTGTTGTTGTATTTGTAGTTGTAGTTGTTGTTGTTGTTGTTGTTGTTGTTGTTGTTGTTGTTGTTGTTGTTGTTGTTGTTGTTGTTGTTGTTGTTGTTGTTGTTGTTGTTGTTGTTGTTGTTGTTGTTGTTGTTGTTGTTGTTGTTGGTCTCATCGTTCTCAGTGCTGCCATTTGTCGGCATGATCGCTCGCAATTCTTCCAGTGCTGCAGAAAGTAAAGCAGACTCCTAAATCGTAGGATCATGAATTATGGAACCCCGAACAGGGTACCCACGTTTTTCTCTGAACTTCCCTGCAACAGAGCTCTCGGAAGGGATTCGGTGGATATGAACCTTGTCACAGTGGGCAAGCTGCCTACCATGATCGGCGAGTCGAGCTCAGCTGCTTGCTTACGGCTGGCAGTATTTGATTGAGCCTTTAATTCGTGGGGTTGATCTGCAGAGGCTTGGATTACAAAGAGGCTTCTGGTACGTTTTCGCCAGGATATATTTCCGTATCCAACCATCGAATAAGCAGGGTTTGACGGCTGTTGGGCTCTTCACCCCCTTTCAGTGTCGGGCGTAAGGCGGGCTCTTGTTCTTACTATTCCAGGAGATTGATGGTCAAGCTGTGAAAGCCTTGCCCTGAAACTCCACAGCGCTGAAGACAAGCCTTGCCAGAGTTTCTCTTCAGCCCTGATTCCCCTATAGGTCTCGAGGGTCCGAGCGTGCGCACTGAAACCCCCGAACTCGATGGTTCCCGGGCCGAGCCCCTGGCCGAAGCACGGCTCAGGTGGCCTTTCGCCCCGCCCCGGCGCTGAAAAGCCACGGCGGCTCCGCCTGGCGACTTCAGAAGCTCGGCCAGGCCGGCTCCTGATTGAATTTGGGTGAAAGCATATAAATCCTACTCTCTGGCGTGCTTCTGGGGGTGTTGGAGTTGGGGTTGCTGGGTCTGGCATTGAGGACGCTCCAGGTTTCGGAGCTTGCAGGATCTCGGAGTCGAGATGTTGCACATGGAGGTTAATCCACACAGGGCATGCTCCCATCCGAATGCGGATCCGATGATCGTAGAGCTTCAGCTTCCGGTTTCGTTTTGAAAAACTTGCTAGAGAAGTATACTCAGTATACTCCACTCTTAAGAGTGCACTGCCGAAGGTTTCCCCGGTGCAGAAGGTGCTCGGGTATCCTGCTTTGCCTTCCCTGACTGTGGTAAATCCTCGTATTGAGTTCCCTAAACCCTATAGGTTGGACCTATATGGTTCAGGGATACGGGCTCACTGTCCGTGTCAAGTTGCGAGAATTGCCATAGCGAGTGAAGGAGATTGACCCTGAGGGGGTCCAGGACGGTGGCAATCAGCCACCTGGCTGCTACAGGATTACTGTTCTGTGGTCAATGACCTCAAAACCCCCGCGAGATTGGGTTATCGTAGCCCATGCAAGGGCAAGTGTAGAATGCATAAAGACCGTTTGAGATGTGTGCCCAACGTTCACCGAGACGAAGCCCGTCCATTGCAACGCCTTTTTCAATACTCGCAAAGTTTCGATCAGAAGAAGGGAAAGGTGCTACTTTGCAGACAGAGGGAGCGAGAGAGTTCCCATCTGCGTATATTTGTACTCCTTGTCGCTCAAATGATGATTCCTGGCAGTATGATTATGGCTATATGCGTAGACACGTAATCCATACTGTGAGTTGTTGCTTGCGCAGCTGTGACATGCAGCCTTACAAGTCCTCGTGTGAGCCACCGCTCGAGGTACACTCACGGTGTGTGGGGTGGAGCGACAGTCAACACGGCCCATGGCCAGATGACTCTGGACTCATGGGACGCAATCAACATGAATCCCATTACGCCGGACTTCCCTATCGGAGCCTGGGCTGGCTGTGGGTTCAGCTGCATGCAAGAAAGCTTGTCCTTTTCCCGTCTCTCCCTCTCTCCCTCTCTCCCTCTCTCCCTCTCTCCCTCTCTCCCTCTCTCCTCTCTCTCCCCTCTCTCCCTCTCTCCCTCTCTCCCTCTCTCCCTCTCTCCCTCTCTCCCTCTCCTCCCTCTCTCCCTCTCTCCCTCTCTCCCTCTCTCCCCTCTCCCTCTTCTCCCTCTCTCTCCCTCCCTGTCTCTTCCCTCTCTCCCTCTCTCCCTCGCTCCCTCTCTCCTCTCTCCCTCTTCCCCTCTCTCCCTCTTCCCTCTCTCCCTCTCTCTCCCTCTCTCCCCTCTTCCCCCTCTCTCCCTCCTCTCCCTTCTCCTCTTCCCTCTCTCCCTTCTCTCCTCCTCCCCTCCCCCTCTCGCCCTCTCCGCCCCCCTCTCGCCCTCTAGCCCTCTCGCCCTCTCTCCCCTCTCTCCCCTCTCCCCCTCTCCCCCCCTCCCTTCTCCCCTCTCTTCCCCCCTCTCCCCCTTCCCCTATCCCCCTCTCCCCTTCTCCCCCCTCTCCCCTCTCCCCCTCTCCCCCTCTCCCCTCTCCCCCTCTCCCCCTCTCCTCCTCTCCTCCCTTCTCCCTCTCCTCCCTCTCCTCTCCTCCCCTCTCCTCTCCCTCTCCTTACCTCTCCCTCTCCCTCTCCCTCTCCCCTCTCCTCCCCGCTTCTCTCTCTCTCTCTCTTCGCTCTCGTCTCTCTCTCTCTCTCTCTCTCTCTCTCTCTCTCTCTCTCTCTCTCTCTCTTTTTCTGTCTCAATCTCTCTGTGGACTGAGTGAGACAGGGAAGAGAGCATGCATCTCAACACCATAGAAGCCTCCAGGTGCATATGCTCGCATGTCACTCAGACGCCACCCGAAGCCCCAGGAGGGACTTGACAAAACAGTAGGGTTTGTATTGTATTCCTGCATCCAGGAAATCCGCTGCCAGCAAGCAGCTTGGCGAACAAAGAATGGAGAGCTACTGGAAACGAGACGCGTGCCCTCAAGTGGTTGCCGTCTTTTGCATCTCAGGGCTGCAGCACATGTTGACAAGCATCGAGCCTGGAGCTCACACACACCCCAAATCAAACGTTGACGATTGAAGCCTGAAGGCTGAGCCAGGAGAGGTGCAAACATGCCGGAAGCGTTGATCTCCAAAGCTCAAGGCTACCACGAGGATGCGGCAAAAGCAGGCAAAGGCCTCTCACGTTTGGCGGCCGGCAGCGTACAAGGCCGCAGGGGAAGGTCGAGACACGCATGCGACAAGCTCCTTTCGGAGGTCTGCGTTTGTTCGGTCACTTGACGTTTGATTACCCTGAAATCCCCTGGAGATGCAAACCATTCAGCTTACATCTTTCTCGAGACTTGTGCCGTCTCAGCGGATGCAGCTTCTGCTGCTTTATCGTATGGACGGAGAATCAAGCCGTTGTCATTTTTTTCCAGGCATGGCGGTGAACCTGCACAACAATCTCTGGAACACCAACTATGCTTTGCGGCTTGCTCGGCTCAGATGGTGTTTAGAACGTCGGAGAGCCCCAGTATCTTGCGTTTATCCCAGAGATTCTCTTGACTTCCTTACTTAGTGCGGGTCGTATGAACATCATTCGGCCAGAACATGCAAAACGGGGGGTTTCTTCTCTGGAAAGAAAGTTTAGTCGTCTTGTAGAAGTGAGGTAATCACACGTGTTCGAGAGTTTGAGGTCAGGGTCCAGCACAGTTTGGTACTGGAGACAGACATCGACATCGTCGCGTCTTCGACAATGCGTAGAGTCAAGAAGGGGCACTGGCTAGCCGGGTTCTGAAAAAACGCATGAGTCACAGCACCAGAAAGCGACAATGACAAGCCAATACGCTGACTTCTCAAGTGGACAGCTGTAAGCAAACAACCTCGAGCACAGGAGGGGGTTCTAACCATCACAATTCCCCAACCAAGCGGCACCACATTGGCTCTAACTACTCAATTCCCCCATGTAAATCCCCACAGAGCCGCTTCGCACCACCCGCAAGGTACTATCCCTTCTTCGACCCACGCTTCTGTGCGAGTCCATTACAGTGCAGCAACAGTGGCCCAGCCAACAAGGGGTTTTTGGAAGTGGAGGGTCTGCGGTAAACAGGTCCAGCGTGGATGCAGTTGTGAGAAATCAAGGGCATTTCTGTTTTGACGACCAAGTCGAAACTTGCTCTCTTGTTGCTGAACACTTTGCGCGCTGGCATTTTGTTGACGGGGCCGGCTGTTGAGATGTGAAACTTACCGTCTGCAGGGTTTTGAACCTGGGTTTGGACGCACTTCAACTAGATGGGATGAGGCGTTTGTTCATGAGCAGGTTGCCATCCAGGTGCCCGGAGCAGCCCCTGCGAGGAAATCGATCACGGATTCGAGGTTTCATGCCGGCAGAAGCAAAATCCAACATCGCCCTGCCATACAAGGCAACGCATTGTGGAGATTCCGCTTGAACTTCGTGGCCGATACCATCTACGTTTGAGCTCTGAAGAGGGCGCTATCGCCATTCACACATACAGAGATCAAAGCAGGGCTCCATGATACGGCGACGTTCAGGGCTTCAGTGCGTGGGTGTCTCGAGTTGGCGGAGAGCTTGGTGTCATGAGTGGATGTAAATGTCTCTTTTGTAACTGTAAGCCACAACCAACGGCACTTCTTCGAGAGGCATGTAATCTCCGGAATGGCGTTGAAGCTCTTTTCTGGATATGTTTCAGCAACATCTTTTCACCTGGACTTTGAAATCCCGGATCACGGCACTCAAAAACAGGCACCAACCGCACAAATCAAGTCTCATATTATGAGACCAGAACTAGAAGGAGCAAAGAGGAGTTGGACTCAGACTTGGCAGAGTGAGGCCATAAGCAGGAGTCTGTCCAAAAGTCAAAAGTGTTCAGGCATTGGGCCGAGCACGGCTTCAGTTTGTAGCAGGTTTGGTAACTTGTAAGACACCATTTTCACTTTTCAGTTTCTTCAGAGGAAGATTAAACCACGGCTGTTGTTTCCATGTTGCAACCATCGCGACGGGCATCACAAGTCGCAGATGAATGCCAAGACGTAGCTGTAACAGATGTTGAGCAACCAGCATAACCAGCATCTGCAAGGCATACTTCGAAAACTCTCTAAGCACCGGATCCGGGGCTCCAGACCTCCCTAGCCGTTTGGGCTGAGGGTTTAGATTTAGAGGGCCTTATAGGGCAAAAGCCCCTGTTTCATGGGCTGCCGGCGGAACGAGGTGTTCGAAAAGAGTGGCTGGTGCTTGGCAAATCTGAATGGGGAAAGGTGTCTAGCACAACAGTGATAGCCTGGCCCTAAGATTGAAGTACGATTTCTGGAAGACCCTCTACATCTCACCACCTGGTCCCGTTATTCTCGCCGCAGGCCTGCAAGGTACAGGGGTTTTCATGACTAAGGGACAGGCAGTCGCAATAGGCCTGGATGCAAGAAAGGGACACTTAATGAACCTGCTTTGGCCATCAATACCCTTAATTTCTGGAAACCCATCATGAACTAGGAAAGGCTTGGAGCAGGTGCAATCGTCGCCCGAGAGCTCAGGTTCGGCCTAGAGGTTTTAAGGACCTTAATCTAGGGGTCCTTATAATTACCAATACTATATCAAGGGTTCCTCATAAATGTAAAAACTATGCCCTATTCTAATATTATTACGACCCCTATATTAGCGCTGCCACGATGTTAGGCTTTCGCGACCTCCATCGATGCAGAGCTTGTTTCCGCCATCCTGGGCCGTGGCCCAAAAACCAGGATCAGTTTTTCATGCTGGTGCTGCTGCTGGTGAAGGTGAGGATGACAATGGAGCGAAGAGAAGGATCGATTCGATGTAAACGGTGAGGATGCTGATGATGATGATGATGATGATGATGATGTTGGTAGTGCTGCGCCATATATATATATATATATATATGTATGTATACATATATATATATATACATACATATACACACATATATATATATATATACATATGTATATACACACACACATATATATATATATACATATATGTATATATGTATGTATGTATGTATGTATAGATAGATAGATATGTGACATTGGCTCCCGGACTTAATCATTATGCGTCAGCTCCTTCCCTCTATCACTACTCCCTTTTCTTGGGCATCCTGAATCGTTTCCTAGTAGTGGTGGTAGAAGTGTGGTGGTGGCAGTGGTGGTGGTGGTCGGGGTGCTGGTGTGGTCGTGGTAGTGGTGGTGCTGGTGGCAGCGGCATTTTCGAGTTCAGGATGGGCAGTGGAGGGGTGGTGGCATACGGAGAGTTTTGTCAGACCCATCCGAGACTCATGCCTTACTTACGCATGCCGGCAGCCCTGATGCCGAAGTTTGAGCCAAGAACTCACAACAGTCCCTGCAACTCCGAGGTCACCTTGCCGTTTGTGAGCAAGTGGAGGCGCTCAAGTTAAGTTACTAAGGTTGCAACAGTGTTGCAAGTTCATGCTGCTGCTTTTTGAGGTAATCTTTGCACGCACCCATGTGAATGTCTATAAAGCTCGCTTTGCTGCTTGAAGTTGGCATTGCCATGACTATGAGATATGACAACTTTATGATATTGACAGTCAAGATGTTATACCATATTTGATGACCTGTTATGATAACATATGATGTTATGTGAAAGTCTAAGATACTATATTACACGGTATTGTGTTCCACTACCACTAACTGTTATATATATGTGTATAAGTTAGTATATGATACGATATGGCATGATGCGATAAGAGATGATATGGTGTGATATGATATTTTATGTTTCTACATGACATCATGTGATATTGTGTTATCGTATATTGTGATGTCTTGTATTATACCATGTCATTCTATATTGTACTGTTTGTCATATTACATTTCGTGTTATTATGTTTCACATCTTCATGTACACACAGATACGTACTTACATGCATGCTGAAAAGCATTGCCGGTGCGTTCCATGCCATATGGAGTTCGCAGCACGAGTTTATGTATATAGGCTACTGTCGCTGTGGGCATGCCACGACTTCCCGTTTCATATCGGTCGTCATTGGTCATGGCGAGCATCCTGGACACGACTGTGATGTTAGGTGTGACGGTGCTACAGACTGGAGTTGTTCACGCCAGTCGATTCATCATAATTCTTCACGGTTGCTGATGCTTGTAGACTGATCCAGGTAGTGCACGATGCCATGCTGATGATTGCCGTCCACGGCGCAGATCTGACGAATATGTACGGGGCCCAGGATACGGGAGAATAGGTGAGGCCTAAATTCCGATAGGCCTCACACCCCCAGCCCTCTTGGATTTGTTCATGACCGCGGCGCAGTGAAGTTCCGGGCTATTGGAGGGGTTCGGCCAAAAGTGGCTGCAGGCAAGCTTGAACTGATCAGCTTGAGAAGAAAGTGTAAGGTACTTGTACGCACTTAGACTTGTGCAGCCAGTAGCAGCAAAAGCATCACACTTTCGGGCTTGTCATGAAGCCGACAAGTAGGTGCTGCCTCCGTCTGCCTCAAATGCACTACTTCCTGACCCATTTCCAGGATTTTTCTGCCAGCCGGTGCTGCAGTGCTCGAGCTCGGCGTGGAGTGCGAGTTGGAAGGGTCCAGCGTGATGGGCTCAGTACTTGGCCTGGAGCTGTCAGGTCGCGTTCGTTTCTTGCGACTGTGATTTCCGATGCATCCGAGGTGGACTCAGCACACTGGCGGGGTCCAGGACGCCGGTGTTGTCATCTTGTGGGTACCGTATAATTGGCACACAAGTCCAGCCTGGAAGCCCAAACCCTCAAGCACATGCTGTAGCACCCTCAGGGTTGATCTATTGGCTTCACAGTCGTGCAGATGCAAGAACGACTATCTATTGAGCTTATATTTTCGCTCGCCTCAATGAGCCGGAGAGGAACCCTGATGAACAACTCTGTCCGAGATCATGCTTCGCATTTGCAGCTTGGCTGAGCTTGAGCAACTCCACCAGCACCAGCTATGCACTCAAACTACACCCGGGGCTCAAGCAGGCGCATCCCACGCTTTCCTGCAGGCTCAAGTAGGTCTTACAGCACTGCAATGGTTACTTCGCACGGAACCGTGCGACATGCTAAGGTCTTCCAAAGTGTACAACAGTCATGCTATGTTGCAGCATGCTTGAGGCCTCGTAGCCCCACGTTCTTGCCTTGTATTCCCGAAGCTTCCGCCAAGGTGGTTCAAACAGCAGAAAGAGGGGCCTGGTGCCCAGATCTATCTGGTACACTTCTTGATTGGTACAATCACCCAAAGGGTGCCAAGGGTGCCTTCGCCATGGCCAGAGTTGTGATTAGCCGGAGTTTGTGTGTGTGTGTGTAGGTACTGAGTAGTGGATTGGCCTTATCTTAAGTTCATGCTTCCGACAACGATCACATTTTCACATGTGGCATTTCTAAGAGTATCGTGGATATGAGTGGTGACTACCAAGTCGTGCCTTTAGAGTGGCAAGTTTCAGGAACATTAACACTACCTGGAGGCAGAAGGGCATGGTTGTTGACCTTGTGAAACCAGGACTTAGGGCCCTGTAAAGGCTCCGCCCAGATCTCAGCGCCATGCTTCTGAGGTTGTGTCCGCAGCCCGGACAAACCCTGGATCCGGACCACATGCAGTTCATTTCTGCGGCAAAGCCCGAGTTCTTCCCATTTTGAAGCTTCGACTTCTTGAACACACTACTCCTCGACAACTAGCCCTAGCCTATAGCTGAGGTCCGCTGAGGGTGCATATGTTTAGCTGAACATGCCACTTCAGGGTTCCGTGTAGCACAATTGGAAGCTGGACCCAGATTCCCAGATCTCCGATTGACTGCCATGGATTCTGATTCAACACACCTGATTCCTGTAGTTTCATTCATGGTGTTCATGGGGGCTACCCCACAGCCCTGACCATCCGCAAACCATAAAGCACCATATTTAAGAAGGCCACAGCTCGTTAATTTGGCATGCGCAGGCACCCGGCAGAGTCCGTGCACAGCATTTGAAATGGGTAGTGACAGGCACCCTGAAAGGCAACTCGGCATTGTGTTCCTCATTGCTCTGTAGCTCGAGAAACCGATCTCTCTCGTCGGAAGATACCCCAACCTGAAGCGCATTCGAGAACTTTTCTCAACTGCCAGGACGAGTGGCTACTAGGCAGCCGGATGTCGTGTAGCACACGTTTGCTGGCAACTGACAACTTCTTGCTTTCATACTTCACCGACCGATACCAAGGATCTTCATGAGGCGATCACTTCGACCTGGGTGCATATTGTGCAACCTTTGTTGGACTACAGTGACTATGATGTGGTTTCGAGGGTATGTTAGTCTACGGTGTGAATTGTACCGCGATTCTCCTGTGATGATGGTATAAGATCTTGCCAGCGACGGGCCAGCGAGCCCGAAAGCCCATTCTTGTTTCACAATCTCTGCATGATTATCAGCCTGAGTGAGCCAGATGATGCTTCGCAAGATCGGGTATCATGAAGCAACAGTGAGCCTGTTCAGCAAAAGGGTCGCTAAACCCGGCATGAAAACCGGAAGCAATGCAATGCTCTCCCTTTGCTGAATCCGCTGCCTTCAAAAATCACAATGGGGCCGACCCTTGACCCGAAACCCAACAGTGCTTGTTTGTTGGAATGCCTGCTTCTGTCCCCTGGTGTCCAAGTAGCAATCTCAGCCGACCTATTGCCTGAAGCCGTGCCAGCTCTTGAGCGAGAGTGTGAGTCGAAACCCTAAACCCAACAGCGAAGCAATGTGTCACGCCGACTGTGCACCTAAGAACCTCGCCTGGCTGAGTCCGAGTTGTGAGAGCGTAAACCCAACAGCAGCCAGGCTACCCCATCTCCCAGTTCGCCAAGCTGGCCAGGCAGGCGAATTTATTCTACACCGTCGGGGGGCTCAGTGCGGCTTACTGATAGTTGTAACTCGGATTGGGAAGAGGAAGATGCGCACAACAGCAGGGGAAGTGATAGGTTGTTCGCGGCCATTGAAAGCAGAGCTGAATTCAGTGATGCCGGCTTCACACCGGTTCGGATCTTGAGGCCATCATGAATTGCCGCGAAGCAAAGTGCCAATCACTCAGCAGCCCGTGCTCGACTGTCAGGATCCTCCAAGTTTGGCTTTGCTTATGACTATGAGTCAGAGTTTCCCTAGCATGCCTAGTTGATATATGACGATCTCGAAATAGTTTACACGTTTAGCAGTTGGACATGTCAACATGATCCTCGCTATGGTTTTCCGGCTCAAGGGATCTTGTCATCCTCCATAAAAGGCGTTGCGCCAGGAGCAGTCTCGCGCATGCCTCAGCGCAGCAACTCAAGCGAGATGTGATCCAGGTTTGTGTAGGGATAGCTTCTACGGAGTGTGTGGGTGGGGGGGAGTGGGGGCAGGAAGGGAGAGTGACTTGTTTTTCTGGCTTGCTGCATAATGGTAGGCCAGCTGGATTGGAACCGGACAGCTTGGAATGCCGGGAGAGACCTGCAGCTGATTAGTCCGTGGTAGACATGCTCAAGGCATGCCCATTTCTTTGTTCTTTTGCAGCTAATTCCCATTAATCACATGCTGAGTACGGTAGCTTCTCGCCAGACTGCACCGCATGTCCGACTCGCCAGGGTGTGAGAATCGAAGACTTCCCACAACTAACCTACCGAAGCCTCTCAGAGGCTCACCATGTCGGCGACCGAAGTCAAGCTCTTCGGGAAGTGGACCTACGAAGATGTTATGCTTTCGGACCTGAGACACTTTGCTCAACAAATCTTCTGGCCTGGGGTTCCAGCCGTGGGATTGAGGGCCTCAGATTCGAGCCGTTTGCCCTGAAGTGCCGTCTTTGCTACACCCTGAACCTGAAAAGAAACTCAATACATCCATATAAGACCCGAGTTCGGCTTGCAGTAGTTCCAACAGTTGGCTCTGAAGGCTTGGTTGATTACATTGCGGTGAACAAGCATCTTGGCTATGACAAGCTGGGCATCTTTCTCCCAGGGGACATGCAGATTTTTCCGGTCCCAGTGTCGCATGGAGATTTATAACTATCAGGTGCTGCTGTGAGCAGGCAAGAAAGAGACGTGCAAGAGAGAGGCGGAGAGACAGAAACTTACTTCAGACAGTCGGCTAGTCGTATCTTTTCTAGCTGGCGACAGCATGTTTCCAGTACTTCTCTGCATTTGTCACACATTTCTCTTCGCGTGTATCGATGTGAACTTGTTGCTCACGCTCAGGGCCGCGCAGTCCTTCCTCCCGCACACGCAGGGACGTTACCAGATGAGGCACCCGCTAAAGTGTTCAAGGTCATGGTGGACTGAACATTCCTTGCGGCAGAGTGGCCATTGGTGGTTTATCCTTGAGCATGTTCGTTTGCCAAGTGTTATGGCGAGAAATGCCGTGCCTTTCCTCAGCTTTAGGCTCAGGGAACAAGGCGAAGACCCTGTTCGGTTCAGCTTCACACAGTCAGCAACAGTGAAGCAATTGCCTGGGAGTGTCAGTCGGAACGAAGCCACTGCTGCCCATGTGAGGGGTCAATCAGGAAGATGCTTATGCAGCAGACCGGTGGGTGTTTAGATGCAGAGAGTTCTGCTGTCGAATGCGTCCTCGGCAGAGCATCTTCAAATCCTGAATCAGTGGTTTGTCCGAAACTCGAGCAAGTTCCAGTCGCACAAACGGGGGGAGTCGCGGTGAAGCCTTAATGTGAGAGTCGAAACCACGAGAGACCTTACCAGGCCATATAGATTTATAGGATGCCGAGGGTTGAAATGTCAAGCCAAAGCCGAAGATCCTGACACCTGAAGGCGGTTCCGCAAGGCCCTGTGCCCAATCGTGGAGCGCCTCTGCTGCTCCATCATGATGCCCTTCGGCCTACAGCTTGGTTTTGTCTCGATACTGAATCCTGTTTGAGATACCTCACCTCGAGAGAGCAGAGACAGCGATGCCTACCCGTAGAGGAGGCATAGACCTCTCGACAGCTCAAGCCCAAAATTTGTTGCAACCGGCCGCAAAACCCAAGCCACGAAGGCTGGAGATGAAGTCTCAGTGTCCCTGCTTCTGTAGACTTCCTCCCCCTAATTATGGTTCGGGTGCAAAGGCTGAGTTTTGTTGTTTTCGTAGCCAGGCATGGGAGGAACAACGGCCTCTTGGCTGAAATGTCGGCTCTATGTTCCAAGATATGGGTCATGATTAATTCTGGGATGTTGCGGCAAGGATCGAGGCTGTTAGTGGGTGGTGATGATGATGATGACGATGATATCAGTGGCTGCTACTATTCGTATCCCTCGCGTGAGTACTAGCCATCGTTGTCGTGTCGGTGCTTCATACTCTTAATGTTGTTTATTGCTGTTGTTCAGCATGATTCACTGATCTCCTGCCCACGAGACCGGGAAGCTACCTGCAGTGTCAAGGTGAACACCATGTTGATCTGTGGCGGGATTCGCAGGTAGATCTAGCTCCCTGAGATGTTGTCCTGCCCTTTGAGGTAAGAAGCTCATGGCAGTGCGCATCGTGAAGCACGCTTTCGAGATCATCCACCTGCTCACAGACAAGAACCCCATCCAGGTGAAGCCTGGGACTGATCTTAGAGACATAGTCATAAGACGACCAAAAGCAGCAAGGCAGCGAAGCTCAGATCCAGGTGCCCTACCCAAACCGAGAGTTGCACTATTGGGAATCGGCTGCACCGGCTGCTTTCGAAGGTGGTCAGATCTGCAGGCTACCTGTAGCAGTAGCAGTTGAGTGGCGAAGACTCGGATCGACCTTCGCAGCTTTTTTCTCATCTCGTCGCCGAAATGCAGGTGTTCGTAGATGCAGTCAAGCAGCCTGGCTGAATGAGAGCGCTCTGCAGCGTGTTGGCCATAGGCCTGCAGCCACTGCCTCTAACATTCCAACAGCCCGCTCCAATTTGTGAGTTTCGTCATTCGGGTTTGGGCCGACATTCTTAAAACGAAGGCAAGGCTTCTACTTCAATGCTAAATACTTGAAGAGCAAATGATGCTTGTATGTTCGGGGGTAGGTTTGGGGCAGCCAGGAACGTAGTCAGTTCATTCAGCCAGACCTGCAGCCTCTCATATGATGGTTGCTTGAGGATAAGGGCTCCTGTATAAGGAATCTCAATTTTTGATTCTACATACGTGCATTTTTTTCCTCTGAAACCCACATCTATAGCCGCAACGAAGCCCTGAGCCAGCTTTTCGCGGCTTTCAACGGAGCCAGTATCTTTGAGCCGCAAAGAACACCATCGTAGACCTGTAATTTTAACTGCAGTCGCGCCGTATGTCTGCCAAGCCGCTAGCTACCCTTTGCTTTGTTTTCTGTCATCATGATTGAATTCCCTGCTCGCCCTTCCAAGGAACGGCGGTCCTCGCGAAGACTCCACTCGCGTCGGATCCGCTGGTGTCGTGCGGCGACAGGCGGCCTCGAGCCGGGGTTTCGCTTACAGGGGGCCCCCATGCAGAGCATTCCACCCTCTTCGTTTAAGGGCTTAGGCCTAGGATGGCCTAGGCGTGCTTCTGGTTTAGGGCGTTTAGGTTGAACCCACATACAAATCGCAGTTCCATTCATGTGTCATACACCGGCGGACACCAGCAGCCCGGACCCGACAGCCCTGTCCTCCTGTCCTGCCAGGCTGTGGATGTCTCCCCGCTTCGACGGGTGAACCAGGCCGTGGCAACAACAAAACTGTAAAAACGCTGGTGGCCCGAAAACCAGGACCGCGGATGGGATTTCTTCAGGCTTCAGGTGTTATGAGTTTCAGTGTTAGGTTCTTGGTTGAAGGTTGCATTTCGCGTGAGGTGCCACGCACTTAAAAATCCAATTCAGGAGTATAGACTACTTATCTACTTGCATTGCGAAGGTGAAGCCTTTTGTTGGTGGTCGTGCGCCAAGCTGACAGGCCATTTACCTCATCTGCACCGGAGCCCGAAACAGCGCTTTCCGTTCCTCGGTTGTCAAACAGCAGTTTCTCGAGCTGTTGGACTTTCGGGATGTAGAGATGACCGACTCATCAACTTTTCCGAGTGCCCTGAGGAAACATCAAGTCTATCTCAGAGTGCCTTGCAGATGAGATCATGAATGCTGCAGCTGGGCCATGACATGCTGGGCGCCATGAGTCACAGTGTCGGTCTAGCGGCTTCCCGGGCTTGTTTAGCGCGCGTCAGGCAATTTGCCTTACTGTAGCTGGTGGATTCGTCCAGAGGTTTACTTACCGTTGGCCCTGCTATCTAAAGTCATTGCATGTCATTGCCTGATTCTGGTGTCATGACTTTTCTTTGCTGTCGTTGTCTCGGTCTTCTCCCCCTGCACGAACGACTACACACGCACACAGACACTCCCGCGCGCGCACACCTGCACACACCATATTTTGGACTGCAGTGCGTCGCAGCTCATCGCGTTGTTCCGTGCATGGTGCCCCAACGCCGTCAGCTCGATCTCACCGCTGCTTCAGTCGTTGCTGTCTGCTTGCATCGACATCTGTTAAGCAAGGCAAAGGAGTCGTCCAACAGCACCTTGACTGCATCTTGGTTGGGGCATCGTTGTCTGGTGGTCTTGGCCTGGCGAATGAATATAGGGTAGGTGCATCGAGAGGCCGAGAGTATGACGGTTTCAAGCAAGACTGTTACAAGCTGGGTGTGTAGGGCATAATAGTGCACCCAAGTCAAAAGGAGCGAGTGTTACAAGAGTGCCGTCGGACTGACAGCTAGCTACCTAGCGAGATCCTCTCACTAATCCAGATCTCCCTGAAGAGCATGCAAGAAGGCCAGCTGCAGTTGTCCTTTGAGACGGCTGTTCCATGACGCATTTCCGGCGAGACAAAAGTGATCCCCAACTAAGTGTTCCTAGATCTCCGAGCCGTTCTAGAGCCCTCCAGTTTGCATGCTTTGCCGATGTCCTGTGGCTCTCCGGACGACAGTGCAAGCATTTGCCAGGCTATGCCATCAAGAAGAAGGCCTGTGGTAGAAGCGTTTGGCCTAAGCCTTAAGCCTTGCAGTCTGCAAAGCTGCGTGCACCGCACTTGGGGGCCAGGGGCAACTCTGGCGGCCAGCTTTGTTGTGCCAAACTACCCACTCGCTGCGCAATGTGTTTTCTGCAAGTTTGGATTGGAATGCTTGTAGATTTGGGTTTGTTTTGTCTCGCAGCGTCGCATTCTACGTAGCATGGAATTTGCTTGCCCCCCTTCTCGAAGCCACCACGTACCGAGATTGTCTGTAGAGCCTAAGGTCCTTGTGATTTAACCCACCCCCACCCAGAAAGCCACAAAGGATGTGGTAGGCAGTGAGCTGTCATTTTGGCTTGTTCCTGCGTGGATGTGGTTGATGAGCCCTAAGCCGCTTTAGAAGCCCAAACTTGCCGAAACCTCGAAACTTTGAACTTCCGTAGCTCCCTGTTCTTCAAGTTGTGTTTGCAGGACGAGATCGAGCGTGTCGCCAAGGCAAACCGCTGAGGATCCGAACCCGCGTACTCGGCGACAGCGGAGGAGAAAAGCGAGCTGGTCTTGTGGCTGTCGGGTTTGTTGGGTTTCGGACCTCTTCAGGCCCGGATTCAAAACAATGGATTGAAGATGTTATTTAAGGGTTAAGATATGCGGGGTCCTGTTGCCTACATTGGGGTGTGTTACCACGTTGCTTGCACGGAGGCCAAGGGTTAATGGACCTCTCGGGCATTGGCCTTTGCGGCTCTTGTGTCAGTGTAGAAAGCCAAAGATTCTTGAGAGTCGTGCGCGCATACTACCAGCTCCTGAATCTGAAGAAGGGGATGTCCAGGTCCTTCTTCGGTTGATGCCCTGCATTTTCTATTTTAAGCCAGGGCTTCCCCAGATGAATAGCGTGTTTTGGTTCTTAGTGCTTCGGGTTTGCAAGGCTTTGCCGTGTTTGCGTCTATACATCTAAGTTTCGGCACTGCCGGACATTGGCTTCAAGGCTTTCCTGTTTTTTTTTTTTTTTTGGGGGGGGGGGGGTGATGATGTGATGTCATGTGAGGTCTTCGCGAGCAGACTCCCGGCAAGGCCTTCGACAGGACGTGGTTCCCGGACTCAGTACGGAATGCTGCGCCGCTCATAATCTTAGAATGTCTAGGCGCGCCGAAAAGCCATAAGCTTCTGCCTGCAAACTTCTTCACTACAGTCGCCCCCGGGCCACCTTGCCAGCACAAGTGCCTGACCCTGGCCCTGGACGTTGTGAAAGTCTGCGTCAGTAGGGGAGTCTGATTTCAAGTCTACGAGCTTGGATGGGGTCTCCACCCGAAATCAGGACACCTGGACATTGCTTTCAGCAGTTTCCTGCCAGATTTGTCAACATCCTCTGCGCCCAAGCTGGTTTTTCACGTGAATGTAAGGTGCAACGGCGACGACAAGAAGCAACCGTGGGTTGAGGCTCTTGGCACATCCAGCTAAACATATCAGCAAGCAGGCTCTCTCAGGTTTCATGATTCATGTGAGTTGGTACGAGATGGAAGTCTTTGCTAAATGAAGCCAATTGTGAAGCCTGACATGCAGATGCTGCGCTGCCGCACCATGGCATTCACGCATGGGGGGTCTTGTGTGTTTGCTACAGTCGTAGCACTCATGACCAAGGTCTGCTGTGTGCTACGCAAGCCATTAGATTGAGGAGTGAAGCAGCGTCTGTCTGCAGCATCGGCAGCCATTTCGAAGAAGAAGACGACACTACCACCAGCAACAAAAACAACAACAACCAACAACAATAACCAACAATAACCCACAACCACAACAGTAGTCTTCATGAAACATGAGACGAAACTCTTACTGGTATTTATCTGGCGATGTTGTTGTCTTCTGTATTCGTGCGACCACCCCCACCACGACCACCACCTTCCACGACGACTACTACTGGTCATCCACAAACACTTTTTGTGTTACACTGCCACTGCTACTGCTGGTAACGTTCTTTGATGGCTGTCGGTTTTTATGCCTCCAAACTCAGCTCTGCATATAGGTGGAGCCCGCGGAAACTCTGATCCCAACCTTGTGGGTCATCTACGATGAGCACCCCGGCAGACGAATGGGGCATTCGGCTTGGTGTTGATAGTCCGGCCCATCATTTCAAAATAATTGGAGTTAGGAAGTACGAGCTGCACGCTTCTCACTGAGCTATTGTTTTTTTCACTGCTTAACGTCCCTCAACTGTTTCCCAAAAGCTAACGTGGCAGTGGCAGCACTACTGTAGTAGCAGCGCTAGCAGCAGCAGTAGCCGCAGCACGGGAAGAACCATGAGTAGCACAAGTCACTAGTTCTGGCAACACAAGTAGTAGTCGGAGTAGAAGTAATTAGTAGTAGTCGTAGCAGTAGTATAGTAGTAGTAGTAGTAGTAGTCGTCGTCGTCGTTGTTGTCGAGGTTGTCGTAGTAGCCGCAGCAGCAATAACACGCCTGCGACAGCATTGGCAGAGAAAGGCACCCCTGAGGTCTCCTTACCGTGGCCTTGCAGGCACCAACAGGCCTCCAAGCTCGAGCAAGCTTGCAGGACCCGACGAAGAAACTACAGCCTTGAATACACAATGGCAGTACAATGGCAAACCTGTATGACGGCTGGCTGACGACAGGTACCTTCGGCACTTGCTGCCGCCTCCGCTTGAGGCGGATGGCACAGGAGCAGCCGAGCGGGTTGTGCGGAGGATGCAAATTCGTGAGTCTACCTCGTTCGAAGTGCTTTGTGATGGTTGTCCCGTGGCGGGACAGGATCAAACATATCGCTCTCATGGGCGATAGATCTCGACAAATCAAGCATGAGCTCAGCCTGGACGCAACGTCCGAAGCTTTTTTGGTTCAGGTTCCGTCATCCGTCCACAGAGGTTGGATTTGTCATGTCATTGATGCAGAGGCAACCTTCAGCGGGGGACCTTGCTCGTGAACCTTTCCGTTGCCGCTGTGTAGAATCTGAATCGTTCGAATGTTTGGTTTGGGCCGCCGCAGGGTTCTGGCTCAAGAAAGACTGGAGCCCAACGGTCGTGTCTGAGTCACACGATCCTTGAACCTCCGGCAATGCAGCTTCCTGGCTGAGCGAACTTGGCTCTCCTTTTCCTCTGAAGTTGTACCAGAGTTCCTCCTCCTGATAGAGGCACAACCACATTCAGCCAAGATACGATGCGCATGTCGGGAAGCCTCAACCCAACTTGGTCTTCGAAGTTGTACATGTACATCGAACATACAATCGTAGTTGCAGCGGCACGCCCCCAGCACTTTGTTCTCAGCAATATAGCGCCTAGTTTTCCCTGCAGTGCCAAACCCGGAGATGCGCAAACGGCGGTTTTGAGCATTCACCTCGTTTAGCATCTTGAGATGCCGGTTGTTGCAAATCTGCCTGGAAATGGCAGGTGGGATCGGAAACTGCAACAGCAAACCAAACAAGCGGTAAAGACCGTGATAGCGTAGGAACGACTGGGCAAAAGGGATTAAGTTTGACAACAAGAGATCCGCATGTCCGTAAATGTGCCATGTTGCACCAAACTCAGGAAAAAAGCTAAAGCATTTCGGTCGAATCCAGGGGAAGGTTGGCACTCCCCTAAGCCTCTGAGTACTACTGCATGGTCCTGGTCTATTCAGCCGTGGTTGCTCGATTGTTACACTGTCCCAAATCCGGCAGCGATCTTACAACATAGTTGCTTCTTTCAGTTCTTTACAGCTATATCCACCATGGCCCGGGCCCGGACTGAAGAGAACAACGCTTGAAGCCCGCCGACAAGCTGAGGCTGAGCAGTGCCGCGGTCTCAGTTTTTTCCAGACTTTCGTCTGGGCTGCTCTCGTGGTCTAGGAGGTCTGTTCAAGACTGCAGGGTCGTCTAGTGACTTTGCTGTTCTTCTTTGCAGCTTTCTGTCGAAGAGCTGCAGAACACCATGTCGGAAGCACGGGTTTCTGAAACATGGCTTCTTTCAATTTTGGGCCCGGAATTTGCCAGCAGCTGCTCGCTTCGTCGCAAGCTACTTTCAGGGAGAGCAGTCATGACAAGACAGCTGGACATTCTGAGGGACCGTTGAGCGTGGCACTAGCTACTGCTTCCATGATCACCAATGGTTCTAGGATTCTCTGCTTGGGTGTGGTAGGCCTGCCACATCACTTGCGAACCTATTGGTCGACGTGGAGCGAGATGCGTAAACAGTAGACGGGTAGGTTCTTGACTTTGGGGGCATCGTAATCTGGAGCGCCAATGGGTCTTGAACAAAGGTCCACCCATGTACGTTCAAGAAGCATGTTATGGGGCATAGGCTATGCCGCATGTTCATTCATGACTTGGGCAAGCGATGTTCCGCCGCTGCACTCTTGGACCACAGCGTTGGGAAGGCACGTGCATTCACTGTGTAGACTGGTCGCCTCAATCTTCCCTCTTAGCTCCATTCGGCTCACGTCATGGCTGGACTCAAACTGCTTTGGGTTCTTGGCAGCTTGATGCTTCTGAAGGCAGAGGAGGCCGAGCAAAGGATGAGTAGTCGGGATGCTGGCGAGCCCACCTGATTGGCTGACCCTCAAGCTTCGTTGTCCGTACTTCTGCAAGAGAGTGTCCAGTTGCGAAAAGATGCACGTGGACGGGTGTAGCACTTCTCAAGATTGTGTGTTCTGCCTTCCACCTTACCTGACTCCAGAACCCTACAGATCAGGAAATCCGAGTGGCGGGCGCCGAAAATTCCTAACGCTTTCGGGAGCCAAAGGACGTTTCATCTTGCAGGTCCATAAACGAGGAGGTCAGGCTCGTGGAAGGTAGTTTCGGATCGGCCAGTTGTTGTGGTGTTTTTACTGGCAGTTCCGAGCTTCAGAGTTGGGATCTTGGGAGATAGCCCAGACTGCGCCCTCACCAGGCCGACGTGTCATCGCAGAGCCTGGTCCGAATTGAGACGTGATTTCCGTTGCCGTTTTGCAGAATCACTCGCTGCAAAAAACATTTGAAGATTGCCAGGTTCGCACATGGCCTTGGAATATGACAAACACAAGTTAGGAAGCAGTCCTTCGGTTCACCCCGGGTCAAAATTTGGGGTGGGGGGGTGGATGAGACTGGTCTCCTGTCCCGGCTTCGTCAGGACGGGACCTTCCCCGGTGACGAATGCCACGAGCCTGGCAACAGGAGGCTTGCTGCTGGCCTCTGTTGTTTCAGAGGTACGGAAATGCAGGAAAGCAGTCGTCTCTAAGTTCATCGCGTCTCCCGATCCATGGGGATTGATCAGCGTGTCAGTATCGCTTGTTTACAGCAAGCATACATATGCTGTCTAGCTGCAAAGCATCAGCTGATGGCCGCAGCAGCGGAAATCTGTCGCAGGCATCGAAATTTTCGCAAGTGTAAGCATCCGAAGATGCTTCTACATCTCACCGCGTTGCAGGCACTGCCGTGGCCATGGAGCAAGGCTTTCAAGTGGCCAGTATCTTGGTTGAACACTGGTAGCGCTTGTCATGCAAGGATCATCGTCTGCGTCGGAGCGCCGCAGTAGAGATGTCCATAGATTAGGCATCACCTATCGGTGCTGGAGTGCAGTTGTCGATGTTTTGTCGCCAGCTTTCTGGCCGACGGCGTGGGTGTGGCAACAAGATGTGAAAAAGTTTGGTAGATTAGGTCAAGCTGAGTCTTGCCGTATCCTGCATTCCCAATCAACTGCATCCGGACTTCTCCGAGGGGCATGTCGATGCATTTCCAAACACGGAAACCCTCTACCATCGTGCAGGTGAGGAGAAGCACCGTTTGCGCGGCAGCGCGGGCCAGGACCTGCGAGCGAATTCTTGGTGCTTTAGTTGCTCAGTGATTGCTCACGGCCTTGGGCTTGGCGTTACCGTATCCGAAGGTTTGATGCATGTTCACAGCTGATTTTTTGGGCTGTTCAAGGGCTCGTCTCTTTGTTTCTCAGTATGTGGTGTAGATTTGTTGTTGTTGCATTGGTTGCGAGCGCGTTTTGCGATGTGTGTGGCAAATTTATTTGTTGCCTCATCCCATCTCGTGGCGAGTTTTTTTAAGTAATTTCGAAGCGGTTTTATTCTTTGGAATGTGTTTGGTGGTTTTTGGATGCTTCGATGTAGTACGACTGTGTCAGACTGCCGCCCTATGTTGATCAGCGCCCTAAAACCAATGAAACAAGGCACCTTCACTGCCAGAAGGACCACAATGTCCTACCTGCCCACACACACATGCACATGCGAAACCTGAAGCGAAACAGGAAAATTACAGGCTGCTTGAACAATCGCTTGAATGCTTGATGATGTATCTATCTCGAAGAGCAAGCAAGCCTTGTGACACGGAAGGAGGTGAATGTGACCGCCGGGGTGGCGCCGGAATCGTCGAAGCGGCTGGGCTCAGGGATAGCGGGATAGCCCTGGCAATCTACTGAGAGATCTCAAGTTTTAATCTAATGAAACCCGAAAGGCAAGACCCTAGCTCCCTAGCTGCTCCCCCAGATTCCCCACAACCCTACATCCCCAGGCCTGGCCTGCCATGAGTCGAAATTTGAAGGGAACTGCAGCATCTTTTGGTCAACCTCTAGAAGTCTTTCGCGACACCCTATAAGACTCTGCGACACAGAAACACTACGCTGGCAAAACAACAGTCGGCACCGCAACGGATCGAAAGCCGAATGTGGCCGCCTCAGGAAGTTTCTACCCTTCTGCTCCGGATGCCTCAGCACCAATCTCCTTTGCTACAAGCCTCTCGGCTGTCTTTGTGGTTTGGCCTGCCTATCTTTCTCCCTGTGGTCGGGCTAGCCACAAAGCTGTGACGAGATGCTGCTGAAGGCGGCAATCAAGAGCAAGCATCTCTCACAACATGGCTTTCATGGCAATAAGAAACAGCAAACATCTGACGGTACTCGCGCCCAAGTTTTCAGCAGCCGTACGGTCGTGAACCATCTGAGTCATTCTGGCACAAGTATACGAGCCGCTCGTAAGGGGAATGGGGTTTACTGTAGGAAAGCCAGGGAGGCTTGCATGCTAGTGTGATTTTTTGTCTACTACATCCTCAGAGACGCAACATAGCACTCAAAGACACTCAACCTTTCATCCATCCAGACCCCGAAGCCTAAGCACCAACACAACAACGAAGGCACAGTTTGCAAAGGGTCTACTCGCAAGTCTGTCTTCCCTGCGCCTCTCAGGTACCGCTGCCGCGCACCCACGGGCTCCCAGTTTTGCTCCAACGTTTGGTTCCAAGGCTGCCGTGGAAGGCCACCACGGCCCGTGGGGAGAGGGCAACGCGAGGGCTGAAGGACTAGATCCTCTAGCCGGCCCTGACCCGAAGCCGTGAGGCTGTTTCTGGCTTGAGGCTGTGGAAAGCATTTCAGAGAGCTATTTGCGGCGTTTCGGATAGGGAAGTCCGGGAAGTCTTCAGCTGCTCCACCGGATCGAGGAAGCAGGAAGCAAGTACCTACAAGAAGAACGGTTCCGCTCCAATTTCAGGATTGTAAACCTAGCATGGCCCTCGGCTCTAGATCGTAAACCCGACACCCGAACCCCACTTAATGCCAATCACTGAACTTCACTCCGAAAGCTCTATGCGCCTAGGCCCATATTTTTTACCAACATGTCCTTGTAACAGAGGAAGTCGACAGCCGCAACACAAGAGGAGTATGGCATGAGAGCAATCAATGTCAGCCAAAGTACGCCCTTGTACTGCAACCAATCCGCACGAGGCCCTGAGCCCTAGCATCTGCGCTGCTCCTCCGAGTGCCTGAGAGCCTGAGAGCCCTTCCCCTGTGCTGCGGGGTTGCGGGGGCAGCAGCAGATTCATTGATTCCCAAAACTACTGCTTTGGCAGATGAGTGCATCCGGACTATTTTAGTGTTGAGGTGGGTGAGGGTTTCGTCATGTTAAGGTTCATCAAGACTGGAGCAAGGTTATGTACATATCAATTGCCTACGCACAAGAACGGTGGCACAGAAGTTGCATGCGTTGATTGCCGTTTGCGTTGCCAGAGTCTGCAACCTGCAAGCTGCAAGTTTCAAGGCGGATTATCGTGCATATGCCCGTAGTCTCCACATGCTCCAGGAGTTGAGATCAACATCCTTCGCTTCAACATGTCGTTGGTGGGCGGCTCTAGTGCCAGATCATAGGCGATGTAGTAAATGGGGGTTTCGGACAATTAGGGGTACCTTATTCGGGGGTCCTTATAATAAGGATCCTACTATTATGGTACCATATTAGGGTCCCCTGTTTTTTGGAAACTCCCAAATGACTGAGCTTTTAGAGTTTTGGCATCCTGCGGCTCTTCTTCTCTTCCCCTCATCTTTGCCACAGTTGGGGAACAGTTTACCGTACTTAAAGAATAAGGAATAGAAATGTAAACGTTTACAAAACTACACCAACCATGAACTAGTTATTGGCTGTATATAAGATGTACTATACATGATGTATTATACACTATATTGTATGTAGGATCTTATGATATTACATGTTATTATGAGGGCTCGGGGCGCAGTGACAGAACGTGGGCAAAAGCACTGAGTCGAAAGCGGTTCTGGAGCAGGAACCTGCGAGAAGCACCCTGCAGAGCCAGTGCCGCATCGAAAAAGACTTGTGCGGGCATTTGTGTGGTTTGGAAAGGTTCGTGCTTTACTGCTTCCTTGTGGTTGTCGCAGCAGCTGCTGCTGCTGCTGAGAGGGCGATGGTAGTAGTCGTCATCCTTCCCTTGTGCTGTAACTTGCTTTGTTGATACGTAGACTCCGTCTACACTTTCTTCAACCATGCGCCGTGCCAGACTCGTCCCAAGCCCCAGGTGATTTTTCGGCTGCTCGTGGCGGCCTCCGTGGCATCTGCTAACCGACTGAGGCAGCGCAGTTCCCGCCATGTCCTATCGGACCCGCCTTACATGGGATGAGCTTTGCAGAGGATGGCCGAAGAAGCACTGTATGCTGTTTGGAACGCTTCGACCTACGACCAAGTTGAGTTGTGTTTTTTCATTTATATTAAGGACCTCAGAGGCGGGGGCTGGGGTGCTCTGTGATTTCGAGCGTTTGACTCTTGGTGCCTCGGTCTCCAAACCATGTCCAATGGTTTAGAAGCCCGAAGCCAGTGCAAGCCAACAACATGCCGAGGATGATTGCAGCGCTGGCCCAGGAGCTTTAGACCTTGAAGTCCAAAGCACGGCAATACCCGCCCGGCCCGACAGGTCAGCGGCAAAGGACAAGTACGGCTTCTATTTCCCCGTGCACAGCCAGATCCCGTCCACGCTCAATGTCCTTCAATCCGCACCTGTCCGGCGTTTAGAATACGTGCTTTCTGTTCGCATGCCTGTGAGAACTGGTATGCCTCTACCCTACCACGCATGGGGCCGACCTGTGCATCTCTCCCTGTGTCATTCCTTCTAGCGCTCTTGACCTGCCAGCAAGCTGTCCTCCATGTGGGGCTGGTTGTGATGGTGTTAGGTGTAGTGTAAACTCAGAAAACATGTTTTTCTTTGTTATGATTGTTGTCATCATGATTGCGCTGGCATCAACCCAGAGCTCAAGCAGCTTTGTCGTTGGAGCCCATGAGGCTCCTTGTCGTTGCCAGGTGCGCCGGTTCTACCCCAACTCGCCAATCTACGTGTTGCAGGCAAGATATAATCCAGCTCCTACCCTGATCCCCCGGCCCGGAGCTTTGGGGTTCCGTTCTGTCGTTGCAGTGCTCCTCGAGGTTTCAGAGGCAGGGACGGGGACGAGTCTCAGATTGGTGGAAGGCTTCAGGTCGCAGGCCGCAGAGCAGCCTGGACCATCAGCAGCCAACTCCCAAGCACCAAGGATTAAACTGAAGCCCTCCAAGTCCAATGCCGAATTCCCCAAGAACGTCTTGGTGTCAGGACGGCGGAAATGTGGATTTCGGCCCGCTGTGCAAAACCAAGAAGTGGCGAGATCGGAAGCTTAGGCAGTGAGTCACGAGACTGCTGCATCTTTGTACCAAGCTGTTCTTATACAGCGGGTTTGTGCCATAGCAGTCGCTACCATTGTTCGCCGGTCCTTTCGATCAACAGTTTGTTTCTCCGGTTGTGTTGGTGATGGTAGTGGTCGTCGTTGTGGTCGCTGTGGTGGGGCTGGTGGTGCTGGTGGTGCTGGTCGTGGCATCACAGCCTATCACATCAGAAGCGTAGTACCGGCATGGTGGTTCTTCCAAGTTCAGTTTGGTGCCGGTGATTCTATTTCGGGCTCGTGCAGGTGCAGATAAACATGAGCTTTTAATCTTCCGGTTTGATATACCTTTGTGGAATGGCAGAATAGCAGTTCTTGGACATGAGCATCGCCGGCACATGAGACGTGTTCTAGTCGCCGGAAGTTGAGCTTGCCCCAGCAAAAGAAAGGGGGCACAACTCGAGCATGAAACTCCTAAGCCCCAATCCCTCGAAGCCTTGCAAACCCCAACCACCCCGCCAGGAAAGCATCTCAAGACCGAGAGGTATTGAGAGGTAAACAGACACGGGAATACTGTGGAAACGAGGGACACGAGGTCATACCAAGCGCGCCCCGACCGAACCAGGGCAGAAAAGCCAAGGTACAACTGCATGTTCGAGAGCGTCAAAGGCGAGAACAGCCGATGGAAGCTTATCAGAAGTTAGCTGCAACAGGAGTCCAGGAGCCTACACCGAACTCAATGCCAAAACGTTCCTCAGGAACCCTCACAGCTGGTTCGCACGCTTCCGCGAAGCGACCAAGGCCTTGGGAACGGCCCCTCGCCCGAATTTGCAAAAAGGGATGGCAAAATTTCAGAAAGCTTTAGAGGTCCGAAAGGCTGATGCAAGAAAACAATTCAGTTGAAATGGTAAGTTCAGATTGTTGTCCCTGTGCGTTTCCTTTGTAACTTTGTGCTGCTCGGCCCGCGTCCACGGATTGAGAATCCCTGAACTTTACGTTTAGGTCTCGGATCTCCCTCAGAGGTTTGAGGGTCTAAGGCTTGAGGCTTTATGTGGGTTTATGGCCAGTGCCAATTGTCGGAGCTGATGCAGCAGCAGCAGTTCGTCTTTTTGTTTTTCAATCGCGGCCCTTCGTTTGTGTTTTCGCTGCCGTTGCTTTTTTGCTGTCGTTGCGGGGGCGCGACCTGGGGCATTTCAGCTGGTCATTCCGGCTTCAGATCCTGAGAGGCATGTACATTGTGTTTTGTTGTTTTCCAGGGCAGCTGAGTTGCAGCTTTGTGGCCTGTAGTGGCTCACATTAAGCCCAAGGCATGACAGCACGTATGATCACCGCCGTACTTCTGCTAGGATTCGACTCGCAACGACGTTTGCCGTTGTTGTGTCACTGACAAGCAGGAACTGCACAAGACATTTGCAGACTGCAGGCAACAGCTAGTGGTGACACGCCCTGGTTTTGAGCCCGATGAACATCGAGTCTCATCTCGCTTTGGTTGTGTAAGGAGTACGTGATCTACTTGGAGCCGGATGTGCTGGTCAGGCACCAGGGTTCGGCATCTATGGCATCCATGGGCTGCAGTATAGGATTCGTTGCGGTGTTTGGAAATGAGAAGCGAATCAAGGCAGAATCCCGATCAGCAATTTGATTACTCAGAGCTCTTTGCTGCCGCAGTACGAGCAACTACTGTGGGATGGTACAAGTAGCTCGTCGAACACCACCCGAGTGCATGCCGTCTGCCCACCTTTGCTCGCATTTTGTACCGGCCCGGAGCCTCGAGCTCCGGACCTTGCCTCCAGGAAGCACCACGCCATTGAGCCCAAGAACGATGCGGGTGGCATCTTCGACGATTTCAACCCGCACATGCATCCGGACCTTCAGGGGTACAAAGTTCCAGTTGCGGCTGTCCGATGCGCTGACTACTAAAGGGCAACATGTATTTGCCATGCTGCGCGATCTGGTTCCCAACCGCCCTTCGAGATTCAATGGTGCTCCGGCAGGACACCATCAAATACTTGGAGAAGATGGGCCGAGAGCGCAATCCACACTTCAATGCGCCTCGGATAATCTTGGGTTCCGTCGGATGACTCGGAATCCCATGGCATTTAATGAGGTTTCAGTGTTGAGGTTAGGCCGAACTCAAGCAGCTGCTTCGATGGCGCCCTAAAATCAAGAAGACCGGCGCCCTCCTGGCCCAACACTGCCATGCTTTCTTCGGTCGTAGGGAAACTCTTGAGATTGTGCGTGGTTGTGTTTGCGACTCCCGGCGTCGACAGGATGGCGTAGCGTAGAGCTTGACATGACGGCCGAGAGCTTCACAGCCTTTGCCTGAAGTTTCCACCACTCACCAATAAACTCTGCCTTACCGAGTTAACCCCCAATGACGAACCTCAAACTCAAGACTCAACCCGCTGTGAGCTTAGCGATCAAGGTGTCCTGGATCCACTTCGGCCTTAGCGGAGGATCCTACTACAAGGCTCAAGCATCGGCAGGTCTCATGTGAGATTTTGCTACTACCACGCTTACCCATCCCCAGTCAGCACCTGTCCAGCTCGTTGGTAGGAGTATAACGACGGTAACAGGGCGTACCCATCTACAGTAGGGCCGCGCCCCATCAACTCCCCAAACAGCTACGGAAGACAACACAATTCAACACGCATCACATCGTCCCAGAGCTGGAAGCCACGCAGGCGTTAATCCTGTAGCAGGTCGCCAAACCAAAGATCGCACGAAATCCTGCATCACTCGTTCGTTCAGGTGTCGCTCTAGAAGACTTGTTACCGGGGTGTGCGCACTTCCGACAATCTCTTTTCGTTCACACCTGGTCTTAGCTCCGCTCTTCGGCTATGATTCGCCCATTGAGTAGCCGACCTCAAGTTCCAGGGCACGGTTGCACTTAGCGCCGCGAGTGTCAAGAAAGACTAAGTGACTAAGCTATGTTCGAAGACAGGCAGAGGCCATCTTAGACGCCTTCGACCCGAAGCTACTTGCTTGAACCTTCGGAGTTTGGGCGGTTTCGCGTGGGTATGTTTCACTGATTCGCTCCGTTCGGTGTTTGGAGTTTCGGGTGCTTCGGGAGCGTTGTAGATTGCAGGAAGGTTTGGGAGATGTTTGCTGCTCGGGAATGCTGAATTTTGCAAGGGCTGATAATACGGGCGGCAGAAAATTCCAGCGGGCTGAGAGGGTGCTGAAGTTCGGAACCTTGCATTGGCGTGCAGATGGAAGGAATCCTCTATTTATTTAGAAACCACGAACACTTCCTTCGATGTAGGTCGAGAAATCGCGCCTTCTTCGGAACATCCAAGAGGGGGATCCCGGAAACGAGACAGTACCCCAGCCAGTGCCGACTATAAATCAGTAGGATATTTAATAACTCAATGAATCCTAGTTCCAAGAAGCCCCAAATCGCCAGAGGGCTTCCCGGCTCTGGAGCCCTAGTCAAAAAGATGTGCCCAGGTGGGTGCGACGCCTTGACTTCGAAGGCTTGGACTTGCACACTGAGAAATAATGTATTCTTCGTAGAAGTCAGGAGCATTAACTTGTGTTGATTTTGCTGTGCTTTGCAATTGGGTTGTTGGTTTGGGCCTGGATTTTTTTGGGCCAAGAGCTCGGCTAGAAGCTGACAATCAAGTTCCGGCCTGAATACTATTGATGACTGTGGTGTGTCTGCAAAAGCCTTGCTCACAGACTCGAGTGGCTATGGCAACATAGCGAATCTAGTGCTTCCAGGGGGAAGCCAATCAAGTTCAGAGGTTTGACTTATGCTGGGGTCTGTGGGTGTTCGGGCTTGAAGCTGCAATTCCTCGGGCGACTCTGAACATCTCTGAACCTTGTGTCAGGCATGGAGAAGCGTGAGGGAGACAAGACCATGAGCAGCGATTTCGCCATGCGACTGGGATTCTCACTCAAGAGGGTGTGTGGTGGTCGTCTTCGCGATTTTAGGATTTTTATGCATATAGGCCTGGCAATTTGAGAACGCAGGTCGTAAAGAAGGGTGCTATTCACGGTGCCTGGTGTAAGATATGCCTAGTCTCTACATGGAGACGCCAACGTCCTCATTAAACATGGGTAGGAACTACTTCGTCAAGCAAAGGCTGGTTGCCCTGTATGCCCGCGGATGGGATGTGTGCCTGGGCTTATCCTTGAGTTTTGTTGCCACCTCTTGTCGATTTGTTGAACAGAGAAATACAGAGAACATAGTTTAAGGAGGCGCAGCTTCTACAGGGTGTCATATGCTGAGATACCAGTAGCCTGAGTGAGCCCGGACCGGAGACTACTGCATTTCCATCTGGTCTTGGAGCCCTTTGCCAAAACACCAGGTACCCATGGGATGAGGTTTCTCAGCACTGGCTGGCCCCTCGCAAGCCCGGTGAACCCGAAAGGTGCGGCGCTCAGACATTTCGGAAGGGGTTTCGGGGCCAGAGTATATAGTATTCCTAATCAGTGCTTGTCAGTTTAGAGTACACACAAAGACAACAAGTAAACGAAGGAATAACTGGTCAACGTGGAAACCTCAACTGCAACGTTGGCATTGCTTGCTAGTGAGATTACAGCAGAAGCCCAAGAAGATATGTTGCAAGGAAGTCAGAGAAGATGAGCGCAGCCTTCGAGCACAACCACAAGGACGGCAGCGCTGAGCACTTTTTGGAACGTACCTATAATGTGATTAATATAGGGGCCTTAATGATTAGACCACGGAGTGGGTGGCGTACTAGGACAACTACAGTACGACATCTCGGGAATGTGGAATGAGTATGGAATAGTGTTACGAGTTGTTCAGGCTTGTGTGTTTTCCAAAGGCCGGAGCCGTCCTACTGAGACAGTTCCGTAGCCTGCTGACTACAGATTCCCGCATGTGAGCAGACAGGAGCACTACAACGATCATGTGCCGGACGAAGAGCGTCGCTCGGACTGCAAAGCCACGAGCCATGTGCACAGATCTCCGGACCAGTGTTCTAGCTGATGGCTCTCGACATCTGTACGGCCATGAGAATGACCACCGCCACCTCTCGCAAGTCGTCGACAGATTTGCATGCAATCATGTGCTGGTAAAGTCAAGAAACTACTGACCTCGTCGGGGGCTTTGCATGCAGAGATCTGGTAATCCGAAGGTAAGCTGATCACCACCTTGGTGGAGAGGCACCAGGCCCGCTGTCGGGAAACGGGGAGATGTCAGTGAGTGACATTCAAAAGTTGATGCCTTTGTAAGGCAAGCGCGAATCTTAAGAGCCTCTGCATTCGCCATGGTGCAAAGCAACGTCCTGCAAGGCTACACTGCGTGCACTGATTTCATGAATGGCTTTGTCAATATGGCAAAACCTCCACACTCAGAGCCAAGATTTGCTCCGTACGGTTTTGTCACGAAGTCTTGACGTTAAGTCCCCTGAACCCTCAAACCGGCGACGGACAAGTCGATGATGATGGGTCTTCATCATTGGGGCCGTTTAGTACCATCAAATCGTGATGTTCATTGTTGGATTTGCTGACAGCAACTCACCTGCAGGACACAACCTGCCATGGCTGCGTCTGGTACCATGATGCCGATCCGAAGCAGGTGCGTCCCATCCCGCAACTCGCCCGAAGGATGGATATTGCATTCCTGCATGTTTGCGTTGTGGTTTGCATTCCAACGCAGCATCTGCTGCAAAAGACCTCATCTCCGGTGTCTCGTAAGAACACGAAGCAGCTTTGTAGAACACTCTTGACGCTCAGATTCGGGTCGGGACTCTGCAGGGGTAGATCCTGGCAGGTTTCGGAACCCTGAACTCCCTCAAACTCACCCCAAATCGAAGAGTAGATCCTAATCCCTCAATTATTGAACTTGAAAATTAAGCCATAATCAGCACATTAGGATTCTGGGGTGCAAGATTTCAACCCCTCTGCTAAGGGGCAAGCAGCCACCCATGCCGGCCGCTGGACGGAACCAGGGACGTACTATCAGGGTTTCGGATTCGGGATTGAAGGCTGGTAGGCTTTGAGGGGGTTTGTAGTAGAGGCCGAGGATGCCTTGCAACGACCATCTCATGCAGTTCAGAAATCCATCGGCTCTGTACCCTCGAAGTTACGGCCTTGCTTCTCTGAAAGGCTAAATCTACACCCAACACACTCCTCGTGAATGTCAGACTGATTTTTATTTAGTGCTTTCGACAGGTCCGGCCTTTCGGTCGTGTTTGGATCCGAAAGAAGTGGAGTCTAAGTCTAAGGGTTGAACATATTCGCAATGTAAAAATACCTATATAGCACGCAGGAGTTCGGATGTTTGCCACGTTCGTGTTTGCTTTCTTTCCCCTGCTGGCAGCCTTCAATCGAACTGCCGAGTCCAAACCATTCCTTAGTTCTGATTGACGACGACAGCATTGGAACAACAATGATGTAACGTCTTCGCAACAAGTTGCGTTAAGCATCCGTACACTTCTCAGCCGAGGTGAAGTGGCGATACCCCCTGAAGCAGTGAGGGCCACCCTGTGCTGTGTGACTCAGGTGCATAGAAAAAGGCGAAGACTAAGGAACTTCAGGCAACGGAAGACAGAGGCGAATTTGCGGATGCGACGAAATTATCTTTGTTCATCGTTTTCAACGCGATACGAACAGTTGAAGATGGACTGCACCAAAGGCCTAGCAGGGGAGACCATTGCGCCGGAAATAGCTGACATCGTGGTCCTCAATGGACTGCGTTCGCTTCCGAAAAGATTCAGTGCAGAGCGCAATTTGTGTCGGGGTTCGTGAAGGGACGGTGAGGTAGGTTCGGTTCGCCTCTGAAAACTTTCGCCAATTGGTTCGCTCAACCTTTCGCGCTACACTACAGGAGCCGGATTCTCATAGCTTGTCAAAGGCTTCTTAAAGCTGCGCTTCCGACAAGATCCCATGAAAGACACCTGCCATTAAGCCTTACATAGAGGAGAAATTCCATCCCAGCCAGCTGATCCCTTGTAGGCCCTTGTAAGGTCCAACGGTCAAGTCGGCCTTGGATGGTCCGAGAGTGCCGCAGGAGCTGCCGACCACCACCAGCAGGAGGACTCAGCAGCTGAGCTCGAGAGGAGACAAGAATTAAAAAGGGAAGACATGGATGGGATGTTACTTGTAGCATTCCGGAGAAAAGCTGCATGCAGGGGGTTTGTGCCAGGAAGTTCTGCAACTCTGCAAGTCGGAGTGCATGAGTAGACACGTGTTGCCGTCTTGGCGGCATATGATCAAGAGGTCAATCATCAAGTCGCTTTAATGTTCAGAGGGCACTGGCATCCACGTCCGTGTGAAAGAGATTGGGGAACATGAATCTTCCGTTTGAACATTTGCGGTACATGGATCAAGGCCTCTCACCAGGCGATCTAATGAATGAAATGTCAGACCCGACTCGAAGCCCGAACACACACCTGAACCCTGAGTTCTGCCGGAATGTGTTGTGAAGATCAGCCTGTCTCAATACTTGAGCTTTGTCATGCACCCGACTATCCAGTCAATTCATCCCTGCTTCCGTTTGTCCATTCGTTTATCCATCAACCGGTACATGTTTGTCTTTAGACCATGCCACATGGGCCAGCCCTTCCCCACGGCAAGTACTCTGTGCCTTTGCTTGTGGCTCACAGACTGGAGCAGCTCACGGTAGCGAACAACGGAAGCAGAAGCAGACTTGCGGATCAATGTTATGATCTTCGACTGGTTAGCGGCATCATTATGGCCCTGATGCCATGTGCTGCCAGGCAGCGGGGCTTGGGGCGCAGGTGAGGTGATCTGCTTTAACGTACGATGCGATCATATATAAGCTTGACTCCCCTGAACCCAAGATTCGGGGTGCAGTTGCGCTTTGCAGGGCTTCTGAGAGGTGCTTGACGAAGGATGGATTCGCAGCATTGAACTCAGGAGATAGGCGAGCATGTGGGCAGTTCAGGACTTGAGAATAGCGGATTGTATATAGTATACTACAGCATAGATTGTTTGATTTTTAATAGTACAGAATGTCGGGTTATATTTAGGGACCTAGTGGCGCGTCAGGAGGACTTGATCTCAGCCACTGTATACCTCCAAAAGTCTATCAAGTCTCCAGGACCTCAGAGGAAACACATGCCGTCATTTGTAGTTTTCGTTTTCTCACTCGCATCTACTTGCCGCATAGTTAATCCTGACAGCCCCTTGAGGATTTTGACTTGGAGGGCCTGCTTTCGGGCATATCACATAGGTACCCAGGGTTTATCTGTCTGTTCATGTCTCATTTCTGCAGTGGGAAGATAGGTCAGATCAAGAGGTTCAAAAGGTCTCCAGGGTGTCTTGGCGCTAGTGTCCGTTCGGCTTGATCCTATGTTTTGGCTCTTTTGGGCCGTCATTGCTAATGGCCTGGCGCCGGCTGCTCACTGGCTTTGTATGCACCTGCGATGTCCCCCCTGGAAAAGGTGGCATGCTCTTGAAGGATCTAGAAGATGTCAGAAAGGAAGAGACTAAAGGTCAGAAAGCGAAAGACTAAAGGCACGGGACATGCCCGAAGCAAGAATGAACAGCCGTGCACCCCACCATTAAACTCATTAAACCTTAATCTTAGAACTTGCAGCAGCAAAACTTTACTCCTCCACACATACACACAAACACACCCAAAACTAACACTCATCGGGCATTCGGAACCTGCACATTGAAACTTTACGCCCTCCAGCCCACCCCAGTCCAGCAGTTAACATGCAGCAGTCAGTAGTCAACCAAATCGACGCCCTTTCAGTTTCGTTTGGCAGGCACATGGCAATTCCCGCAAAGTTTGAAGCTCTGAATTAGCACACGAACTACAGAATGGGATTAGCATCCGTCTGATTACGACAACACCTCCCGAGCCCATGGCGGTTTCAGTCCCGGGCCATGCGCGGAGAAGCGTCCCGGCCTCGGCCGCAGAGAGAGACGCGAGGAAAGGACTTAGGCAACTGCTGGGACGGAAGGCCCAGAAGACGGGAAAAGAGAGCCTGGGCTGTCGTTTGGTACATTGCCTCGGACCTCCGGATTGGGTGTGGGTGGGAGAGTGATAGAGAGACAGCGGAGAGGGTTGGCAGCGAGAATCAGGGCCGCGGCTCACGTGGCATGTGAGGCATGTGCATACTAGGGTGTTGTGCGATTAATCGGCTCACGGTTACGAGAAGCACAAAAAAGATCAGAATCAGAAGGCCGTAACTGCCAATGCTAAAGCTGCTAAAGCTCAGCCCCGTGGCTTTGCAGGTGCTGCTTCTGTCTGTGCCGTTTTTCGCGTTGTTCGCGTCGTGGCCTCAGAGCACATCTTGATCCGAGTGGAACAATCAGAAGGCCGAGACGCTAGTGTGTGTGTGTGTGTGTGTGCGTGTGCGCGTGTGTGTGTGTGTGTGTGTGTGTGTGTGTGTGTGTGTGCGTGTGTGCGTGTTTATGTTTATCGGCACATACGCATATATATATATATACATACATATGTATACACACACACACACACACATATATATATATATATATATATATATATATCTGTGTGTGTGTATGCGTGGGTGCGCGTGTGTGTGTGTGCGCATGTATCAATGTATGTATGCATGTATCAATTTACATGTAATGTAATGTAGTGTAATGTAATGCATTGTACACACACACATATATATATATATATATATATATGTTTGAGAATATTTATGTGTATGTGTGTAGTTTGTGTGCATTTATGTAGTGTAGTGTAATTTAATGTCCTGTAATGTAATACGACGTGACGTATTGTAATGTACGCAGTGTAGTAACATGTAAGTTATGTGCTGCAACATAATGTAACTGTGTACGTTTGCAGCATGCATGTAGGTATGTATGTATGTAGGTCTGTGTGTCTGTATATGTATGTGTATGTCTGCGTGTCTGTATGTGTATGTGTATGTGTATGTGTGTGTATGTATGTATGTATGTATATATGTATGTATGTGGGGGGTGGGGCATGTCCGTGTGCATGTATATATGTACATATGTGTATATGCATATATGTATATAGCCCGAAACCTCATAGTTGACCGTGTGAGCTTGTGAGTCGAAAATACTGATCGGGCTTGACATGTTATTCCTGCTGCATCACTTGCCTCCGCGAACTTTTTCTTGCAGCATAAACACACGAAGTGGACAAGTCCCCCCAGCATGTTGAGCTTAGAGTTCATGTCGTGGGTTGATAATCGGCAAAAGGTTATAATGAATGCGCAGGCTACGGGTTTCGGGCTCAGGCTTTGCGGTCTGATGTGTTGGCAAGTTGCACAGATCATTCGCAGCTATACATTTTTGACTTTTTGCGAGTTGCAATTTCGCACGCCGGAACCTGCAACTTACAGAGTCTCAGATTTCGAGCGGAAACCCCCTTGCTCTCTTCAACCTTCGCGTTGGACGCGATTCGGGGTTCGCTATGCACATGCGCCGTGCATTATTGGTTGGTGAGATTTGGTGAGAGACGACGTGATTACCAAGCATGCCACAAACCTCAAGCTGATCTTTGGAAACAATGCACCGTTCCGACCATCGAGACCGTCCAAATATGGAAGTAAGCGCATACAATAAAGCAAGATAGATAGTTAGATAATCATACATTACAGATCTATCTTTCTAGCTGCTCTCTATCCATCTTTCTAGGCTAGAAACCCACACCCGAATCCAAGATTGTCTCCCTGGCCGAGGCCTATCGCATTTGTGCCTTTTCAAACTCCGGCGGCACCCTTGCGCCACACTGCGCTGGCAGCGCTAGACCCGCCCCTTGGCAGTTTCGGTACTGCGCTCCCTTTCGGAGGACCCTGAGTTCAAGGCTTAGTGTTAGCACCCTACGCATGCACTGTTGGGGCTACAAAACAGGCTGGGCGAGGGGTATGCGCCCCCAAACACCAGCGTTGACCACTGCATTCTGAAGCCCGTTTTCCTTCTGACACTTGCAACGGCACGCAACTACAGCCGCATTAACGTCAGGTTCAGGAACAAGCATTTTCGGTTGAACTAGGAGAGCCAAGAGATTTGGTTGGGTTTGAGACTCTTCCCTGCTGAAGACTCCGTTCCCCCTGAGGTCCAGAGACGTCGTCGCCAGTGTGCTTGACCAAGTCGGCGGCTGGGCACCGTTTCTTATACCTTTTCAGGGTTCGGGTGTAGTATCGCAAGAGGAGAAGACGATGCTAGGTGCTGCAAATAGAACTGTAAGTAGCAGTAGTCCTCAACCGACTCTGTCCACCCTGAGCTCTGAGCTTCAAAGTCTCAATCCGAACGGAGGCCACTTGGATTCAGACGATCTGGAACGCTTGGTTGAGGAGCTGCTGCCAACGCTTTTGGCACCTCGAAGAGTGAAGTGGCAGTCCGCTCTTTTGGTTTCAGTTCTGCTCATGATCTACATGCATTGGGGTACCTCGTAATGGAATTCATGCACATATCCAGGTCAGCGGTGGTGTAGGTAAAGCATAGGGTAAGCACAGATGGAAACAGCTTTTACCGGCCCAGGTCTAGGTGTTGCTGGGGTGAGAGGTGCTTCGCGGGTGCCCTTCGGCATTCTTGGTCGAAGCTTATCCCTGTTTCCTCGATGCCTTCAGCCAAAATGCCTAAATAAAAGGGCCATCAATCATCATCCTCCAGACGACAAGGGCTCCACTGTCCGAAGTTGACCTTTAATGTCCTAGGTCGTAGGTTATGTAGATTACGGAGGCACATCATGCAACCACTGGGATGTGTGACAACGCGAAAAAGGCAAATGCAAAACACAAGACACACATTAAACATGAACACGTAAATCAGGTCAGGAGCGCAACAGTCAAGAACAACAACACACAATAAGCACATGAAGCACGAAATCAACGCGCCCACCCCTAAGGCTCGTTTTTTGGTTGCATGCTATGTGTTGTTTACTTGTTTTGCCCGAGGAAAGACAGCAAGAACACACAATAAACACACAAACGAATAAACACACAAAACACACCAAGCATATAAACACAAGCAGATTACCTCCCACGGCCACCTGTTCTGTTTATTGTTGTTTGCTTTTAAATATTTCTCGTATTAAATTCAACTTTTGTTGGATTTCCGGAGTTTGCAGTGTTTCTGGGCTTTCTAAATGTCGTCCAGCTTGCCCGAGTTGCGAGAGCGTAAATGCAGATGAAGCCAGATCCCTATCTGTTACCCTCCAGGAAAATTCCAACGCGGCGCCTCATCTCGGTGCGAGTATGACTTGAGAATGCTTCCACGGACTTTATTCCCCAAACTCCTGCACCCTGGCATCCAAGTCTTGCAAAGCCATGCGTCAAGGCCAAAAAGCGGGTGTTGCGAGATCGGTGTCGCCCAAAGCGCATCATTCTCGTGCGACTTGGCAGCTTAGCTTTGGGGGCTCCAGGGCTTTCACTCGGGCCTCCTGGCTTTCATGTCGCACCGTGTATCACAAACTCGGCAAACCAGCTCGAAGCTGCTTCGTACAGTATAATATAGGGGCCTGAACATAGTTATAGTAATTATAGTATAATATCCCCCAAACCCTATTCTAATGAATAAGGACCCTGCAGTAAGGTGGGTTGATGTGGTAGTCAAGCGGACTTCGTTCCATTGAAAAGAGCACGCGAAATGCAACACCAAACTCCGGCAGTCGAGCCTTCGACGTAATACCTCTGCATATAATCATCAAAACCCTCATAGAAACCCTCAGCGGGACTTCAGTACATGCGCCGAGGCGACATGGTGAGAGCGAGGGCAACAAGGCTTTGTCGTGCCTGCTTCACGGTTTATTTTGTTTCATTGCTTTTGCCACTTCATCTCCATGGGGTATGATTCGTTGTTGCTGCTTTTGCCAGAATCGCCTGTAGTATTGAGGCTGCAATAGTGGTCCCTTGCTGTTTGTGGTCGTAGATGTGTCGTAGATCTTTGGCGCAGGACCGCTCTGCATATTCGCTCCTTGGATTTATCGATCGGTTTTGGAGGTTTGCGTTCAGATGGTACGGGTTTGGGTTTCGGGGTGTGTCTGCAGCTTGTCGGCATTCCGTCTTAATGGAAGCATTGGAAGCGTTTTGACACGGATGGTGATGTTGGCTTCGGTCGATAAAGATGCACTGTGTACGGTCGACGCTGCTGGCACAGATGCAGCGGTAGCCCCGAGCCGGGAGGCATGCGACCTCGTAGTTTTCGTGCAGCTGCTGTGTTTCACATAGCCGCGTCGGTCATCGGAGCGATCAGAACAATAAATTCCGCTTTAGCATGTATAGTTCAGATTGGCGCCATGGACGGCCCCATGATCCGGAAAGGCTTTGAAAGCCTCAACGTTGCTTTCGCCTCGATAGTGCAGAAGCAGAACGAGCAACACCTCCACTGATGGGCCAGTTTTGTCTTACTGAGGGTTTATCTGATGCATGGCCTCGCAAAGCGTCAGTTGCGAGATCCAGGAACCTAGGCGCAATGTGCATCAGCTCAGGCAGACTCCAGATTCTCAGATTCAGCTGACAAGGCTGCTTTCACCTGGGTTTCAGCGCTTGGGCGAATTTTGCTGTTCAGAAAGGGTAGCGGGTAGCGGCTGTTTCTGCTAGAAAGTCGTTCAAGCATTTGATGGATTTTGTGTGTGCTTGGTTCATTCCATTGCCGTGAGTTTTCTGTCGCTGACAGAATCTCCTGTGTCGACAACTCTCGGAATGCCAGCTTTCTCAAAGGATGGTCAGACTTGCACTCTGTACGCTGATCCCAGAATGCACCCTATCGTACTGACACTCGAAAGCCGGAGAAGGAGATGACAGCCTTTGAATCGAAGTCGCATATTCAATGCCTGCAGCAGGGGAGAGGACTGATTAGGTGGATGGTGGTGGTAGACGATGATGGTTGATGATGGCGATGAGGAGGTTATCGATGGTTACCTGGTAACCATAGTCATCATTGTGTCGTTGTGGTGGGGATATTTATGGCACTGCTTAGTTAGACCCTTGTGATGCAGGCTTGGCAAACTGCAGGGTGAGGCTGCGGGTACGCAAATACGTACCTTGGAGGCATTTCTGCGGAATGACTGGCTTCGCTCCGATTTGTACTTGTTGACTCCTCCGAATGCTCTTTCAGGGCTCATCACGGCTTTGCTGAACGTTTGGGCTCCCAGTGCAAAATGGCGCACGGTAGACCTAGCAGAGTTGACTGAGGTAAGCTGGTCGGCGAATCCAGCGTTCGGTTTTTTTATTCGCCCTACATGCGAACTCGGCAGACTTTGCACTGCCTCTTGTTTGCAAGGCTTCGGGTTGACATAACTGCAGCAGTATGCGTTTTAAGCCAGTCAACGTCCGTGGCCGAGTTGATCGTCGGAGCAGTAGAGGCGTTGCACGGCCGCGGTCTGATTGTGATTGTTGTGGCTATTAGACCCTTTCGAGAAGGTCCGTGCTTTGTGACGTTTGCTCAACAAAAGATGGTAAGATACTAGAAGGTACATTGCATTGTTGGCCCCAACTTGTTGTCATTCTCGTACTCTGCCATCATCCACACCTTCCAACAATCCCTAGAACTAGGCAGATGTGAGAGCTGAAGCCATCTGAATCAGGGGCTTCGGGACATTGTCAAGGGTGATATCGAGCATTCACAGGTACATCAGGATACTCGTGGAAGCAGAGATCGGTAAACGGACGTGCATGCAGAGATGGGGATGTAGAGCGAAGAAAGAGGAGGAAAAAAACGTGAGTGGACAGCAATGCAGGTTTCCATGCAAGTATGTCGTATGCCCATGCAAGATCATGTTGCATCACATCAGGTTTTCTGCATGTAAAGTGTGCACCGGAATCGACATGAGGCTTCGAGGTATGTGTCTTCGGAAAAGCTGCAGGTATTCTCAAAGCCTTCGAGGGCCAGGCAGGCGGATGTTCTGCGGAAGCCGATGTTCGGTAGGATGAGACTCAAGGGGTTTTGTTGGCTTTGGGCATGGAGCGTTTGAGCATGGCGTGAGGGCTTGCAAAGAGCTCGACCCCCGGAGTGCAAGCTTTTACAGTGAGACACAAAGGAGAATGTGGAAGCTGGAAGCTCAAAGGCCGCTCCAGGTCAAAGCGAAAATCCCTGTGTCATTGGATCCACATGCCGCGCAGACAGACAACCGGGTATTCAAACCCCAGACGGTTGGAAAACTCTTATGATACCAGAAGGCCCGGCGCCAGAAAACAACATGCTGAGGCTAACGTTGAAGTTGAGTTGTAGGTTGCCAGGGTTTAAACTGGTTAACCATTAACCAGGGCTTTCTTGCGAACGGCTTGCCTCACACTTTAAATTTTAACGCTACGCCGCCCGCCTCGGCTGTGTAGCGGCAGGGCGAGGGGGCAGTCGATGTTTTTTTATGCTAGGGCGGCCTGTCAAACCCCAACCTTTACACGGTTGTTGATACGAAGTGCGAGGAGAATGGGTAGGGGAGGGGGAGGGGGGGAGGGGGGGGGAGGGGGGCGGGGGAGGGGGGGCCCAAGACGCCTGGCATGCGGACTTATGTACCTACTCAGTCACCAAATACAAGCAAACAGCGCTTTCATGACACAAGCCCGTTAGCCGCTAGCATTGTCGCTGCTATACTTCTTCAACCCCCCTATTTTGGCTTGAACCTTGCGCTTAACTGTCGCTGGACTTTATAAAATTTTCAGGGCCAACATGGGGGCTGAATGCAGATCCCTAGCAAGCATAGCGACGTTACGGCAAGAGTCCGAGCGGCGCAGGCTTCATGAGATCCCAGCCGGAGCTAGGGCCCCATGTGCCACGTCGCTCACTACATGACTATGACTATTTCTATCAGTTAGTAGTACCGGTATTAATCCTGCTACTACTACTGCTGCTACTACTATATACAATTATTATTGTTTGCGGCTGGCAGACATGGGACATGCATGGAAGATATGAGAGTTCAGCGTGCCAGGAGGTTCAGATGTGCGCGGAGCCTCGACTCCGCGAGCAGGACCCCGCCATGAATGTCCAGTTACCAGACGTGCAGGTTACATTTTCGACATGTATCGTGGATCTAAGTAGAGCAAGTATCGAATGACTCCCGGTCATCAAGAGGGAACACAGCGGACTCCTGACCGTTGAGTCTGAATCATCAGAAACCTTGCCAGCACGAATAGTTGAGCGTTAGAGTTGAGGTCCAACGGCGCAAACGCAGATTTTCTATGATCGCACTGCGTGATCATTGAAGCCGCGAGTGAGAACCAGAGGGATTTGGGATGATTTGGGGGTGCAATGGAATATCACGTACTTCGAGTAGCAGTAGTGAGTAGTGGTAGTAGCGGTGGCTGTGGTGGAAATAATGGCAGCGTTTAGTATTGTAGTACCGATAGTACTAGTTGAACCAGAGGTACTATTATAGTACTACCTGTAGTACTACCTAGTAGCGCTGCTTGATAGTGGCATCGTCGCAGTACTGCACAACCTCCAATTCCAGAGCCTATAGGCTGGTTCCCGATGTGGCACATGACTTGGCTTCATACCCTTATCAGAGCTCAGACGCAATGCTCAACCGCTTGATGCTGGACGCCACAGCGCAAGATGGCTCAAAAGTAGGCTGTGCCTCACCGCTACCACCCCGAACGTCCCGCAGCTCTCCTCTCGTGGCTTGGAGAAGTTTGTTCTGATGGGGCTAGTGTGCGGCTCGTTTGTCGGTCCCGCACCCTCGTTGCCTTGCCTGCCTAGCACAAACCCCTCGAATCCATGACAATCATACGGGGTTTCCGAAAACAGATAATCCCTATATAGTGCCCTAAATAGTAGGATCCTTATAAATAAGGACCCCATAATAGGGTACCCCTCATTTTCGGAAACTCCATTATCCCGAGGTGATGGCTCCGAAGACCGCACCGAAGGCGAAGGCCTCGTTGACCTGGGAGCTTCAGTGCTTCGGGCGTGTAGCTTGAAGTTTAGAGCTTGGGTGAAGGTGGTTGTGTTTTGATTCGAGCGAAGGAGACTAAGGAATTATGGAACGGCGTCGTCAGTGCAGTGTCCCGGGTTTGAGCCCTGGATCAGATTCGAGACCTTGCTGGTTGAAGCCATGAGTCCTGCAATCGGGAGAGGCTTCAGGGCTCGGCATGTCAGGACACCTCCATCTGGTGGCACAGAGGTGGGTTTCACAGCCTAAGAAGTTCGGATGTCGTGCCGCGGCGGCCATTCAACCCTGGCTCTGCTACACGAAGCACGTCGAAGAAGTTGCAAAAGTGGCAGCAAGATCAGCTGCTACGGACAGCAAGAAGGTGAAGAGTCACAACCCTATTGCAAGCAACACTGTTACCTGTGGGTGTTTGCTTGAGGGTGCCACGAAACCCCAAGTCCTATCACAGCCATACCATATCTATCGTCACTCTCACTATCAATACTCGCAGTTGATATCATCATGAGTACTACATAGGCCTAAATATTTCATTACCAAGACTGCTGGGTTTTGTTCTTGAGCCACGTATATTGGTGCCCAAAGCCCTGTTCTACTTATTACGGCCCCTATATTATAGTACCCCCTTTTTAAGGAACCCTTCAAGGGATTTACAGGAACCCTATACGTTTTAAGGCCCCTACGTTACTATCATTACCATCAGGCCGATCCAAAGCCCAAGGCGGAAAGCAAGGCAAAGGCCAAGGTGAAGAAGGAGGAGCGGAAGGGCCCTTCAAAGGGGCAGGGGTGTCATTTGGAAGGGTAGGGGGGTAGTTAAACAGAATACACTCACACGTGTATATATATATATGTATGCGCATAACTGTATACATATGTATATGTAGATGTGTTTGTATATGCTTTGTATATATTTTTGTGTATGTTTTTGTATACATGTCTGTATATTTGTATGTATGTATGTACGCACAGACATACTGTAGGCATTATAGGGACAGCCTTCAAGCCAGGTAAGGGAGGTTTTGGGGTTCGGAGGGGACGGATTGTGAGGCACAGTGCCTTCAAAGGGGATGTTTGGGTTTTGTTGAGTTTCGGGTAAGTTGCGGGCGTCGACCAATTCCTCAGGCCAGTGAAGGAAGCTCGCAGGTTTTTGTAGATGCATACCCGGTTACATGCATGCACACATACACAAATCCATAGCAACAACCCACTTACCTGCGGACAAAGATGCGTACATGGGGATGTGAACAACATAAAAAGTTGTGCACAACATGTGTGCATGTCCGTTTATGTAAAGGCAGAGTTTCACTTTCGTTTTATTCTACTGATCGGTCTCAGTGTTTATTGACTGATTGAGTTGGGTGTGTGCATCACCCCCCCCCGCCTGGCATCTCGCGTGCCTGTAGCAGCGAGGAGCAGGAGGATGAGAAGCCCAAGGTTCCTCAGCCCAACAAGGCAAGTGGGGGAGCTGGGAAAACGTGCGAAACATCCTTTGCTTGGGTGGTTCGGGATCCCTTGAAGAGTTCAGAAAAGGCAACGAGAGGTATCGAAGTGTCTTAGTCATCTTAGTCGTTTGAGCCGACGGTAGTGGAGTACTTCTGCACATAAGGGACCCTAAAGAAACCCCAATTGCAAGGAGCCCTTTTAAAAGATACCCCAAACTCTGATAAACTTTCTTATGTTTACTTGCCGGTGACCTGTCCGAACGACTTCCAGTTCTGCCTGGCTGCATGCATTATCAGGAAGAGTTTGATGCGAAGTCCGAGAAGATCCAAGAGGAAATCCAGAAGCTGCAGGACTTCTTAGCCCGAGAAATCTTCGCCCCATGACCATGAAGCCACGAAGTGGTTCATCAGTTTTCTTCGTTTATGCATATTTACATTTTTATGTACCCCCTTTCAGCCTCACCAAGGCAGCAGCCCTGGTCGTTGTCGTTTGACAAGAATCTACAACTTTGCTATTCAAGCTTTCTCTCGTGCCTTACCAGCACCATCACAACATGGACGCGTGGTAAGTCAAAGCTCTAAGGTTAAGGAATCATTCAACACAGTCTGACGTCAGAAAACTTAGCGGAACGGCGTTTGGCACATCAAGATGCCTGACGAGGGAATCTCTTGAGTCACGACCCCAATCCCTACACCCAGATGGCGACTGTCCTCGTCTGGCTTGTTCGAGTTGCGAGAGTGCACATGGCAGCTATGCAGCTATAGATGATCATGCCAGGCACGTCGGAAATCCCGAAGATCCTTCAATGCCGGAGGGAACTTGTCCCGAGGCGGCCCTTCAACACCCATCAGAAAGCCCAGCACGGAACTCGGCATCCCTTGCGATCGTAAGCATCCCTTGGAAGCTCCAAAGTTCTCCGAAATCGTTCTGACCTCTTTACGGCCGGAGGACAAGCAGAAGAAGCTTACCGAGAAGATTCAGGAGTGTTGTTCTTTGAGCTGTTTGTGTTGGGTGGGATGCGGCAGGAGTGTCAAAGATGGAGACCTTGTGTTCCGTGGGTGAGACTGGAGACTGAGTCATAAGGCGTTGTGAGTGATGAGTCATGGGGCTTGTAGCTGAGCCGTGTCCTTAACTCTCACTTGAGCAGATGCGCCAGGAGCGATCCGGCGGCAAGGAAGAGTTCTACGCAAAGAAGGCCGGCTTGGTGCTCCAAGTGACGGTCGCACCCTTCGAGCCGTTGGTGCCATGGCGACGACTGCAGCCGCGCTAATCGGACTCCTTATATACTACTACTACTGCTGCTGCACTTACCTGTGCAATATATGATTTCTGGCCCGGTTCATTTCAAGACAAATTGCAGTGTCCGATGCGTAAGTGAACAGCGAAGTCCTGTAGAGAGCCTATCATTCCAGGCTGGATCCCTGGTGGTTAGTTACAAGCACCAGCTGTCCGCATCGGCCTTGCCCTTGTTACTCTTGCTATCATTCCTCGCTTCTTGTAGGGAAGATCGTGGAGTTTTAGGTTATGGCCCGCTCCTGCCACGCAATCCTGATTGACCAAGCTGTGCAGGGTTCTGAAAAACCCTATTCTGATTATGAAGGCCTGTAATGTAAGGGCCTAAATAAATACCAATGATACTGTTCGGAGCTCCTTATCATAATTATAGTATAATGGGCCCAAAACCCTATTCTAATTAGTAAGGCCCCTCTAATTATTAAGCACCTATACAGATACCGTAGTACCTTTTTCTCATAGATCCCTTATAGTAGCCCCTATAGACCCCCTTTACAAACTAACCTTACTCTAATGATTAAGACCCCTGTACTATAGTACCCTATTATAGATCCCTTATAGTAACCCTTACAGACCCCTTTAAAAGGGAACCTTATTCTAATGATTAAGGCCCCTATACCATAGTAATTACCTTATAGTCACCCTTATAGACCCCTTTAAAGGAACCTTATTCCTATGTTGTTTATTATTCTCATTCGCTCTCGCCAGGCCGAGCTCCGAGCCCAGCTGGATGTCATCACCGACAAGATCAACGGTCTGATGGAGAAGAAGGCTCCCGTCAGTTCTTCGGGGATTTTCGGGCTGAAATCTTTGCAAGAGTTACAGCTCCAGCACCCATGGATTCGGAATTTTTGCGGCGGAATACCCTAAACCTAAACCCACCTGATCCCGGCAGCTGTTGGAAGCGGGTCAGGGAGGAGAGGTCCACAGAGCGAGCAGCCGCTCTTGTTGCGAGCCACGAGCTGATTGGCTTCGAGGAAATTGAAGTCGGAAGCTTGTTGGAGTCTACTTCCTTGTATGCTTAGTCTTGTGTCTCTGGGCGCTCTTCTGTCGGCGATCAGTTTGGATGCGTCTACCCGTCAGCTGTGATCTATTCTTCCCCATGTCTCTCTCCGAAATATATCATTGTGTTTGACATGCCGGCGTTGATTGTCTTCTCGATGTTTGTCCCAGTTCTTGACATGTGCAAGGATAGCGCCGAAGCCCTGGGTCCTTACTTGTACCAAACGCAACAGCCCAAGGCCTCGGGCCTGAAGCCCGCGTCTCCTTAGGACGAGATCAACAAGGCTGTGGGCAACAAGCGCGAAGAGGGCCGTGAGATGCGCTCGCAGCTGAAGCCCGGCATCGAAGGTATCAGGGGCTTTCGCGGCCCGTTGCGCCCGCATGCAGTTTTCTTATCAATACTCGGCCTTTCGCGTCCTGCGATGCAGGGCCATTGAAGGCCCCACACCACATTGCCCTCGTCTTTTGCTAAGGAACAGCATGAAGAAGACCGTGGGCTTTACCAGCCAGCAGGAGATCGGAGAAATTGCCCAAAGTCAAAGGATTCCAAAATCTCCAGACTCGTACCTCAACTCGCAATGAAGACACTGGGCACTGGAGCTCGGATGTAAGACTGCGCATGACTACGCCCAAGACCTCAAACCTCAAAGTCCTCAAACCATGAATTGAAGCTGAGCTCGGTACTGACACCCGAAGCAGAAATTACTCACAAAGCTGTGAAGCTGCAACCCCATACCACTTCGTTGCAGATTCGTTTTGCACTCTGCAATCCGTTGAGCCAGCCAGATGGACTTGCTCAGAGGTCACATCGGAGCATAAAAAGTATTGTTCGGACTTGTACAATGCGAATATAATATACATTTTCATATTGTTGTTTACGCACGATGTCCGTGTTCGTGGTGTTGTCGTCGCTATTCTGGATGTTCTCGTACATGCTAGGAACTCTTGTCGGATTTTTTACATATTGTAACAATATTACAGCTCAAGCACACCCGTCAAAACACCGCTGGCTTGTTTGCCAAATATCACAAGAGGAAGTTTTCTCACGGGACAGCAGGAAATCAACAACCGTATCGCCACCATCGAGTTCCAGCTGTGCACGGAATCCGTGCCGCTGAAGGAGGACGGTCGCCATGCGAGAGGAAAGTGCTTTGGATCAGCCCCTGCAAGCCTTTGGAGGGATGCGCACATGTTTGAGTGGGTTGCAGAGCGCATTGCGGAGGGACTTAAGCGGTCGGGTCGGCCACGGGAAGGGTAGGGCACCCGCGTCAGGAGAAGAAGCTGTTGGCCGAGATCCAGACGTTGAAGCTCGGGCGATGTCTTTTATAGAGTGCAGGCATCGGCTGCGTTGCCGGCACATATGATTCTGCGCAGGAATTTGGAGACAGCTGTAAAGCGTAGTCCGATAAGTTGTTTATGAAGGCAGGCAGCCGCCCACCATGAAAGACCCAGCCGGCTATTTCGGATCCCGTGCTTCTGTTGAGCCATGCTGAGCCGCTGCAAGAGCCGAGGAAGAAGAACCGCTCCAAGGCTCCTCCCCTTCAAGACGTGTTTGTGCAACGCCCCGATGCGAGGATCTTCATGTTTCGCATGTGCACATACGTATCCGTGCTAGCTGGCTTGCATAAGGTTTGTTGTGTGGGGTATGCACGAGTTCGGGTTTGAAATACCACTGCGAGGTTCGGATGCTGCCGCCGTTATGCTATTGACGAGGTTGTTCTTGTTTGGCAACGTGAATTGTACGCGGCCGCCTAGACGGTCCAGGTACCGGGTCCATAGTCACCATGTTTCCGAAGCCAGAAACTAAAAACACTCCAAAGGCAAGCCTCATCACCTTTCTCGCATGAACCAGATACGCACACGCGCTTGAGTTTAGAGAAAACCTCACGTGGAAGTGAGGGAACTGAAAACCTGTGTGCAGCTACCAAGATCAGACAAGCATGCCCGTCGGCAACCAAGTACGGCCGCGAGTATACTTCAACCCCGAGAAAGGTCGACACCATGAACACGATGGAGCAAAACCTGGCGAACTTCGACCCTGGCATGTCCATGAAGGTTTCCGTTCGAGGGTTTTTGCTGGCAATGAGAGCAGGCTAGCTCAAGTATGCTCAAGTTGGCCCGAGTGTTCTGCTAAAGCTCCTCCTCCTCCTCCTCCTCCTCCTCCTCCTCCTCCGACGACGACGACTACTGCCACGGCTTCTGCTGCCACTGCCCTTTCTGTAACGACGATGACCACAATTATTGTACAGGAGCAGAAGGAGGCTATCAACGCTGACATCTCTCAGTTCCGTGACGAGAAGAAGAAAATCCAGGACTCCATGCAACTCTGATGCCCGAAGCCGAGCCCCAAAGCAGAAGTCACTATAACAGACATCTAAACCCGGACCCTAGACCTCAGGCCTAAAGCCTGCAATGGGCGCTTCGTCCTATTCGGGCTGGCGCCAAACAGGCCCAAGCCCCCCAACTCGTTCCAGCAATGCTTGAAGCAATATTGACGTGATGTTTCTGAAAATCTGATCACTTGTCTCCTGAAAAATGATCGTCTTGCAAGACGTACTCGATGGGCTCTCGGCTGAGGGTGTTCAGCAATAGGTTTTGGGTTTCTGGCTCCAGCGCGAAGCGCTTTGCAGAAGCATTGGCACCATGGTAACCACGGGCTCTGATCTCTGGTACTGGATACCTCGACCGAAGCTGCTTCCCTCGAATGCGGCTGTCCGACCTGACCCACACGTACTAGATTACCAGAGCCACGGCAGGACCAGATGACGGAATTGTCTGAAGCTCGCAAAACTCAGCTGGGACCCATCGAGGACAGGGGGCTTTCATTCAAGTGTCGGGTGAGGGTGACGAGCGCAGCTGGAGACCGAGGCCACGTCAAAAGCCTTTGTATGCCTGGACATGACACTAGTGTAGAACGATAGTTTTTAATACTTTAATGATAATAGTGCTGGCTGCTCTGGGCATCCTGAGCCTCATGGCAGAGCTTGGAGGTGCAGCATACGCTGTCGTGCACCAGGAAATCCAGAACGAGCGGAACGCGATCGGCGACAAGCTCAGAGCAAAGATCGAGGACTGCATGTGGGGGAAGGTGCTTCGGACAAGCCGTCCTGAGCCGGCACATTTCTCGCATTGAGGGGCTCATTGAGTGGGTACAGTTTGCATGCGTTGCCAGTTGAATGCCAAGCATTCAGCTGTAGAGAGTGAGGTTACCAACCTGGCCATGCCCTCCGTTTGCCGGTGCCTGTAGGCTTTTCGGAAGTACACAGCTTTTTGGAAAAGCCGCGCCGGAAGACGGGGTGGCATCTGGTCCAGTACTACAAGCTGACGTCGAAGCTTGTAGACACTGGACCTCAGGCTTAAACCTTGAAGCACTTAAAACTTTCAGCAAGCCCTGCAGAATCTGCACGGCTGCATCGCATGTAGCAAAAAATCTCCCGCGATCCGCCAGCAGCCAGGAACGCAACGCGCTGCGCGATGAGTACCGCCAACAGGCGGGCTTGACTTGGAAAGCTTGGTCTTCAATTTGAGAAGTAGAGGTGCTAGTACTGCGAGGCACACATGTTTGAGAACTTGACGTTGCGTTACACTGGATTATTTTTGACAGTCTCAAAAGCCACCAAGACGAGCTGGACATATCACTGTTTCAATCATGCTCTCGAGGAGGTGGAAATTGCCAATTATGTAGCTTTACCGGAAAAGCTGTTCCTCTCATTCGAAAGTAATGACTCGGTTTTTTATGAGTTCCTTTAGCACCTTCAAGGGAGGCCAGTGGCTTGCAGATCCATGTTTTCCCGATACCCGTTGTTGAAGCCGGCTCGCCGCCTGCTTGTTGGTAGACCCCAGTCGCTACCGGGTGTGTGTGTGTGTGTGTGTGTGTGTGTGTGTGTGTGTGTGTGTGTGTGTGTGTGTGTGTGTGTGTGTGTGTGTGTGTGTGTGTGTGGTGTGTGTGTGTGTGTGTGTGTGTGTGGGTGGGTGTGTGCGCATTTTATTTTGTGAGTCTCTGTGTCTCGCTCAAGAGACGCGTTTGCAACAAAGCGAAGGGCGCCTTTTGCAGCCTCGTACACATTGCTTACCTTTGGTTAGTAGGGAATGGACCGGAATGGAGGAATGGGGTACAATTCTTACTTAGTACCATTACTACCATTCTTCCATTCCCTACTAACCAAAGTTTCCCAGACAGGAGCGCGAGTACTGGGCATACCAGCAGGAGCTCCGCAAAGCCCGCCAGGACGACTCGTCAAGGGATGAAGGGATTTCAGTGAATCCAAATCCCAAGCTCGACAGGGTTCTGCTGGTACAAGAGGATATTTACATATATATATATACATACATATTTATTTATTTATTTATTTATTTATAATTTAATCGGTTCTATACCGGGGCAATGGCGGTAAGGGTAAAACGATAAGAACATAACATCTGAAGCCGATCAAGCCCCTCGATCTGGGAGGAGCGCTATGCAGCGGAGAAAGCCGAGAAGCAGAAGGAGCTGCTGCACAACTTACCTTTGCTTCGTAGGGAATGGAAGAATGGTATTAATAGTAGTTAAAATTGTGCCCCATTTCTCCATTCCCTACGAACCAAAGGTAAGACAAGCTTTCCCAGCGTCCAGTGAGGTGTTGCACATGATGTGGAGTTGGGTCTTTGAGACTTCAGTTGCTCGGGGAGGGCTCAGGCAGGTGGAAGGGTAGTTTCTCGGAGCACAGGCAAGGGTTCCAAACCAACAAATTCAACAACTCTGACACCAAGGCTTTGGGAAAGAGTCCATCTTTTGAGCGCCCTGCTTTCACCGGCTCGAGGAGTACGACCTGCGCCGGAAGCAGCGCGAGGCGGAGAAGCTGGATGAGCAGCGGCTCGGCCCCGGAAAGTTGGATGACTAATTATGCGAAGGTGAGCCTTGTGCTCGAAACATTACTGCGGGTTGGCCTGAACCGACTGCCACTCAGCAATGGTATGCAACAGTAGCCCGGACGAGAAAAAGCAGCGGCAGCAACAACAACAATTGCCACATACTCGTCATGGAATCGTGGGTGGGGCAGCCTGTATGGTTTGAAGCCGAAGCCCTCTGACGGTGCCCTTGGAGGCCGTATGTGGCCGAGATCACGCTCATTGAGCAGCCGCTGGGCGATATGATCTAGTCTGTGAAGAGTTTCAGAAAGATCCAGAAGCGGGGCAATCCCAGAGTGCTCAGGACGATCAAGTACTGCAAGGGCCTCGTGCAGTCCAAGGTGGAAGAGAAGAAGGACGAGAAGAAGGAGGCGGCCCGGGCCTAGCCAGCCGAAGCAGCTTGCACTGGTGCAGGACAAGAATGCAACTAGAGGTCCCGGTGCTGTTGATACTTGTAGCGTTGTAACGATGACGGCTAACGGGGTGTCACGACAATCTTTGCAATGGAGCAGAGCAGGAGGAGGAGTTGTGCTGTTATACCGGTGCCATCACTGTCTGCCGGTTCTTCGTTCCACCGATGCAGGAACCGCACTTCCAGGCACAACACTCCTTAAACTAATGCGGGAGGAGTGCACCCAGAGTGCACCGAAAGTCGCGCTGAAAGCTAGGACTAGGAGGTGAGGAAGTGGCTTTGCCAGATGCCTGTAGCGACTTGGCATCCTGGGAGGTTGCCTACAACAACCCGGACGGTGCCGAGATCCTGCTCCGCAAGGCCTGGGCGACGTTGGTTTCAATTGTCTTGGTCAACTTCGTGGTCAGTATACACGCTGCACGTGCCAGGAAGATCGCGACGAGGAGTTCTACTTCGCCCCTACCAAGGCTGGCAAGAAGGGCAAGGCCAAGAACAAAGGCTGGGAAGCTTTCCGCCTTGCACAGCGACTATGCCCCGATCGTTCCGCTGTAGGCCCTTCCGAGCTCCCCGCCCTCACACCGCACATACCCCCACCCCCGACCACGAGGCAGTCAGTTGAGCTACTCCATGTACTGCTTCCAAGTCGTGTCACGTCTTGCTTTTCGATGGTTATACTTATTTATTGTCTGGTGTTGACTTTTGTCCAGTTTGAAGTGGACAGCTACCAGGAACGCATTCAATGATGCGACAAGCAGGATTTGTTGGAGGAACTTCGCCCAAGCTGCCGTATTTCAAGATCCCCGCTGCAAACTCTCCAACCGCAAGACAACAAGCATCTTGAAAAGGATTTCCCCTCTGCTGCATATTCGGGAAAAAGCACCCATGACTTTTCGCCGCCAGGTGGCGACGCAAAGCCCAACAAGATCACCCACAATGCCGAGACCTTCCGCTCCTCGGCAGAACGATTTCGACGGTGAAGTTGGGAGGGGCTTGGGCTTCGGGGGTGGACTTCCTTCAGAGTTATGGCCATGGAGACCACGCCGGGCCATGTGATTCTGATTGGGTTCGGAGCTCGAGGTCTTCGAGCTGTGTCCAAACACAGGGTATTTCTTCTAAACCCTAAACCCTTTGAGTGTCTTTGGTGAAAACAGTCTTCGGGATGGTATTTGCAATCGGATCGGTACCTTCAAGCTTGGGAAGCAGGCTTTGCGACCGCTGCACGTTCGACCCCCGAGACCTCTCTCCCAACGCCAGATCCGCAAGATTGAGCTCCCAAAACAGTCCAAGGCGCGAAGAGCACAGTACTCAGTACTGTATACTACATCTGCTGCGATATCGACAGTATATAGTACCAAAATACTGCACTGCGCTAGACTAGACCACGTTATATATCCGAGGCCTCTTTGATCAGCTGAAGCTGGATGCACCGCTCTCAACGGATCAGGCCAGAGCTTCAAGGGTTCTGGAAACTGAACAATTTGAGCATGATTGCAAGAGAGTGTTCCGTGTATGATCATTGATATCAGTATTGTTTGCATGTGCTGTCATTTATGGTAAACGTTGCTGTTACTCGCTAGAGCTGCTGAGACACTGCTGCTGTTATGCTTACGGCGTGCCTTCTATCGGCGCGGGGACTTTATAGGCAGGTTCACAAGAGACTCGTGGGCCAAACAGAAGCAGCAAAGTTACGGAAGGCCTACAGGTGTCTTCACTTCTCGCTGGAAGGATGTCTGCCCCGCTTGCCGTCAGGTGCCAGGCTTGCTGGAAGAGTTGGAGAAGCAATTTGACTGCGGTTCTGTGTAGTGTAGGGTTTGTGGACAAGGAACACAGGGCTTTATTTATGATGATTCGAGAACTGATGATGGAGGAGTTGCTTATGAGACGGGAAGGTTTCCGCATGTTGGACTCCGATGGATCGCTGCCAGGTTCCGTTTATTTAGTGTCAAAAATTTACTCATGTTTGGCCTTCTAGCCTTTAAGCCTTCGTTGGTATGCACCTTAGAGACCAGCTTCCTTCAGATGAAACTGAGGCAGCTTGGAGAGTTCCAGGGCAAGGTCAAGGAATGGGAAGAGAAGCGCGAGGACAGAACTAGCCGTCTTGTAGCAGAGAGACCTGAATAATTTGTAATACTTTGCCCTTTACAGTCCCAGATGGCTATACTACAAAGACTTTAATAATGTACCGCGAAGAGCATTGTCTAGTTGTTCAGGCGCCTTTTGTTATAGTGTGGCTGCTCTTCTTGGTCGTCGCGTGGAGCTGACAAAGCCAGCCCCATGATTCGTTCATCACGATCTCGCGCATCAATCCCGAGTTTGGTGGAAGCGGAACTGTTGGCAACGCTGATAACAAACGCGCTAGAAATCACGATTTCCATTTTTGTCCCAGGCAGCCAAAGCCTGCTTCCACATAGAAGCAACATGGTCAACGTAAACTCCAAGATCCATTATAGCACAAGCGAAAAGTCTATCGTTGTGTTGCAGTGACCCGGGCCTCACACATCTTCACCTCCTGTAGTGCGCAGTCGTACCCGGAGACCTCGTCTGGCTTGTCCGAGTTGCGAGAGCGTAAAGGCTCGAAACAAGGTTCTCGGTTTGATTGTGTTTCAGAGACTCTTGTTCAAAAACTTAAGATGCACGGCTGCAGGTGCTCACTTTCAGTGTGCACTTGCGAATGCAGCTGAGGCGAAGCATTGAAGCTGTTGAAGCTGGAAGACTCACACACTGGTTTAGTTGAATGGTGATGCGATCAGGTTGCGGGGTTTCCAACCTTCTGACGCTCACTGTAGAGGCTGGACCACAAACACCCGAATGCCCTTGATTTCCAACCCCTATGAAATCCTATGAAAAGATATCGGAGACGGGAGCCCTCAACCAACACGAACCCGTAAAAGCACGAGACCCTTACGGCCTTGTGAGGTCTCCTCTTAGGGGTACTTAGAATCACATTTTTTGCTAGGGTTCTAAGTTCAGTATAGTCCTTTCTAGAGCGGTAACAGGAGATGAAGAAGGCTATTCTCGAGGGCCTCACGGAGATCGAGCAGAACAAGGCCCCGAAACAAGACGAATCGGTGCCTCATGATTTGAAAAATCGGTTGGGGGTCCCTTTCAATATGGATCCTATACTTTCGGGATTCCACCATCGTGATCGTAAGCTACGGGCACTGGAGGATAGCCTCTGAGCCAGAGGCCCTAGACCTGAAACCCCAGACCTGAAACCCTTAACTCCTTAATCACGCAAGCCTCAAACCCTTTGGCCCTCAAACCTGAAGCCCTTGACCCACAAACCTTCCGCACAAGCCTAAATCCCGCGCACAGCTGAAACAGTCATACCCTCAAGTTGAAGTGTCACGATGCATGGCTTGGGGTTGTGGCCTTGTGACAGCCTAGGCAAGCCCTATCTGTGAGTCCTAACGATGGACAGAGAAATCAGGGCTTTTGGTTCGAGTACAGCGGTTGCAGTCAAACCCCAAAGCAAAGTTGAAGCACCCTAGACGAAATCCGCCGAGCCTGCCATCCAAGCAGGGGGTTTCCACTTGACCATGAAGCGAAGGAGTTTCACAGCATTATGTATCCTTTCTGAAGGGTATCCTTTATTCTGAACCTTACTGCCCTCCGTGAATGCCGGGAAACTCACATGTCGCCGCGTTTCTGAGGCTGCAATAGCTGCATGAGAGTTTGGGTTCTATGTCGCTTTACAAGATGTTGGGTTTCTGTAGGGCTTTGGAGGTTTTAGAGCTTCAAGGCATGGTTCCAGGAAGGATTATCCGAACTGCTTGAAGAGCTCCTATCAGCTTCATTGGGCTTCACATGCTCTTCTTTTCCAAAAACTGATCCGACGGAGGCAGCCCGGGAGGCTGACGAGAAGGCTTGGCTTGGGGGTGTTATCGGGGCCTTCAATGGCGTTACACGTGATGTAGCCTCTGGTTTCTCTTGCTTGGGGTTGTAGGGTTTCGGCTGTGGGTTTAGTCATGTCATGAAAGTCGTCGTTTGGGTCATGCGCTGGCAGTCATGAAACATGAGCTGTTTCTTTTCTTCAGCTTCGACGGGTTCCACGATAGGGTCCGAAAGCTTCAGGATGGCCACCGAGGTGTTTCGAGTTAGGTGTTGAACTCCGGTCATTGACAGCAGCACTTGAGAAGAGCTTTGGTCTCCTCTCGTGAGGAACGCACCCTACACCCTGAAGGCCAGAGCTTACCCTGCACCTTATGTCCTGAAAGCAGCAGTAGCTTCTTGTAGAATTGCTGAGGCCCATCCCCCACTAAAAGCCCAACTCCAAGCTCTCACTGGTACTTCTCAACCCGACAACCTCGGGAGGAAGAGGCCGCGGAGGAGACCAAAGAGGAGGAAAAAGCTGACACTTCGCCGCGTTGGAAGAACTCTTTGGTGACGGCAGACCTTCAGCCACACAAACCTTGGAGCCTATGAATCCTGGGTTTGTCAGTTTATGCCTTCAACAACCAGCAAAACCCAGGATGGCATAGATTGCTAGCAATACGGTGCAAAAGGACTCGACGGCAGAACATCTCTGCCCTGAGATCAGCCCTCAAACGGAACCCGACTCCGGCGGCTGCTCAGTACGATCCAAAAGCCGTAGCGTTGTAGCTATCTTTTGATTTGTTTGGGAGTGTCTGTAGTCATTATGCAACCCTCGGACTTGCACGAAGCAACGAAATAGATATTCCCAGATTTTCCAAGTCTGCCTGGCGTAAGCCCAAACCCTGAAGATTTACATGATTATAACTGACCATGTGCTAATAGCCTTGCCGACCTCGCCGGGTCCGAGTGTGAGCGCCGAAAACCCCAAACAATCGGATTTCGACGTGGTTTGGATTTCAAGCTTTCCCTTACCACCCGGCCATGCAGATGTTATCCTGCTATGTGGAAGGCAACCAAAAGCCAAACCTCAACTACTGAACCCAGCTCTCCGCCTCCGAGGAAGAGACCAAGGACGAGTGAACAGCCATTGGATGCGTCCTCTCGAAGCTAGATCGGAGCAGCCGGAGTCCAGATGCCACAGCTCAAACTAGCGTTTAGGATTTAGCGTTTAGGTTGCGAATATACATACACATGTATTTTTATACATACCTACCTGCATGCATACGTACATAGCTCCAGTGTGGCATAACCTGTTGGGTTTTTGGCTTAACGATGTGTATCGGTTGTATGGGTGGATTTGATCAAGACCCTGCACATGAGACTCTCCACTAGTCCCGAACAAGACACTGCCACCGCGACCTCAGAAGAAAGTTGGCCACGATCTGTCAGCGACGTGTAGCCAATTGCTATTGTACGTCGGGAGTTTGTTTCTCCAACTCTGACGAGCGATGGGCATTTTCGGTGGCCCTGGCTGCAGTGCCGGTCTCGGTTTCGGCTTTTTGGACAAGTCCAGGATCAGAGATGCCATTGGCATAGCTCTGCGGACGGGCCGGGACAGATCACGACTTCTAGATGCACCTGGTAGACGTGAGGCCATGCTGGAGCCAAAGTTGCGCGAATGTCTTGTTGCCTTTGCGGGCCATGAGCGCATTGGTTCATTTCCTGCCGGCCCTGAAGCTTTCACAGCACCAAGCCCATCCAGAAAGCCGCAAGCCTCAAAATACCACTCTCGACAGCACAAGATGGCTCAAGTGTAGGCTGTGTCTCAAATCTACCCAACGTCCCAGAGCTCTCCTCGCGACGCGCCCGGAAGAAGCTCCAGAGATTGAGTTCTCGAAGACAGAGCATTCGGGTCTTCGGAGGTTTGGGGCTCTGAAGTTTGCACGGAGGCCTCTCGACGTGTCTCTGTCAGCAGTCGAAACTGAGATGGGCTTAGTCACGAGCGATACGCCCCTGGTGCAGATTGTGTGGATCCGGCTGCCGTTGAGTACTGGATGCAACAGCAATCAACAGCACTTGTTTGTGAGCTTATCCGTGCGAGAAGTAACCAGTGAAAGGCCAACGGGTTCAAACGGCACCTCCCAAAAGACCTGCACGGTCCAGCCAAAACCCAAGCGTCAAGGCTGTTTTGATTCCTACAAGTACCTCGAAGGCTGCGAAACCTAAACCCCATGCTTATTCTCTACTGTGCCTTCCCAGCACACTCTTATGTCATCCCAAGCCAACCGTTTTCTGAGAATCCTAGCTTCACCGCGGGTCCCTGTATTATAATAATAATAATAACAATAATAATAATAAACATACTGTATCTCCTGGTTTCCTGTGTGAGTATGTGGACCTGCCTCCGACTCTAGGACTTTAGGTCAATGTTGCCTGTTCTTGATGGCTCGAGTTGGGTGCAGTCTGTGGCCTTACCTTCTGCTGTGGACTCGACTTGGGCTACCCCTGTAGTCCGACAGAACCTGTGAGACCTCGTCTGGCTTGTCCGAGTTGCGAGAGCGTAAACCCTATGCCCCCAACAGCCCTGAAGCGCCGAACCCAAAAACCTGCAAACCCTAACCCATCATGACCCCTGCACCGTAAAACCAAGCCCTCGCTCTAAACACCAAAGCGTTTTCCCACTGGGACCACTGCGGCAACCAGGCTATGGCTCCCAAGACCGCGCCGAAAGCAAAGGCTGCTGCCGCCAAGGCAACAGTTTGTTGCAAGATCCGCATGAGAGGGTTTCGGGGTTTCGTGTCGGGATTGTGATTTGACGGCTTGCAGCTCAGGGTTGCGGACCTACGGTGTAGGGCTCATGCTTCAAAGAGGCTTTGCTACGTTCCATTTCTTTCTCTCCTCCTCCATAGGAGTAGTCGTGAATCTGGTTTTCATGAGTACTCGTATGTATGTGTGTTTATTCGATTTCATGTATTTTGTGATTAGTTGGTGATCATGCTTCCTGGTGTGGTTGCAACTTTGTATACCCGCACCCAACTAATGTGAAACAGGGTGGACCTGCTCTTTCGGAGGGTTTTGCATCAACCCATGCAGGGAATAATGTAGACGGGGGGGCCGGGATTCAGAGGTGGGAAGCGCTTGATTTGTCGGAGTATCTGTGTTATGTCGGAGGCAGGATGCGAAAACCTATGTGAAAACCACCTAAAACCTGGAATTTGGTTAGGGGTTTGTTTCCAGAGAAGCGACATGCCGTTGATGTTTCGTTTTCAGCGCGTTGCCTCGCGAGCTCTACGTTTCTGCTGTACGCGACAGATCACACACAATTGCAGGCATAACCCTAAACCCCTAAACCCTAAACCCTTAAAGCCCTAAACTTCTAAACCCTAAACCCCCTAATCCCTAAACCCTTGAAACCCAGCATGTTCAGTTCCTACCACGGGTCGAATTAGGCCAGACATGAAGCGCAGGGTCATGTTTAGCGGAGGGGGATGTTTAGCGGAGGGGGCGGTTTACATAAACGCCTCTGGCGCGTACTCCAAGAAATCACGAGTATATTCCTACTCGTAGCTGGCTTTATCTATATAGACTAAAAAGATTCCGATAAGCCAGTAACTCATATTGCGGGCTATGGCAGGGAAAGTATGACGTAAAACGGTGGGGGTCGTTATACAGCAATGCCTCTGTCGAGTACTCCGGTGACAGTGCGAGCGCCAGAATTCCTGCCAGTTTTTTTGTTTTGAGGGCGACTCGTATTGAGGGCGAGTACAATTTGACACTGTTGCCAACCGGGGAATTGTCTAGAGTCTGGGGAACTGTCTCGCTGGCCTTTAAACTTAAACGGTCGTAGATAGGGGTAAAAGCAAGTGTGTTGTGTCCGAGTGCAGAGCTGCCTCATGCGCACTCACATGCGAAAAAGCCGACCCTGAAACCCAGTCCCAACGGTGCTGTGTTTTACATTAATGTTTCCTTAGACAGGCACCCAGGCAGTTTTGTAAAACGGAGACGGGGGGGGGTGCTTATTTTGGGTCAGGCGCGGGTACCAACTTGTGGTAGCTTTGGTAGTGTTGGTGGTCGTGTTCGTGGTCGTGAGTAGGACTAGTGTTCGTCATGGTAGCGGTTGCAACAGCAGCGATCGCTTCTGGAGGCTTGCATTCAGATGGTAGGGTTTTGTTTGGGTTTCGGGGTATGCCTGCAGCTTGTCGGCAATCCGTCTTAATGGAAGCATTGGAAGCGCTGTGACACGGATGGTAATGTTGGCTTCGGTCGATAAAGATGCGGTGTGTACGGTCGAAGCTGCAGGCACAGATGCAGCGGTAGCCCAGAGCCGCGAGACATGCGACCTCGTAGTCTTCTTGCAGCTGCGGTCTTCCACATAGCCGCATCGGGCATCGGAGCGATCAGAAAAATAGATTCAGCTTAAGGCATTTAGTTGAGATCGGCGCCATGGACGGTCCCATGATCCAGAAAGGCTTCGAAAGCCTCAAGGATGCCTTCGCCTCGATGGCGCAAAAGCAAAGCGAGCAACAGGCTCAACTCGTCGCCATCAAGCACGCGACGGCAAGTCAGGATCGGAAGCTGGCAGCGCTCCAGCAGGAGTTGGCTCACTTGAAAGCCTTGGTTGAGGCCAGAAACGGCGGGCGGCAGCACTTGCAGTGGCAGGTGCGAATCCGCGACCAGCGACCCCCCCTAGTGACATGCCTGTGGCAAGTCATTCAGAGCTGACTCCTTCCCAAGATACCCAAGAAGCACGTGCCGACGTTGCGGAGATCAAGATGGTCTACACCAACGCCGGCATCACGTTCAGTCGAGAACTTCTACTCTCATGCTTAGACTCGCCAAGCGGGTCGACAGACATCCGCATGCTTCCTTGCCTGGAAGAGCTGGCCAGAGAACTGGGCCGGCCCACTTACCAGAGCCAGACCTCCAGCTGGAAGAACAGGGAGTGGCGCAAGTGGAAGGGCCAGTGGTACTACTGGCAGGAGGGTCAGGAGGGGTGGAAAAAAGTCAACTCATAGGAGCGCAAGTGACAAGACCAGGGTCGTTGTCGCACGATCTGTCTTCGTCATTGTCGCTGGAGCTGGAAGTCTTGGTGCATGCTGCCACCGTTTGAATGAATTTGCTGAATTCAGTTCTTGCATTGGGAGTGCGGAGCTCTGAACCGTGCCGATAAACTGGCGCGGCTGGCACCTTTTGTGCTGGAACAGTTGTCCTGAGAGACTGTTCTGAACGCTACATGTCGTCCCTCGCTTGTATGTAGTCTATTCGTCAGTGTCCCTAGCGGAGACCCTAGTTAAAACGCCTTCGTTCCTTCAGTGTCGTAGAGCTGGAGGATGTCACACGCGCATCCTGTCCCTTGCCTGCTATTGAGGTCCATGGGTGGTACTGTGCTCTTCCTGTTCTAGCATGCTTCCATAGCATGTTAGCTAGCTTATCGCTTCGCAAAGTCCTCCCGCGCTGATCTCATTGGGCCATCGTGTGCAAATGCTGCGTGGTCTTAATGACTTAATGGTTTAAATAGGTTCTTACTGTACATGACGTAATTGGTGTCTGTTGAAGCAGCTCTGTCACACGATAGTGAGTCCTCAGAGTGTTCTAGTTCGGACTTGTCGCCTGGAATCCATGCCTGCCTTGTGCGAGCCTGCGAGTCAAAATTTAGCAAGCTGTGCCGGCTGTTCTGGCTAGCAACACCGCGACCATGGGCATGAGTAGTAAAGCATCTTCCGGTTCTCAAACGTGTATGTGCGCATGAAAGCCTGTGAGTAACCAGAACCAGAAGGCATGTTCAGGCGTGTTTGCCGCTCCCTGAGACAGTTCACTCTAGTTGCCACGCCATGTGGGGCCTCCAGCCGCAAAAGTCCTGAAACTCTGCAGGAGCCAGCCCCTCCTAATATCACTCGACCGGAGTTAGCCTTTGATCATGCCGAACTTTTGTGGAAATCCTCCGTGAAACTCGAGTGAGGGTGTGGTGTCTCCATGGCAGGCAGACCCAAAGCCAAAGGCCGAAGGCAAGGCCAAGGCGAAGGTGAAGAAGGAGGACCGGAAGAGCTTCAGTGATGTAAAGACAGTGTATTTGCGGGATTTGGGTAGGTGTTGGGAGCAGGGACGGACGGAGGACGGTACAAGGGGAGAGGGAATTGATGGACCTTCCAAAGTTGTGGAGAGTATGGACAAGGGCGACAAATCTAGTGCTCAAAGTTTATCTCCTCAAGAGGCTTGATGGGATTGCGTGCGCTGCTTTGAATTGGTGAAGGCCTGGTATGTTTCCCCAATTAAGTCGTAGAGGGTACGGTAACTCGGCTAATTCTGGGCCAACAGCCTCAGCCCGGAGCTTAATCCTAAATGCCTCTTGCGCCTGATGCAATGAGGAGCAGGAGGACGACAAGCCCAAGGTTCCTCAGCCGAACAAGGCAGCAGCGGGATGGTAAAGGGCGAGAGGGAGAGGGGATTCTGCAAGGGTTCCGGGTCAGTGTAGGGTTTTACTTCTGACAGGAAGAGTTTGATGCCAAGTCCGAGAAGATCCAGGAGGAAATCCAGAAGCTGCAGGACACAGCAATGACACCTCACGGTGTAGGGTTCTGTGGCCGAAAGAGTTGCAGCGTTGAGACATGCACCCCCTCTGCAAACAGAAAACAACTCTCCAAAGCTTGGGGCTCCCGGATCGAAGCCGCGAGGACAAGCAGAAGAAGCTTACTGAGAAGATCCAGGACTGCGATATGGCGTGTATTGATCGAAGCAAAAGATAATAATAAGAAGAATAAGAATAAGAATAAAAAAAAAATAATAATAATATATAAATAATAATAATAATAATAATAATAATAATAACAATAATAATAATAATAATAACAATGACAATAGCCCTCTCGGGCCCTCGCGCCTGTCTTACCCGTCTCACCCCCAAGCTTGCAGGCTGGTGCTTTGTTGCTGCCGTTCTACTTGTATGGTGTAAACAATTCGAATTCTGATGCTCCCTTTGCCTCACGGGCTTCCAAGCACAGTAGCTAAACCTGCGAATGCCGAGCCTTTCTATGCTCTGTCCCAGCTGCAGTAGGTAAGCTCCATTAAACCCGCACCAGTCCGACATCTCCATCACAGGAGCGCTCCGGCGGAAAGGAGGAGTTCTACGCAAAGAAGGTTTGGCATGGTTGGTGTTCGTGTCAGCGGCATCTCTGCTATGTAATGTTGCTGTAGTTGTACCGACACTGGCACTTGCCCGTCTGGTTATGCTTGTCACTATACTAACTAACTTCTGCTCCTGGTATTCGCGGTAACATTTTCAAGAGTGGTCGTCTGCATGCGGGCACCGTTGTCGCCGGCTTCGTCATCTACCATTATCATCGATGGACTTCGCAGCTTTGGCACTTGCAAGGCCGAGCTGCGCGCTCAGCTGGATGTTATCACCGACAAGATCAACGGCCTGATGGAGAAGAAGGATCCCCACCCTCTCCGGAGGTTTGTCGTCCCCGGGTGAAGCTTGCAGTTTGTTGCAGCCCTTCTTGAAGTGTTGATGAGCAGTGCAGCCCTCTCTTTTGGCCCTGCCTCCGTAGGACGAGATCAACAAGGCCGTGGGCAACAAGCGAGAGGAGGGTCGCGAGATGCGCTCCCAGCTGCAGCCCGGCTGATGGAGAATCAAATTTCTGAGATTCGGGGGAGAGCACAAAGCTTCAGTTGATTTGGAGCATCGGAATGACACCCCTGAGACAACCTGGCCTTCTCACTAATGCCGGCAAGCGCACTGAGCTGAGCCATCGGAAAGGAACAGCATGAAGAAGACCGTCGGCTTCACCAGCCAGCAGGAGAGCCAGCCGTGCTTGCGATGCGGATGATAACTAGAGCAAGAATTCGGCTCAAAGGCGTAGCCTGGCCTTTTCGTCCGACACGGGGCCGAAGCCCGCATCTTGGGGTCTGCGAGGAGATCAACAACCGCATTGCCACGATCGAGTTCCAACTGTGCACAGAGTCCGTGCCCCTCAAGGAGGCCAGGTGTTACATGTTGATTTTTCGTCCGGCAGAGTCCGCCAGATTGGCACCCCTTTCAGGTTCTTCCTAGTGTGTATGTGCTTTCCAGGTTCGGAACCTCATATCCCTGTTTTAGCGCTGACATGGCCTCTTGAGATGCTGATTCGATCGTAACCGGCCTTTTGGCACAGGGTCAACAAACCTGACTAATCGAAGACCAGCACCATCAACATATTGAGCCTCCAGCAACGCCGGCATGCTATGTCATCCAATCTGACCTCAAGGCGAACAGCAGTAAGCCAGAATTGCTAGAACTGCCGCAGGAGAAGAAGCTCTTGGCTGAGATCCAGACCCTGCAGCTGGGACCACTACTATAACCTTTAGGGTTTAGAGATTAGAGTTCAGGTTTGTACACGCAGTTGGTGCATATTACACTATACCCGTAACAGGAGATGAAGGATCATCCTGAGGAAAGTGAGGGTTACGACTATTGCGTTGCTGGTGCTGCCGGGGGCGGTGGTGGTTTTAGTTGTGCTGTTGTTGCTATGACAAGTACAGTCGCATAGAGCCACTGACAGTCGGCGGCCTGCACGGTCCGAGTAGCATTGCGTTTGCTTGGAGGTGGCTTGGTGAGTACTCAGTGTACTTTGACAGATCCAGAGGTTATTGCTGCTGCTGCTGCTGCTGCTGCTGCGAGGGATGGCGGGTTCAAAGTTGTCGTTGGTTTGTTGCCTGTGGCGCTGGATGACACTGTGGGAAGACGACAAGTACGACTACCTGATGATGCGCTGCTGTATGTGTGATCATGTCCTGGTTTATGACCTTGCGGAGCTTGATGTGAATTATGACTGTGGTGATTGGGCGATGAAGGTTGCAGCATTACCGGCAGTACTGCAGAAAGAAACTGCCGCATCGGTGGTTGAATCACCACGTTTGGATTTCTATCTGTCCGAACTTGCGCAACTAGACATCGTCCCATACCCTTCACACTAGAAGCTGGAACTTGAACCGTTCTACACAACTCAGACCCCAGATCAAGTCTGTCTAACCCGGCTAATCCTTTCATCCCTTCTTCAGCCGCACACAGTGTACAAGGCCAAAGAGCGTAACAGCTTCCAAAGTCCTCAGTTGCAGCCGGTGCTCAGGAAGAAGAACCGCTCCAAGGCTCTGCGGCACTTCCTAAGGGCTTGGACTCCTGGGTTTGACCCTGGGACTTTGCTCTACAGTATGGCCGCCGGCCTTGAGCAACATGGCTGTAGCATGCAGGCCTTTAGGGTGATGTCAGGAGCTTGTGCTTCAGAGGAAAAGCGACAGAGACCCCGAAGGTCAAAGAACGCCAGGACTGCGTCATCGTCTGTTTGCATCACCTGCATAATTCCACGAAGTGTAACATACACCAATTCATGCCTTGCTCCGATGCTAAACTGGCCCGACCAGACGCCATGAGACCACTTCAGATGCCTTATTATGGTTTTGCATAGACCGCATCGAGACAATTGGCTGTATCCAGTCGAGACCTACTTAGACTTCAGACAAAAACTCAACCCGTAAACTCAGAGCCAGCTGCGAAAGCAGAAATTGGAGGTGGACACGATGAACACCATGGAGCAGAATCTGGCCAACTTCGACCCTGGAATGTCCATGAAGGTGCCTGGCAGTCTTCGTGGCGTATGATGGTAGTTTCTGTAAAATCATCTTTAAGCCTTGGAAATCCTCTAAAACTATAAACTGCGCAAGTCTGCTCAGGAGCAGAAGGACGCGATCAACGCCGACATTTCGCAGTTCCGTGACGAGAAGAAGAAGATTCAGGCCCCCCTCCGCCGGGGCCGCCAGGTTTGGTGTGCTTGGGCCTTCGTGCTGCGTGGTTACGGGAAAACACCCTTCTGACACATGGCACTATTCAGCTCTGAGCTTCAGTGGTGAGCTGCAGTAAGAAGTAGGCTTGTCGGAGAATCTATAGATCCGCCAATCAACCTGCAGAGGGGCCTTGTCACGACAGGACCAGATGACCGAGCTGTCTGAGGCCAGGAAGACCCAACTGGGACCTATCGAGGACCCATTGGGCGAGTTCATGAGGCTTAGGTTGAATACGAGTTTGCTATCATGAAGTATGAACATTCAGGTTCAGCGCTTCGGTTCGGGAATGTAGGCATGCAACCATCAGGACGTGAAAGTCGGATCTGTGGCATGTGATGCCAGTAGATCTGTCTCCAGGCTTTGGCATTTATCCTGTAACTGCGCTTTGCCAGGAGATTCAGAACGAGCGCAATGCCATCGGCGAGAAGTTGAGGGCAAAGATCGAGGACGATTTGAGGTTGAAAGCATCTCTGTAGGAGTTCTTGGCAACAAATTGTGTGTAAGCCGCCCCTCCCTCCCTCCCGCCCTTCTTTCTGTGGATACAAGTACAACCGAAGATGAGAGTTGCTCGAGTTTCTTCATCCACCCAGCCAATGATGCTTCGTAATCGAAGCCTCGGCTTCGAGAAGGTGGAGCGATGCAGGAAAGTCCAGAATGGGGCGTCACGTTGTCAGAGGATTCAATGCTGAAGTCATAAGCCGTCCCTGTGCTGATGCAAACTAGCGTAGCCGGAGCCCAGGGAAACGGATCGAAGCGCCAAGCCACTGCTTGCAGGAGCGCAATGCGCTGCGTGACGAGTACCGCTCTCAGGCCAGCGCCCAACTACTTAAGTACTTGGCTTCAGCCCGCACGCACAACCTGCACCTCTCCATACGGGCTCTGCAGGCCTGGCCTAGTCGACCTACTAGCCGTAGATGCAGTAATTCTGGTCTTCACCGTCACACGATCAGAGAAGGAGACTATCGAGACTAGCAGCTGGCTAGCCATACTTGTAGCTCCTTTTCCCGTTGCAACACCTCTTGGCTGCAAATTGCGATCACCACTTCCTTTATGGGCGAAGTACTGTCAGCCAGCACTCTTGTTAAGCAATCTAGGTCAGAGAGGCCGTGCCACGATCTCCACCTCTAACGACTCCCTGAAGTAGTGCTTCGCAGTGTATTAGACTGGAGAACTTATCGAATCACGTGCCCGTGGGTACAGTTGGAAAGGCTCAAAAGTACGATTGAAGACAACCGTGAAGCACCATCATCTTAATCTGCAGCTGGTGAGGCCCCACCAAGAATCGACACCGCCTGGCCCTGGCAGGAGCGCGAGTACTGGGCCTACCAGCAGGAACTCCGCAAAGCTCGGCAGGCGGGCTGATTTTGTGGTTCATTGCGGTTTCAAGAGATGCTTGGTTAACATTGTCGTTGAGGCTTGTATGTTTCCGCAACAGAAAGTACGAAAGACCATGCGCTCTGCAATGATCGCAGCTCAACAGAAGGGTCTTTGGGCTGCACCGCCCGCTTGCGAGCGGCAGACGTTCACCGGAACAAGACGGTTCGTCATGATGCAGCACATTCGGCCGGTTCTCCTACTTTGAGGTCGTGGTCGGGGAACTGCTGGCAAGTATGCAAGAACTCCATCAAGGCGATGCCCCCTACTCATAGTTGACTCATGATTATAGAAACGCAACAAGCCAGCAGAGTTCTTGGTTTCTGTTTCGCCCGTTCAACATGTCCAGGAGCGCTACGCTGCTGAGAAAGCGGAGAAGCAGAAGGCCCAGTGGCTTTCCAGGGTTTTTAGCAGTGTCGTCTTATCCCAGAGATCAGGGGACGTCTTGAAGTGAGGTGAGCAAAATGGCAGTATTTGTGAAGGGGGCACTTAGTTCATACAAGGTCAGCCTCGTGCACGCAACCCGTGAGCAAACATTCTAACGACCGCAAGCGGTGCCCTCTGAGGGGAGTCTCCGATGCATTCCAACGCTCATCAAGCCTACGTTAAACTAAAGTTCTGAACCCCGGAACCCCGGAATGCCGTTTGCATCCCCATCCCCTCGAGGAGTACGACCTGCGCCGCAAGCAACGTGAAGCCGAGAAGCTCGACGAGCAGCAGCTTTGTCTGATATTCAGTGCTGATACGGTGACCTTGTATGGCTCTGTTCAGAAGTTCAAGGCTGCTGTCGCCTGTTAGTGTTTCATTTATTGTCTTGTGTTCTTAATGGTGACTGTTGTCGCAGTCGTCGTTGTATATGCGGATCCTCCTGCCTTTGCTGCTGTTGCTGCTGCTGCCACCGCATCTGCTGTCACTGGTTGTCGCTGCGCTGCGGCCGCTGCGACAGCAAATAGTTTGCAGCGTTGCTGTCGGGGTTCTGGTCAGGTACTCATTGTGAGTACCAGTCTTGTGCTGCTCTTCGCCACATCTTACACATTCCATTATGAATCCTCTGTGTGGTTGAACAGCAAAGCATATTGTCAACCATCATGGCATTGCAGCTGTGTCTTGTCCTTATGCTTAATGAATTACCATGTTGTCTCAGCTGTTTCTGCTTTAACTACTGTAGTTCCAACAGTGCTTTTACAGAAGGCACTTTATAAAGGCCAGTAAGGACCACTCCTGACGGTGCCGATACTGCAACTATCGTTTGGGTCCGGGTCATCCCGAGTCTTTTGGTTACTGTTCTTCTTGTTGTTGACAAACCAAAGAGCCATGCTTGTACATGGTTAGCTCTTTGAAAGCAAGGGCTGCGAGCTGTCCTCTGGCAAGTCTCTGGCAACAACCCAGACATTCCTCTGCAACCCCGCAGGCCGTACGTCGCGGAGATTACCCTGATCGAGCAGTCGCTTTGCTGTTCTTGGCTTGGCTCTGGATTTCTTGGAATGTCGAAAACAAAGAGTCTCCAATGTAGATGCGAATCCCGCAGAACGTACAAGTAAGGCATCCCTAGTTAGTAGACCCTAGTTAAGCAAAGTTCGGTCTCATGAAACGACTTCAGGGCGTGGGAAACCTGCGCCCGGAGCTGTGGGAAAGCCTGGCCGCGTTGGCCCTCATGAAGCCTTTAAAGCTTAAACATGGCTTCAGGCTTCCTGAACTGCCTTGCAAAGCGGGGATGTCATTGCCATGTAGGAGGCAAGAAATCAATATCCGTCCTGAACCCGAATCTCTAGGCATCTCTAGGCACTCGCATAATACAAGACCTTCAACTGCCGCCGTTTGCACTGTGCTTGTGTGGGTAGCTTCACGCGTTCCCACCATGAGGGAAACAAGACTCAGGATTGCTACAGCAACAGTAACAACAGAACCAGCAGCATACCAAGACGCGGCGCCGGCATCATTAGGAGCATCGCATTTGGAGATCGAACGTGCGCAATAGTTGTTTTACTTACAGCATGTACTGGACAAATGTTTCTTCAGTCTATCAGGGATGCGGGAACCCGTTCGCGCCTCCAACCTTTTGGACGGGCTTTGAGGACGATCAAGTATTGCAAGGGCCTCGTGCAGTCCAAGACCGAAGAGAAGAAGGACGAGAAGAAGGAGGCGATTAATAGACGCACCGTTGCGGCCATCATCCTACATTCCATGGCCATCCATAGCCGGTACCGTTTACGATGCCCAGCAACCGTTAAGTTCACTTGGATTGGACAAACATTCAGAGTGAGCCGGGGCTCGGATGCACTTGATCATACCTGTTTGGGTGACTTCCCTGCACTCCGGCCTTGAGCACTTAGGAAGCCTATGACTACGCCCCAACTCTCGGGTTTGGCTTAGCGCTATACATGGCTTTCTACAATGCGGGCTTTGCTTGGCGAGCGGAGCCCACGACATGTTGGGAGGTTGAGTACAACAACCCGGACGGTGCCGAGATCCTGCTCCGCAAGGCCTGGGGCAAGCTAAGTTTGGCTTGTTCCTGGAAGCCGCTCTGAAGCTCTATGCAGGGTGCACGTGCCAGGAAGATCGCGACGAGGAGTTCTACTTCGCGCCTACGAAGGCTGGCAAGAAGGGCAAGAACAAGAACAAAGGCCGGGGCCGGGGCGTTTGTCCGGGGGCAGCTAGCAACGCAGCGATGTCTGTTTTGATCGGGTCTCGACAGTGTCTAGCCTCGCTGGCTCGACATGCCAGGCGGCGAGGCAAAGCCCACAAAGATCACGCACAATGCAGAGACCTTCCGCAACGCTTCTGCACAATGAGTTCCGTCGTGCATGCCTCCAGCCTCGGGACAGTCTGAAATGAACCGATGTTCCCCAGAGTTGCACAAAGCTTTACATGCTTTTCAATTCCTTGGTGCCCGAGTGAAAGTTTGAAATGTGTCAGCCCATGCAATGCTACAAAATGTTACAATTTTGTGTGAGCACAATTGTCACAAGAAATGCTGTTCACTAACCAGGTGAAGCCGTCCACATGGGTGTGTCGTGTACCATGTGCAGGTCTGTCCTTGCAAACACAGGTAGAACTCGGTGCGAATCGAAGCCAAGACCTTGTAAACAAACAGTACTGTTCAGACACGAACTCATTATCTTTTGTGGGTGTGCCAGAATATCACTGCTTAAATTCGTTGTGTTGTCTCCTAGCTTTACGCCGCCTGATGGTTAATCTGCATATGTTTGCCTTGCATGGAAAGCTTCTGAGGTCTTTTCGACCAGCTGAAGCTCGATGCACCACTGTCCACGGAACAGGCCTTTGCATTCATCTCCAGCTCTTGCTTTAAAAACTCTCCGTGCCTCTCTTTCGCTTGGCTCTGACGTTGGTCCTGCAAGCTCCTCCACAGGCAACAGTCTTGCAAGATCTTGCAAGTGCTCACTTGCACCGAAATGAAGCCCCTGGCGTGGTTTCCCTCGCTGCAGAGCGTTCAGGGTTTGAGCAACGGGTTATCTTGAGTAACTAGTTCGCATTGCATCAGGTGCCTGCACTTCTGGAAGAACTTGAGAAGCACCTTGGCCAGAGTCGAGCTTCAGAGTTTTAACCTTTAAGGCTTGGACCCAAGGATTCGTGTGGCCCAGTAGAGGAAGTGACGTGGTGCGATAACACGCCGCAGTGCTTTTGCATCTAAGTGCTACTGTAGGCTTCGGTGGTTGTTTGGTTCGCATCCACTGGGCCACTAGGCATTGCATGGTTCTGGTGAGGCGATATGTTGAACGTGCAGCTCAGGCAGCTGGGAGACTTCCAGGGCAAGGTGAAGGAGTGGGAAGAGAAGCGCGAGGAGCCCTTAGCGCCCCAGCGGACGAAGAAAGAAACCCGTTAAATGGAAGCCGCAACAGGATATGAAGAAGGCCATCCTCGAGGGCCTCAACGAGATCGCGGAGAACAAGGTCTCGAGTAGTTCTTGTAGGAATTTGCTCTAATGCACCATACACAACAGTGCGAGAGATAGCATAGACCTGATGCTTCAATTCGTGTAATTTGTTTGCATCTACCGTCATCTGGCTCTGTCTTCATCGATATATCCATCTCGCTCTATCTCTCGCTTGCTCACCGGGAAAGACAGCCACGAGCTCCGTCTCATAGTGACGCCTTCAGAGGCCTGATTAATGCATCCATGCCAGCCCATCTCATCTCTCTATTTGCGCATGTACCTCTTCCTTCAGAACTCGAGAAGTGTAGCATGTATCTATCTTCATCCATCCTTGACCTCTGTTTTGCGCCAGTCTCGCTGGCGTCTGTGCGCATCTCTGTATAGGTACGGGTCGGAGTTGGAGAGACGGAGCAGAGCAATCAGAATAAAACCGTGCATACCAGTATTCCCTTGTAGTCTCCGTGTGAATTTACGTTGCTATATCCCAAACCCCAAGTGGAAACAGCATTATCCTCTTTTCTTTAAGGTAAAGTATTGGAACTAATAGTTGAAAAATCTTCATTACGTGCACGTGGATCTGTGGTAAGCTCCGAAGGCAGCCCGAGAGGCCGAGGAGAAGGACGACGTCAGGGGGCGGGTGCCAGGGTGGGCTTTAGGATTTTTAGGATTTTTGTAGGGTTTTTAGGTTTGGTAGGGTTTAGGGTTTTAAAAGGCTTTAAAGGGAATCTGGGGGGTCGGAACACTCATGAATAGTACCCATGCTGCTTTGGTTCCTAGTCTGGCTAGAAATACATGTATATTAAATATTCCCACATAGCTGAAGATTGGACGATGTAATTAGTGCCCTCCTCAACTTCGCCGGCTCCTGAGTATGGGTTTGTGCTTCAGGGTTGGTAATGATGCTTCTGAGTGGTGGCAGTAAAGGCTTCTCGACTAGAATGCCCTCTGCGTGCTGATCCAAAACGAGGTACCGCAAGCCAGGCGCCCACTGCTTGCCTGCGCGGGGTTCGAGTTCTCCAAGCCCCGAAAGCCACATTCGCCCCATGCATCTACATCCGATTCCCTGAGGCCCAACCTCCGCACACCCTTGAAAAGCCCCCCGGCCCTAGATCGGAAGTACCCACGAAGCCCGACGTGATCCCTTAAACCCCAAATCCCGGAACCTGACCACCTCCCGAACCCAAATTCCTATACACATGAAACTCATAAACCATAACCCCTACATCCCCAAACCATAGCTTCCCTACGTCCCAAGAGTCAAGAGCCCCAGGAGGAGGAAACCGCTCCCGAGGCCAAGGAAGAGGCCAAGGCCTGAAAATCAGACTCGGGGTTGGCATTCCAGACATCCTATGGGCAGACGGAAAAGAGGGTTCAACAAAAAAAAAAATCCGGGGATGTCTAAGGTGCTTGTAGTGAAGAAGAGGGGGTCATCAGGGTTGTCATAGGATTACATAGGGTTCTCCCCCATCAATATACTGCTAGGGTCGAGAGGGTAGATTTTATAGTCGAGAAGACTAATGTAGGTGCCGAGACAGGTTCGAGTATTACTGTTTCTGATCATGATGTTCAAGGGTTCGGGTTCGGTGTTCACGTGTTTTCGTTATTGTTTCGTTTGTGGTTTTTCTGTGGGCTAAGTACGGTTCTGCCAAGGTTTCTTGGGTATTCTTTCAGGTTTGCAAATTGCTGGCCTCCCGTGTCCGATGCCCTAGCGAGGCTGAAAACAAACTATAAGTGGTGCATCGAAGAAGGAAGCCAGACAAAAGTGAATGAGGTTTTGGTTTGCGGAGTTAGAAATGGGTCTCCATCACAGTTCTCTTGCTTTGGTTTCGAGTGCTCTGGGCTGGCATTGGCTGTTGGAAGTCCATGAAGCCTTCGCCAAGGCAGGAAGCCGAAGCGAGAAGCCCCCTGCACTTTGCTGATGACTGCAGAATCTTGTCGTCCTGAAGCCTTGGCTCCAAACTTCGAAAAGACCCCCCAGACACATTCTCAGCTCCTGAAACAAGGAGGAAGAAGCCAAGGAGGAGTGAGCATCCCAGCGACACGGCCTTTTCACTGGACATGGCTGGGGCGGCAGGGTCCTACAAATGCGAAGCTTTCCATTTCAGCAAGAGGAGGCTCCTTGCTGCTTAAGGGTTTTGCTATAGTAATCGTCATCCCACGCCGCTCCGCATGTTCCGGCACCACATGTTGGACAATGTCCAGGATCGTGGTTTCCAACCGATCAGAGCTCGCTGTTTGACGCCGACGGGACTTAGACCCAACAAGACTCGCTGACCACCTGTTGGAGTAGACTCGAGGCCACGCCGAATCCAAAAAAAGCACACATCTTGCCGCTCTGTGATATCTAGTGTGTAGTGCATAGCGACTGCCAGATTATCGGAGGAGACTGGGCGCAATGAACCTGGAGATCCGAACCCCTCAACGAAGCCAAGTCTAACTTTCCCGGAAGCCTCGAGCAGTTCTACAGAAGCGGACATGGCATACATCATTCAGGGTCCCTCACTTTCTTAGAAGGCCATCAGAGGGGCCAGGTTCAGCTTAGCAGCTGGTGTTTGTAGTTATGCCGAGCAGTTACACATCCTTCAGCGGCTGAGGTTTGCGGACCAAGGTTCCTCAATCTGGGCCTTTCTGTACTGGAAAATCAGTGTTAGGAGAATTTACACTGTGACTTTGGGATTAATTGTGTTTGTGTATCGTAGCTAGTTTGATTTCTTCAACGTCAAGCCTACCCGAGTAGTGCCACCCCCAAGCCCTCACGTACACTGCTGGCGATGCCTCTGTCCCGTGGCAGCAGACAGGACTTCGGCAACTTCCAAGATGTCGAGCAGATGTCGGAGGCTCCCCTAGGGTATTATGACTATGTCACCTTGTACGGCAAAAACTCAGAACATGGAAGCTTCCATGCTGTCTGAGCATCGAAAACATCCAGTCCAAGCCCAAGAAGCTTCGGTGGATCAGATGGCCTGAGGCCCTAGGGCTTTGAGTTCTGGCAGTTTAGGAGGAATCCCCCGACACCTTGAAGAGCGTTTCGAAACGAAGGTGTACAAGGAGCGGCAGAAGTTCGGCCGCTTCTACTATCGCTTCCCGAACGGCGTCGTGGCAGGGAGAACACAGGGGTGTCCGGGTGGCTTGCGAGTTTAGACTAAGAGACTGTGACATAGCACTTGAGCCAGACTTTGCATACCCCCGACAACCAAATCTCTTAGATCCTAAACCTGGACATCCATTTGAGAAATTCCCATGCGTGCCCTGCCGGCGCTTTCAAGGTGCTGAGTTAGAGGTTGAGAAGAAGTAGTTTGAAAGAAGCTTTGCTATGTAAACTGGAGGCGTCTTCCCTAGACCCTGTGCTGCCAGTGACGCTGGTGAAGCGTTAAAGACATGTTTTATCATGCAAGGCTTGATTTCCGAGCCGCAGGGTTCAGGGATTGGTGTTTCGAGATAGGTGTTTGGATTCGTGGCTCAAGTGCACAATGCACATCTTTACTGCACCACCGCCTGCCGAATTACGGAATGAAGCTGGAAGTGCACTTTTGATTGTTGCCTCCTAGCCGCCTGATCTCGTCCAGGCAAATCGAATTCAACTAAAACTCCTCTCATTTCCTGAAGGAGCAGCTCTTTCACTCCGACTTCCGGTGTCATGCCTTCAGGTGAAGCGGGTACCGATGTCTTCGATCGCGTGAGCGACTTCTGGTCAAGCCTCCTGCGCTCAATGGCCCTTCAGCTGAACGTTTCCTGAGTTAGTGGGTTTGCTTAAACCCTTCAGGCCTAAACCATCCTAAACCTATAACCTTCAGGCTTAAGTTAGGTCTCTTTTCAGTGCATCGACTCTCGACAGCCGAATGTGGCTGGATTCCAGGATGCCAACCCTGTGGAAAATTTAGTCCTCGTGTCCCACGGTCTCCTTATGCGAATCTTCTGCATGGTCTACTTCCACTGGACCGTGGAGGACTGCAGGGTCTTCTGGTTATATACACTTATGACTTATGATCCCTGTCGGGCTTCTGACGTAGATTTCTTTGGGGTTTCACCTATTCTCTTCATGGAGTAGCGATCCTCAGGCCCGCCATACGTCAACAACTCGAGGTGTCGTGGTGTGAAGCGCACAAGGCACGTATTGGCACCCCGAATGCCAGCGGTTTGCAAGGACCACAGTAGTCGAAGCATCAACAAAGTGGCCATGAACTCCGGATCCAACAGCCTCGGTCACGACTCACGACCCCCCATGCGCTTGTTTCACCTGTCCCGACAGGAGTTCGAGCAAGTTTGGAACCCCTCCAACTGCGAAGTGTGGGCGCTGGAGAAGGTGAAGATGTTGCTGGATTTCCTGTTTTGCGCGAGTGGAGAGCTTATAACCTGTCCTCAAGTTGCGACCCGAAGCCATTGAATATTCATTCTGAAACTCGCTGTTCTGTCTTCTGTTGCACCGACGGGAGCTTTAGTTGCAATCCCTCGAACCGAAGCCGGTTACTTCCCTGTTTACTCGCGGCTTACTCGCTGACGTAGAGCAGCCCTCAGGGGCAGGGCAGCTACAACCTCGCTGGGCGGTGGCGCCCCTCCCCAACTGGTGGCTCGTTTCGTGAGATCCGAGACCTGGGCGGCAACAGAGGTAGACTTTTGGTTTAGTTTGTCCGAGTCGTCATCCTAGCAGTAGTGCTAGTACTATATTACAAGTGACAGCCCGGAGTGGCCCGAGCTGTTGTTTTCTGACATGCCGGACGGAATTTCAGAGAAGTGACCCTCACTATGACCGCTTCAATGGTGACATGAATATGACGGCACACACATGACAGGGGTTTCAGGAGCGAATGCCGCGCCAAGGCTTCGGTGCCAAGAGAAACCAGCCGCTGTGGTGACATGCCTGCACTTTGCATGCCAGCCGCGTTCTTGAGGTCTTTAGATTCAATACTGGGTGTGTGGGGACTTGCGGGGATAGTCAGCACTGTCCATGATTACATTACCGAACTTTTCTGGATCTCATCACGTGATGATGGCTTCCCCAAGCCTTTGGACAACGTAAATCTGAACCCTGGCGAATGTTGCAGCTGGACACCGCACTTTGCTGCTGCACCGCCTGCAACTAACAGCAATGCAACTTCAGCTTCCGCAACTTGAAGTTTTCGCTTGTCCGGTTTCTGCAGACCCGGACATGTTGACCCCTCATGGACTTCAAACCAGGCTCCTTAAGAGAGTGCTGCGCGGATCAGATCCATGCCCACGCCCCCGACCAACCAACACAAAGTATCGACCGCTGCATCATAGGCACAGTTGATCATTTTGAAGGGCTCATACATGTGTGTGACACATGAAATCACAGTCCGAGCCCTTGCACCGAAAACACCTGCTCCAAGCCGTGCCAGCAGACTTGCAGGAACCACATGAAATGCCGACGTGGTCCTCGGGTCTTTGTAGTGCCAGCTCCTTAGAGAAACGTGCCTACCTGGCATTGTGAAGAGATGGTTTGGGCAGGTGCAGACTCCCCCCAGCCCCTACCACCCCGAATGTTCTTAAAGATGAGCTAAAGCTCAGAGTGGAAGAAGGGAGATGTCCACGAAAACAAACTGCAGGCAGACAGCACGGAATCTCGCAGCTATTCCCACAGTTCTCCTGGTTCAGGGTTTACAGTAGGGTTCGCAGCTGGCTATTTCGATAGTTCTCCTGCTTTGGGGCCGAAGTTGAGGCCTTCCGGGGACGAGAGGCTCGAGGACCCGATGTTCGCCTCTTTGCCCGGCAACCCGCGCAGCTCTCAGCCGTCGGATTTTTGCTTGGATAGGAAGTGATTCAAAACTTCATAAACCCTAAACTCTAAACATAAACAATCCCTACATGCCAAGCCGACCAGCTTTGCTATTGCCTCTACATGTCAGGGCTTCTGTGTTGAAGGAGCAATGTACGTGTGACAACTTTTCTGCAGCTCCAAGACAGACCTTACTACTGAGTTGTGATGTTTTGCCTGCACCCTTTGTCGGGGTCTTCTACGGTTGGAGCAGTATGCATACCAGCATATAGCAGCTCATGTAGTTGTCGTTGGCTTCCTTGTCTTTGTGGAAAACTTGATCGTGCTGTCTGTGAGCTGGTTGCCTGCGAGAACCTGAAATCTGGATTTGCAAACTAGCCAAACGCTCCCTTACTGCATCAGCACAGGCTTGGAACCTGCTAGGTTGTTGCTTCGACTCGAGGGTATTTTTGTGTTGGAAGGTGCGCGAAACATTGAACTGTGGTGTTGGGGAGCGGGGTTTGCATGCAAATTCGCTGCTAGATGTGTTTGCCAACTCAGGCGCAGGAAAGACGGGAGCGATGGGGCAAAAACGATCTCAGGCGCGCAGTACCGCAGGCGCGACCTAGGTGCTGTCACTCTCATGCTGCATGCAGTGAATACCATCCCTGTGTCGCTCAGATGCCAGCTCAAGAACTTCACAAGTGACATGACAAGAGCACTTTCTAAGCAACGTGGCTTGCTCGTTCTTGAATCCTCCAACCCGAAGCACCCCCCTCAAAGATCTAAGCTACAAGCTTCTCCAAGATTTTAAGCTCCGAATCACACCGGGCCAGGAAGCAAAAAGTCTTGGAGCCTGAAGAGAGCATCGAGGAGGAGGAAGCAGAGTAATGAGAGATCCTTATCGGAGGGACCCTGCTTAGCATCCCGGGAGCTTACGCAGGACAAGTTTGTCTCTTAGTTGTGGCAAGTTCAGGGTGCTGTCATTATTCGGACCCTGCATTTACGTCATGGTAAAGCGGCTGCGAAGAATTGGTGGCTTGGGCATTTCGGGGATAAGAGCTGCGGTTAGGGCCCCACAAGTTTCCCCAGAAGCTTCTGAAGCACCGGCGACAGGTTCAGCTTTTAAGCCACACCTCTGCCATCAGCTTCTACCTCAATGTGCCATATCGTGGGTGCGTACTCAGCCTACAGATATTGTCCGGACGATTTAATCAGCAACTCCCACAGATACTCCAGGAAAATACGGTTCGCTGTACCCCTTCTTCGGCGAAGCAGTATGACACAAGAACCAAGAGTTCTCGAAACCATCCTTGCATTGTAGGCTGAAGGCCCAGCCATCAAGACTCAAGCATGGCAAGTTTGTCATGCCGGCTTCCCCTAACGATTTGTAAAATGTTGGGGCTTGTTGCACGCCTTTTTTTGCGCTGGTAAAGCATGGTTTCCAAATTCACTCAGTCCCTGAAGCCCACGAATACCAACGAAGCGTCAAGCCATGTCAAGCCCGTTTCCGGCAGCTCTTACTTACTTCGGTTGTAATATAGGCCCTGAAAGTTAAGGTTTTGAAGTTGAGAGATTCGGGAGCGTCTCAGACATCCTGAGACGACTGCTTTGCAACGATGCCCCTCTGTGGAACCGCAGGTTGACGTGCCTCTGCCTAGAGACCTCCCTGCTGTAGCTCATCAAATGCTCGCAAAGCATAGTTACATATTGCTACATAGTTTAGCATGGTGTCTCATGCCCCGGTTTGAGATCGGGCGATGGCGTGCGGGGCTGCTTGATTTGTAATCCGCTACACTCGTTTAGGTGTCGAGATGTCGGACGAAGGCATCTGGAGTCAGTGTTGTTCAAGAGCCGGCTCTGATATCCGACTACGACGCCCTCCTGCAAATCCCCGTAGCCAGAATCGCCCATGCTGGCAAATCGAAGCCAAGCAGCGGGCATTTGGCCGATTGGCGACCGCTTGCAGAAACAGAGTCAGTAGTTGGTGCTGTTCTTCCGGCCCCCTTCCAGGATTTGCTTCTGGTGGTTGACTTTTCGGAACGGCATGCGGAATGCTTGCATCCTGCGCAGTCGCCCAAGCAGACGAGTCATTCTGCCCAAAATCGTCGGCCTGTTCGCAGGTGCCTGCAAACCTCCAGCTGGCCGAATGTCTCCGATCTGCTGCATCGCGAAAAAGAGATTTGCAGTCAGAATCCGTTGTTCCGACGTTGCCGTTGCACTCATAAATCCAATCTCCAGCGAACTGAAACCGTCAATTTCAGTTCAGCTACAGTCCGAACAGGGTCATTCTCGCCAGTTCGTGCAAGAGTAGATGTGCAGCGACCAAGATCTCAAACGTCTCATGAGGGGCAATGTCTTCTGATGTTACCTGCGCAGCTCTCGAGGCTCAAGTTTAGCGATTGCAGACTTGCAAAAACCCACGCAGTTGCTTCATGGGGTATCGTCCGGTGATCACACCTTTGTGTCAGAAAGTTATTTTCCAGCTGAGCTCTCGTTAACTCATTCTTCGACCAGGAGAGACTCCACCCCTCAGCCCCTGCGCCAGTGTAGCCACAGGCCCTTGTGGTCAGAAACCAGCAACCCAAGTTTGGCTGCAGGGCCCGGGCTGCAGAACGTGTGTTTGAGATTTAGAGCATCACTGGTTTTATGGTTTAGCTGCATCTTCTCGTTTGCCATGGCGCTCCAGGCAAGCGGCTCCTCAAAACAAGCAGTCGGCAGCCGGCAGTCTGACGAACCAAAATTGAAAAAATGTGTTCCTGAATGTGGCTTTATATGCTTTACACGATTGTCGACAACTTATGACTCACATGTGTGGGGGCTCGAATGCAAAGACACGAAACACTGCGAGAGCTTGGCGAGTGCCAGCCCTGCCACAATTACACTTCGACCACGGACGTGGTCTTCCGACAATCGAAGGAACCTCCAGCACCCTCGATGCGATATGCAGCAAGTCCACAGCGGACTGCTGCAACGTTTCAGGCTCCAGGCCTTGGATTCATCGGCTTGCGATCACGGCAGTCCTGATTATGCGACATGAGGCATACCCCAAAGTCAAGAGTCGTCTACTACGCCTTAAAGAGGAAGACTGCAAGAGAGCTGAAGCCTTTTCCCTGTGCAGCCTTTCGCTGTCTGTTGTCGCGTTGTCCCCATGTTTCTCTCTAGCCGTACATGTCGTTGGCAGGGCGCCTTTCCTCAGCAACGGGGCACGAAGAGGCCTTTTAAGAAGGGTTTTACGACTTGTGGGATGCACATGTCGCGCACCGCCCATTGAGACGAACACGGGTTTGTCAGGGTAACTGTTTCAGATATACGTATGTCAGTCGAGGCGCACAGCTTCGTGGGATCATAAGGGGAAGGTGCGCAGCCATCAAAAAGAAAGAGTTTGCCGCCAACAGAACCGTGGATGCCGCCCATACAACCTATGCGTGCAGTCATGCATGTCCCAGCATGGAAAGGGCAGAGTATTTGTGAATATGTTAAGTACATACTAGTTATGTGCCGTATGTAGCACATACCTCTAGGACTCTTTTGCCCCAGGCCGATGCTGGCCCAGATGCCTCGAGAGGTGTTCTTCAGCAATGTGCCTTACAGCTCCTTGGGCCCAAAGGTTTGATTGAGGCTGTAAGGTTGCGGTCAGGGCTGCGAGGAGCTCGGAAATCTACTTGCTCCTTGTGTCGCTGGGTACAAGTATAGTACTTGTTTGCATGAGATGAGGGTCTTGTTGTGCTTGGGCTTTCGAGTTGGGAGCTTTGGCCTGAGAGTTTCCGCCGCTCCACATTCGAGGTTCAGTTAGGTTTCATGTCGCCTGCTTTTTGTTCTCAGACCTGCGAAGTTAGCGCTAGCAGGCAACCTGGCCAAGCGTCTGCAGTCGGCATCCAGCTGAAAGCCTCTTTCATTATCCGTGTCTGCCATCCTGCTTATTCCACCTGTTGTTTTGAGGCACTACTGAGGAGACCCTACGAGAGGCAGGGCTTCGTCTTTGTGCCTTTTCGAGCCGGCCTTTCAGTCCTTGCTTTCGAGTTTGGACCTTTTGGGTGCGGGTGGGGCGGGGGCTTGGAAGCTTTAGGGCACAGGGGTTCAGCTTCGAAGTCTGTTTTTTCTGGTGTCTTCGGAGCAGGAGTGAGCTGCTCTCGGGGG